TCTCCGAGAGCTCTACAAGCCAGCAGCCGCACAGCAGACAAGCACCGCTGCGATCTAAGAAGCGCAGAGCTGCCGCTGGAGAGAACCGGGTGGAAAGGTTTCCATCCTAGAGCTCCACAAGCCGGCAGTCCGTGCAGCAGACAGAAGCAGCGATCAGACAGAGATGCGCCGGCCGAGCTGCGGGGAGGGGAGAACGGGTGGAAAACATCGATTTCCATCCAGAGCTCCACCAGCCGGCAGTCCGTGCAGCAGACAGAAGCCGCGATCAGACAGAGATGCGCCGAGCTGCGGGGAGGGGAGAACCGGGTGGAAAACAGAGGTCACCCGAGAGCTTCACAAGCCAATAGTCAGAACCCAACTCCACCAACATGTTTTATTTCAACCCATTTTCTAAAGTGCAGCGTTATGTTAAATGCACTGGGTTTTACCCTACATGGTTAAACAGTACATGTTAAAATCTAAGCTCAGCTCGGCAGTGACCTAAAATACATAAATATAATTTTACTTACTGAAAAAAAATGAATTGGAGACTCCTTGGACGCTCTATTAGTGCAATCAATGCCACAGCAAGTCATTTTGTCCAACATTTACACAAAAAATATCCAAAAAAGAATGCACAAACGCTACAACTAATGGTCTAAGTTGAGAGACTGAAAATGACCGAACTGTTTCCAGGCGAGGCCGAGGCTCAGACTGAGGTCTTTCCACGGAGCTAGCGCTGCGGTCACATGGGCCTGTGGCGGCGGTCACGTGGGTCGGATGCTCATTGATTATACAGAATTTTAGGCTTTCAATACACTAAAACAGAAGAGTGAGAAAAAAATTCACCCCCTCAGAGTTGTCATGAGTGTAAACTAGATCATTTAAACAAAAAACATGTTTTGGAACCAGGCTGTAAACATGTTTATTTCTGCTGTGAAATTGGTATTTTTAACATGGGAGTCAATGAGGATTTGCTCACTTCTGACACCAGCCCCTAGTGGATGAGGGTGGAACTGCAATTTATTTCACTTCTGGGTTTGCTTCAATTTTTCACCCGCATTGTGGGGGCTTGGGTTGTTTATAAGTGATGAGACCGTGGTGGCATTGTGTCCATTTTATGTTAGATTAGGCAATGGTGACATAAAGGAGGTACCGGGGTGGTCCCTGCGCTGCAGCGGACTTCCGTTTATCTTGGACATGACTTGCTTTTTATTGTGATTAAAGCTGCGCTCATTAAGTGTTTTTTAACAAGCTGCTCCTGGTGTCTGTCATCCACAGTCCACATGCAGTCTCTGATGATCTGACCTCCAGCTATAACAGAGAGAAGCTCCTGGAGCACTGCATTGCTCTAGTTTTCCGTCTGAGCTGACATTGTTCAAAAACCAAAAATTACGGCTCGTGTTTACTTTCATTTTCAATATCGTTACCGGCCGGAGCTCTGCATTGACTCCCTATGTCATCATGACACCTCCCTCTGTTGTGCTAAGGTGCAACCGCCGTTGCTACGGTAGACATTCACTGCAATATTAGGGCCGTTTCTAGCATTGTGGGGGCCCTATGCAATATAATGTTTTGGGCCCCCCTATTTTGACAAACTGCAATTGATGATCTATAAACACACCATGAATTGTCACAAATTGCAAGCAAAACATGGTACTGTATCAAAATTAAACATTCGCTCAAGAAATTTAACTAACTAATAAAAACTAGAAAGCAGTCAGAGTGCAGACCTCCACCCTGGGAGGGGTGTTCACATCACACATACCATAATAAAGGGGCTAAGTGCATGTGAACAAGTACAACAATTGATTAAAGATTTCTGTATCAAGACAGTGGTCAAGATCATAATCTTTCTGATGGTCTGAGATTTAATTATTTTAAGTATAACTCTGGTTTTATTGGGCTATTAACATGTAAAGCTGGTGTGTAGTTTATAATTGGGATTTTAAACCAAAACAGCATGTTATAACTGTAATAAAAAAGCATTTGATTTTTCTTCAGAAATTTCTGAATAGAAAAGGTAAATGTACATGAACATAAAATCTGAAATAGCAGAAATCAAGCATAACATGTATTACAACCTTGTCTCGATTTATTTATACGTACAACTTTCTGTGTCTGAGTTTCCGTAGATATTGTCTGTCAATGCCAGGTGTTTTTAGCTGTTGTGGCATTCTGCAGAGCAGTTCTTGTCCTGCTGCAGACTAAACAATTTCTTGCACTCTTTGCACATCCAGTTAAGAGCTCCTTTGGTCCCATTTTATCTCCTGATGTAAATGAGTCGTTTGATGGTGGTGCTCGGTGAACACATGAATTATACATGCTCATATAAAGAGAGTCTTCTTGTCCTTGATGGGTTTTGATTTGCTTTGGGTTTTTTGTGTCCTTTGCTTCACTTCATCAGCTTTACTTTGCTTATTTATGGTTAATAGAGTTCCTTCCACATAATCTGCAGAAGACAAACACTCTTCTTTATAATAAACAAGCACAGATTATTGGATTTGAGTTCATCCATTAATTATTCTGTGGAGTTTAAGGTGAGAAATCCCCCTTTGTAGTTTTTCACTCTGTAACTTCTCACTGTTTCATTTCCTTGAACATACTGGTGATGGTTAGCGGAGCTTGTGTAGCACAGAGCTGTCCTTTCCTTGATTTCGATACTCATCAGTCCCACACTCACAAGGATCCAGCTGATCCTTGTTCCTGGTCCAGTGATCGGAGACATCGGAGTCCCCAGCCAGAGACGTGATGGGACACATAAGCTTCTCATCCAGGCTACGTTCCTCGTTTTGCTATTGCACTGAGCTTATTGATGGGTGTCCCTTGGCACAGGAACAGAGGCTCTCATTTATGGCAGTGCTGTCTGATGATGTGGGCTTGTGCAGCACAGAGAAGCCAGAGGGCCAAAGACCTCTGACGCTTCATGGTCAAAGACTAACAAGATTCAAGGTTTGATTTACCAGTGGTCCATGTGTCTATGACTGATTTCTTTACTTTCATCTCTCTATATTAACACTTGCAGGCAGTTGATGAGCATCATGACCCCTACAGTCACAGGATCATGTGACTTGTTCTGGTTCTGGGGGGTTCGACTTCCCTCTGAGGGAGAATTTAAAGAAAATCAATACAAATTTGTTGTGAGCAAATGCCTTTTCTATTTAATAACATGTTTCTATCCCGATGGGTTCATCTTTTTACGTGCAGCCTTGTCAGTGTAGCTGTGAGTGTTGCTGTGCAATAATATTTTAAGTGCAGGAAGGACAAAGAGCAGAATAGTTGTTCATTACCATGGCTAAAATAATAAGAAAACCAATATAGCATCATTACTGCCTGTGCTATGAAGCATTTGCATGCTCTGCACAAAAATGTGCAAAGCGAGTCAGAAAACCTGTCAGTTTGTCATCTAACTTGACTGATTTGTTCCATTTTATTTTTCAGGATCATGCGAATGTTAGACCAACATCCTTAATGTGTGTGCAACCCGCCGAGTCTGCAGAACAGTTTATATTATGTATGTATGTATATATATATATATATATATATATATATATATATATATATATATATATATATATATATATATATATACATACATATATATAAAGTGGCAATCTAACTTGATTTGTGCAGCCTTATTTAATGTCAGCCACCCTGCAAATTCAGGTCATCACAAAAGATAGCGAGCAAGGCGACATTATACCAGCACTCGGTTTGTTATCTGTCAGTCGGCATGAGCTAACAAACAATACTCCAACGAAGATTTAAAAGATTTACAAGTGTGGCCGATTTCGTTTCTGTGTGGCAATATGATTTTTTCAGGCCTTTGATAGAAAAAAACTTCAGAAAAACAGATTTTTTTATTGGAGAAGATTCACAATAAGCTTCAGGTATTAGTATGTGGAAAAAATCAATACAAAATAGTCATGATTTATATGATACATGAGGTCATTTTCTTCAAGACTCCTGTTTTTTATTTTTATTTTTTTTCCTGAATTCTTGAATGGGTCAGCTGCCCCCTGCTGGCCCTTTGAAAAAGTGCAGCTTAAACTATTTATACCTTGAGACTACTTGAATCGAGACTTAAATGTATATGTTTGGCTATGAAATAACAGACAGAGTTGTACTTCTAGGCTTATAGTAAAAACAACTAGAGATCTTAATTTAGCCTGTATTTAAAAGTAAATCCTTTCAGAATAAAAGCAACAATGGAACTTTGGAAACTGATTAGTTTCTCCAAGTTAAACTAATATCATTAGAGCTGGTGTCATCACTTTTACAGCAGCATTATATCTATTTTTGTCATATTTTATGTTAAGTAGAGAAGTATTTAATGAAAAACAGAAGCGACCCGAGTACAGAACCTTGTGGATTTCCTAAACTACTTGTGTAAACTAGCTGTTTTTCCTCTACGGTGATTCAACTTATTTGATTCCATTGTCAGTTTTTGTGTTATGTGTTGTGGTTATTCATATTGTTTGTGTGTTAGGGTTCTTTAGAATGACTCCAGATTTGAAGTGAACTTGTTTTTTTCTGCCTTCTATAAGAGGAAATGAAACTGGTTACTGAACTTTAATCCTCTGAGTATTGCTATTTGAACTGAAGCTCTGCCACTGTGAAAAGAAGGTCTCTGAATTCTGTGCTATTAATACATCAATGTCTTTTGTCCGCTGTCCTCTACACATTCTGAAAAGTGTGCAAGTCAACCATCGTCTGTGTTCACCACAAAGCCTGACCTCTCCAAATGTCATCCTGTATCAGGCTCTGCTCCAGTGCTTTGTACACGAGGCTGGCCGTCTCATCCCATTGCAGGGTCTGTGTTGGAGCACACGACATTTTAACTTTGGTGTTTATTGTGGGACAGAGTAGAACTGTCTGCTGCTTTTAGTGTTTTCAGCTGAGGTGTTAAAAGCAGTGGCACCGCCTTTGGGCTATTTCCTGTCCTCTATAGGTGGTTATTGTCTTTACTGCTACTTTTACTTTTCACTTTTATTTATTTATTCATTTATTTTTTCATACAGTGTTCCTGCTCTCCCAGTGAAGAACCTGACTGGTTCAGGACCAGTTCACCCAGCATTAGCAGGTTAGACCAACGTGACACATTATGTTTTTGTCAGCATTTGTTTTCAGTTATGATAAAACAATCGTTTTCACTGAAGGAAACTTTACTGTTGCTCTTTTTTTCCACTCTGTGTGTGTGTGTGTGTGTGTGTGTGTGTGTGTGTGTGTGTGTGTGTGTGTGTGTGTGTGTGTGTGTGTGTGTGTGTGTGTGTGTGTGTGTGTGTGTGTGTGTGTGTGTGTGTGTGTTATACACGTATCAGGTATGACCGGTATCCTGATGTGCGCTGCAGGTCTGCCAGTTTGCCTGACTCGAGCTCCAAAGCCCATTCTGCACCCTCCGCCTATCAACAAGAGCGACATGAAGCCGGTGCCGGGGGTCAATGGCATGCGCCGCAAAACCAAGAAGAAGCACCTTAAGAGGGGTGAGTTTGGAAAATATCAAGAGAAGAAACCATGTACTAAATTTTTGTATTAGCCATCAGTATTGCTTAAAGTGACTGTGCATATTTTCCTGGAGATAGGGGGCAGTAGATACCTAAATTGTTGCAAGCAAGCAGTATTTTTGTGCTGGAGTAAGACCTTACCAATGGATGCCCATTAGGGTCAAAAATCCCTGGGGAGTGCAAACTTCAGCAAAATAACAAGCACATCAGACTCCCTTTCATCACTGGCAACAAATGAAGAGGTAAATGTGTAAAACAACATTTAAGAATGATAAACGTTTTGTAGCCATTTGTTACGAGTCAGTAAATGCATTTTGTCCTCATGGGCTTCCATAGAAGAAATATGGCTTCTAATATGGCGTCGCCCAGAGACTTAGACCCGCTGACCCGATTTTTATGGTTATATGTTATGAAGCCGCCAATATTTGTCAACAACAGGGCATCATATCATTCATTTTCAACAACATTTTGATGGATGTTTTAACCCTCTCAGGCTCAAAATAAGTTTTGATAAAAGGACGAACAACTAAGTCCTTCAGGGGTACTTCAGAGTTAAAAAAATGCTCATGAAATACGTATGTGGAGTAACCAGGTAGGTAGTTTTAACTGTTGCAAATCTGCAACACCTGCCTCCACAGGGTTAATAATAAAAACTACACATTGTCTCTTTAAGTTACTAAATGAATGAGTTTAAATAGAAGATAAAACTACATTTGCAATTGTTTGAAAGATTTGAGGCAGATAATCAACACCTGTTGTGCTTTTAGATGCATTTAGAGTAAGAAGTTGAGTAAGTGCTAGTAAGAGCTGAATGATTAATTGATTTGTTTGGCCCCATCTGAGTTATCTTCCTGCTGTTAGTTAGCACTTCACACCCACAAACTTCAGTTTTTAGATTTCACTTTTTGAAATTGTCTAAAACAAAAAAGTCAGGCAGTTTGTGGGATGTTTGGGGGGGGCTCCTACTGTCTTCTGAAAATCACAAACCTGTGATAACATTAACAAATCTAATTTCTATAAAAATGAGAAAAGCTGTCACGTGTGTGAGTTTCAGGATAATGTTTACCAGGCAACATCAACCACAAACACTTTATAATGCTTCATAGATACCATCACTTTCATTTAACTCTGTTCTTGTTGCAGCCAGGAAATCCAGCAGAATGTGTTACTTTAATACTCAGTAACCAGGCTAACTGTTTCTAGCGATGAAAAAGGCAATAACGTGCAATTCTGTGTTCTGTTCATCCTGACAGTATATTGCGACTTGAGCCTAAGAGAAATTAAACAGTGGTGTGTGAGGTAGCCATATTGTTTTTTCAGACCTAGGTTGGTCGGAGGTTTTTTACTTTCCAAAGTCAGGATTCCTAACTGGACTTGAAATAATATGTTCATAAATGTAAAGGTTGAGAGAAAACTGAAAAGCAGACATGATCTGAATTCAAAGGTGATAAACTTCAATTACAACTTTGTAGGTATTAAAAATGATTCACTTCACGTTTCAGCTGCAAAATTACCACAACCTAAAAAAATAGCCAAGATATTTCTTTAGATACTTATAGACAAATGTTTACTCTACATGTCTAGATCGAGGACTCATTACATCAATTTGGAAGGCAACTCAATTCCCACCAGATTTACAAGATTAGCGTCACACAAGAATGAATCCTGTCAAGTTTCAAGCTGTTTGGCCCAAGCAACGTCCCGTCCTGACAGATTCACTGATTTTAGGTCAAACAAGCGTCAGAACTTAAAGGTGACACTGTGTGTGTGTGTGTGTGTGTGTGTGTGTGTGTGTGTGTGTGTGTGTGTGTGTGTGTGTGTGTGTGTGTGTGTGTGTGTGTGTGTGTGTTATTTAAGTTATGATAGTTCTAATAGTTCTATGGTCCATACAAAATATGTTCATGAATTTTATTTATTTATTTATTTATTTTGCATGAAATCACTCTCACATAAAGCCACCAGCTCTATTCTTTCAGTACATTTGATAATGAGCCGTTTCAAGGTTCTGTCACTTTGAGGTAAACAAGCTGTTGCCGGCCATGCCCACCCACCCCCTGATTGGCTGAATCTTTATCTCCCTGTCTTTTTTGAAACAGCTCATTGTAGGCATATAGAGCTCCAGACGTCACGTGATTCTCAGAGAGTAGACGCCATGTTGGCAGGCAACAAAGGTAAACAAAATGAACGGGATCGGCTTGGATTTTACTCCGTTGGAGTTTACTTCACACTTTAAAACCGAAGAAATCGTTTTATATAGTCAGAAATTAAATAGACTAAACATCTCCGACCCGTACCGTGCCCCTGGGATCCTTTTTAAAAATGCCAGAAGCTGTCGCAGCGGACCTGGCCAGGGAATACCTTGGGATTTCCCCGGAGGAGCTGGCCCAAGTGGCTGGGGAGAGGGAAGTCTGGCCCTCTCGACTTAGGCTACTGCCCCCGCGACCCGACTCCGGATAAGCGGATGAAAATGGATGGATGGACAAATAACATAGATTTACATGTAAGTAGTTTAAATAGAGTGCTGTGCTGTTTGAATGTATAAACTGAACTCCAGGAGAAATCACTAGTCTGATTTTTTCCGTGAATAAAATAAATATGTCAGGCAGGAGCGTCTCAGGATCTGTCTGAGATCTGTCTCGGTGAAACAGATAATAGCAATCCAAAGTGCTTTTTATGTGTGAGCTGACAACTGATCAACCATTGCTTAAAAATGAAATACAGCTTAGCCGATTTATTGCTGTGATCATAAAACACGTAAACGGCAGCCCGCAGAACTCACGAGGCAACGTTTTACGTGATGTTTACTTGTTGCTATGAGTAATAAGACAGAAAAAGCCACGCCAAAATAAGTTTAGGAAGCCCACTAAGAATCGTAATAAAAGCATTTAAAATAAATACCATACACAGTTGAGGAAACGTTGGTTTAAGTACCTGATATGAAGTGGTCTCTGCATAAGCGAAAACCTTTACTCTCAGGATCCCACAGTTTCATTTTAGCCCGGTCACTAGCGGGTTTCATTGCAATGATTCAACGTTTGCGGCGTTCCGGATCTTGGGGAATCCTGTAGATGGCTCATCCCTCATGTCATCCGCATCTGTTCTGCATCCTGGGGCGCAACAGGAATCTACCATATTTCCCGTTCGATTGAGTTTTCTGACAATAACAAATAGCCCAGCTGCGGGCTTCTGCCTACCAAGATGGCGCCGTTTCGATTTGAACTGTTGCATGCCGGTAGAAGTGACGTCTACTCCCGGAGCTCTATAAATCCTAAAACAAAAAACTGACAGAAAGTAGATGTTTTTGTCATATTTGCTACCGGCATCCTGGCATGCTTCTCAGTCAATGACGCAATGCACCTGTCCCAAGTCGGCACACTTGTGTACTCATGCGTATGATGCACTTGAAGCCATTCTGCGCACCTCCTCAAAGTGCACTTCACAGAACGGTGTAGGGCGCAGTGTGAGAATTGGGATTGGACCAGACAACCAGACACTGTGCATGTTGGTTCCTTGTCAGCTTTTCTTTTGGGAATCTAAGTGAACTTTAGCATTCACTGATGCTTTTAATTACACATTTGCTTCACCTGCTGTGCATAATTAGATCAAATCTCTACATCAACAGGTCTCATAAAATAATAGAATATTTTCACCTGTGTTTCCCCTTTTCATTAAGTCTGTTTATTGCAACATTTCTAGAAAAATCCATAGAAATTCAGAGTATGTCCTCTGGCTGGCCTTCACAAACAAACAAAGCCTTATGAGGGGACAATGGTTGCCTGCAAAGCGTATTAGGGTGTAAACTGAGGGGGTGTGTTCTCAGCCCGGTTCCACACAGGGATTATCAGAGGGTTGGTTGTGGGCCAAATGGCCAAGTTAAGGGTGACGTCATCTCAGTAACACATAGAGAGTATGCTTTGAATTCTGAACTGTTTGGATGGTAAGATGTTTGTGATGTATTGAAATGTCATGCAGTTTTCTTTTTTCAACAAGGGAAAAACCCGGAGGATGTGGTGCGAAGATACACTGAGAAGATCAAAGTAGTTCAAGATGAGGTAAGAACCCAAACTCACAGAAGACCTAAAGAGCTCTGCAGCCACCATGAGATGCAGTCTGTTCCTAACTGAGTGAAATAAATAAATATCCAGCCATGCACATGCAGAGTAACTGTAGAGGTATTCTGGTTGCCTATTCTAGGACTGTACCATCTGCATGGAGAGGCTGGTGATGTCGTCAGGCTACGAAGGCGTCCTGCAGCAGAAAGGCATCAAGCCAGAGCTGGTGGGCAAACTTGGCAAATGTGGTCACATGTACCATCTGCTGTGCCTGGTGGCCATGTACAACAACGGCAATAAGGTGGGTAAAAGCTTGTGAGCCAGACGTTATGATGTCGCTCACAGCTCAAATGGAATCTTTGAGACGTCTTACAGCTTGACTGGTTTCCATGACGCTGAAAAGCGATCCAGCCAATTATAGCTCTTCTAGAGTTAGAGTCCTCTTGTCAGACCAGCATAAACACAGTCCTTGATAAAAAAAATCCCTGTAAGGTTGCTCACTTTATTCTGCTGCCACAGAATGTTAATGTAGAAGCAGAGGTGAATAAAAACATGTTCCATCAGCCGCATTTGGGTCACTAATTCAATTATAGAATATATTTGGGTTTTAAGATGAGTAGATTTCTGTCTCTGTCCTAATTTGTGGTAAGGAAGTTCATGGAAAAAATACTAAAAACAATCAAATGTTCAAACAAAAAGATGAACAACTTTCATTCTACCTTAGTGTCTTAACATTAAAATAACAAAAATTCACCTCAATTAATTATTAAAGAGGTTCTTCATTGAGAAACCATTTTTTCATTATTTTTGAAAAAGATCCATCACTCTTGAGTTTTTCATGCAGGCTGAACATGACGGGACAGTGAAACTCTAGGATTGGGAAATCCTGACAGATCTACGTCACACTGTCACTTAACATTAATGGACTCACCCATCTTGGCTCACGACGGGGAAGGCTGTTGTTGATTCAGCGTCCAGGAAACAGCAGAGTACGTCTCAGCCACCAGAAGCTAACCATTAACATTGGGAACTCTAAAAAACTGCAAAACAAAACAGCTTGTTGCTCTTAGCCAGTCAGAGACGAGATGTCCAAATATCAGGAAAAAAGATGCAAATCCTGCCATCTGAAGCTACTTTCTCCATCCATCCATTTTCGGCCACTTATCCAGGGTCAGGCTGCGGATGCAGCAGCCTAAGCAGGGAGGCCTATTTCCCTCTCCCCGGCCAATTGGGCCAAGTCTTCCAGGGGAATCCCAAGGCGTTCCCTGGCCAGCTGAGAGACATATGGGCCATTCCCATCTGTACAGGGTCGGCCCGGGCCGGGTAGCCCCAGTCGGCCCCAGCCTGGCCCGGTTGATTCCACACATCCTTGCCTTAAGCCCATGTGGGCTGATTCTACCCACCAATCAGAGGCTTGCTCTAATGGAAGGTGTGAATTTGCTGTCAGCAGTGGGTGTGTTGGCTCTGGTCGGCCTGAAGCAGACCCCCTCGAGAAGAGGGCTGAGAATGAGCCTTGGTTGGCCAGGAAAAATACCAGGCCACCCAGATATGTAAACAACCCACGCTACCCGGCCCGGGCCGACCCGGTACAGATGGGAATGGCCCAATAGTCCCTCCAGCGTGTTCTGGGTCTTCCTTTAGGTCTTCTCCGGGTTGGACGTGCCTGGAACACCTCACCAGGGAGGCATCCAGGAGGCAACTAGGTGCCTGAGCAACTCATTCTTTCGGTCACTAAATACCCAAATACTACCCAAAGCTCATGACCATATAGGTGAGGGTAGAAATGTAGATCGACTGACAAATAAAGAACTTTGCCTTCCAGCTTTGCTCTCTTTTCACACACGACAGATCGGTACAATGCGCGCATCACTGCAGATGCAGCACCAATTCACCTGTCGATCTCTCGCTCCAGCTTTCCCTCACTTGTGAACAAGACCCTGAGATATTTACACTCCTCCACTTGAGGCAGGACCTTATCCCTGACCTGGAGAAGGCATTCTACTCATTCCCGATTCAAGACCACGGTCTCGGATTTAGAGGAGCTGATTCTCATTCCAGTTATTTCAGACTCGGCTGTGAACCGCTCCAGCAAAACCTGGAGATCACGTTCTGATGAAGCCAACATGACCATGCAAAAAGCAGAGACTCGATCCTTAGGACACCAAAATGAATCCCCTCAACACTTTGGCTGCACCAAGGAGTCCTGCCCATAAAAGTGATGAACAGAATCGTGACAAAGGGCAGCCCTGGCGGAGTCCAACTCTCACCGGCTATTTTCACCAACTTGCTGCTGTTTGCTGGTGCAGTGCAGGAAACAGCTCATTGTGGATTTTCTGATGCTGAAAACAGATGTTCACTAAAACAGTCGTGGTGAGACTTGGCAGTAAAGCTGACTAAATCAGTAAAACGGCAGCTCAACAAATACAGTAAAACAATGAGCTGAAACTCACCATAAAGTCTGTAAAGCTGAGTGCAAAGTCAGGAGTTAAATCTTGCTTCTCTCATTAATATCAGCAACCTCTTTCATATGAAAAAAAGCCTGACTCGTTCTAAAAGCTTAATTATTGACTAATGCAGCTTTAGATGCATTATTTCATGATTTTAACTTTTCTTTGCATCAGCTTTAACAAAGACTGATAAGGTTTTTAGGGTTTTTTTTAAACATCGTCTTCCTCCGCTTATCCGGGTCCGGGTCGCGGGGGCAGCATCCCAACCTCCAGACCGTCCTCTCCCCGGCCGTCTCCACCAGTTCCTCCGGCAGGACCCCAAGGCATTCCCGGTCCAGATTGGAGATGTAACCTTTCCAACGTGTCCTGGGTCGACCTGGGGGCCTCCTGCCGGCAGGACATGCCTGAAACACCTCCCCGGGGAGGCGTCCAGGAGGCATCCTGACCAGATGCCCAAACCACCTCAACTGACTCCTTTCGATCAGGAGGAGCAGCGGTTCTACTCCGAGTCCCTCCCGAATGTCCGAGCTCCTCACCCTATCTCTAAAGCTGAGCCCGGCCACCCTACGGAGGAAACTCATTTCGGCCGCTTGTATCCGCGATCTCGTTCTTTCGGTCATTACCCAAAGCTCATTACCATAGGTGAGGATTGGGACGTAGATCGACCGGTAAATCGAGAGCCTGGCTTTCTGGCTCAGCTCCCTCTTCACCACGACAGATCGGTTCAGCGTCCGCATCACTGCAGACGCCGAACCAATCCACCTGTCGATCTCCCAATCCCTCCTACCCTCACTCGTGAACAAGACCCCAAAATACTTAAACTCCTCCACTTGAGGTAGGACCTCTCTCCCGACCCGGAGTTGGCAAGCCACCCTTTTCCGTTTTTTTTTAAACATGATACCTTTAAATGAAATGAGTCAGCATCCCATTATTGTTTCTGTAAACCAACTGAGTTTGTTTTACCTCAACACCAGGATGGCAGTCTACAGTGTCCAACATGCAAAACCATCTATGGTGAGAAAACTGGCACTCAGCCTCCGGGGAAGATGGAGTACCACGTCATCCCCCACTCCCTGCCCGGCTATTCCGACTCCAAAACTATCCGCATCGTTTATGACATTCCTGCTGGGATCCAGGTAAAACCAGTCTGGCAGTCTGTGCAGAAGGGAGACTTGTGATGCAGTCCTAAGGATCAGATAGAAAGTCTGATTTGTTTTGGTGTTTAGAGTCTTGGTCAAAACTGAGCTGCATATTTTTTCCCGCCTGCTGAGATTATCGTTAGAGGAGCTTATTCCAGCAGATTGGAAAGCCTTAATGTCCCCAGGGTCAGAGTAGATGAGGTCATGACCTCTCTGCCACACAAAGCATCATTATCCAGGACTATCCTGAAGGTCTGATGATTCTCTCTAACGCTCTAGTTGTGTATGTACGGAAACCTTTTAAGTTAAGCGAATAATAAATAGATTATTGTTTGATGTTCTTAATAATGTTAACAGACAAATGAGCACCCCAACCCTGGTAAAAAGTTCAGCGCCAGAGGGTTCCCTCGACACTGCTACCTGCCCGACAACGAGAAAGGCAGGAAGGTGAGCTCCTACACCTTTTCCAGAAAGCAAAGTCTCTTCCCTCTGGGATTCATACCATCCTTCCCCTTGTTTTCTAAACCCTCCAGGTCCTGAAACTGCTAATCATGGCCTGGGACCGCCGTCTCATCTTCACAATCGGCACATCCAGCACCACAGGAGAGTCGGACACCGTGGTGTGGAACGAGATTCACCACAAAACGGAGTTCGGCTCCAACCTGACCGGCCACGGCTACCCTGACCCCAACTACTTGGACAATGTGTTGACGGAGCTGTCGGCCCAGGGCGTCGGCGAGGACAACCTGAAGGACTGATGGCCAGCTAAGACGAAAACCAGCAGCAGCACCCCCTTCATCCATCAGAGAACAGCGACGCCTCACTCAAACAAGCTCAAATATCCCCTCAAGTTGTGGAATGGGAGGAATCGAAGCAGAAATAAGTGATGACGTTTTGTTTGATTCATGCCTCCAGCATGTGTAAATCAGAAGATATGAGGTTGTATTATTGCCGGAAGCTGAAGTAAATTGTATTTAATCAATTTTAGATTCAAACCAACGCTTCTTTGCACTTGAAGTTGAGCAGCAACGGCCAAACCTCCAAGGCTCTTGAGCGTATGGCCCAGATGAGCTCTGCAAAACGAATGTCCACCAAATATCAGCAACAGAGCGAGATGTTGGTCGTTCACTCCGAGAATTTCAGCTTTAACAGTGAATCCAAATTGCTTTTAACTTTCAGAATTATTTAACTGATCGTGTCGTTTGTGTATTTTTAAGAAGAGGATCCAGGGTTTGGTGAACCAGTTAAATGACAGTGAGTTCTGCAATAAAAGTTCCTTCTCTAGAGAGCTCAGAGCTGGTGTTTAATGGTCAGCACGGTCGGTGTGGTCACCGTTGTGCAGGACGTGTCACTTAGCGGCTCATAACGGCGTGTTAGAACTTGAGATGCTGAGTTCACAAGGCAGGAACTGCACTCGTGCTCCAAGGTTAAACTCATTTGTTTTGTTGACACGCTGATGAGGCTGACCTCTGTGAATGTAAAGCCTGCATTATTACTCTCCTAGTTGGAGCGGTCCCAGCCGCTGGCTCGATCCATCATGCTGTGAGGAGTGAGTGTGTGATTGCTTGCTTTGGAGCATTTTTGTGCTAGCTTCAGGTCCTTGAGGAAAACAGGCAGGACACCCAATTGGACGTTCGTCTTTCAGACACCAACCATTTTCCTTTAAGAGCTTCATCTTGGGCTCCTGCCTGCTTGTGTGGCGAGCAGCTAAACATCTTGTTTCCTGCAGGGTTTTAGTACCAATCCTTCTGTAGGAATTTGACAACAATTTCCCTGTTCCTCAGCTGCAGAGCGTTTCATCCAAAGAGTCACGCAGTTCGTTGGCTCTGAACTCTACACACACACACACACACACACACACTTTCCCCTTGGATTTCATGCCTCTGAGCTTCAGATTCTCAATGTTTCTTGACTCTGAGATGAAAGACAGACTAATGGTGCAAAAATCTCTGCAAGATTGGATCAATTTCAGTGAGTAAATATAAGGTTTTTGAGTGGCCACCCAGCTGTGGGGTGAATCATAGTCTTCCATAGCACTTTGAGGCTACTTTATGTTCAATTAGCCTGTTCAATTTTTGTAAAACAAAAACATATTGCAATGAATTCTGTCTTTTTATTTTAAGTAGACATTTATAAACTGGCTTGTGATGCTTTAAAACACACACACACACACACATATTTGCAGACATGGTATAATTTAACTCAGTTTGAGTCGGTGGTGTAAGTTCAGTTTATTTTTATACTCTGTATAGAAAAGATGCCCCACATATTTATACGCGGGCACATGATAAAATGAACTCATAAAATCTGGCAAAATTTGTCAGCTTGTCAGGGACTGAAACACGTGGGACTTGTAACGAACGTTATATTGCAAATAGTCTTAGCGTCATGCTGCTGTCGTTACCTTAATCTTGGATCTGTTTAGCTGATTTCCTGTTGGACACCAATGAATCCAGTAAAGCAGCATGAAGCTGACCCTTAAAGCCCCTGTGATAGGCCAGTTTTGTCTTTCTACTTGTACAGAACACAAGAAGAGATGTAGTCAGTCTTTATGTTAGGTCTGGAGGGATTCACGCATATTTTTAAGAGTTTGTTTTGGTGTTCAGGGTCTAGAAATTCTGAATATGTTACCCAAACAGGAGAGGAAATTTGTATTAAATTGCAGTGAAATCTGGTTTAATTTTGACTGTGACAGTTTATTTCTGCTGCAAATAACCATTGAATTATCCTACAGCAATGCAAAGGTTTATAAAATATGTTTGCATTAAAGTCAGTAATTATCTATATGAAATAGATTTTAGGACTGCGTTGATCGATCTTATAACTGGCCCTGTTCAGAACAAGCCTACCTGCAGGTCTGGTTAGATCTTTGCAAAAACTCAGTTATCTGCATTTTTAAAAAAAGGCAATCTACAGATCTGAACTGGGGCTTCTGTGATGAGCACATGCTACTAGCTGGTTGGATCTGAAACTGGCACATTTCTCATCTGATATAGGCAGTTTTAACTTTAAAGTGGCAGTGTGTAGTTTCCTGGCGCTGTAAGGGCAGTACATACCTACATTACAGGGCAGTTGTACACCATATTGCCATGACTGTTGCTAGTTTAAAAAAGATATTACAGTAAATGTTGTTACCTGTGGAGCAGAAAGCATGCAACCTTGGCGTGACTCCTCAAGCTTTGATGGTCCTTCAGTTAATTCCATCGAGAGAATGCAATGCTGATGCTAGTTTTCTGGCACTGAACTTTCCAGATATGCTTAGGGTCCTGCGCCTGCCGATGATGTCATCATACTACAGCAATACTTCTCGGTCAAAATATATTGCATCTTTTTTTTAGTTTGTTCTTTCACATAGATTTTGGAAACAGGTTAGCAGTTTTGTGATTAGATTTGTATTTCTTACTGCCTAAATGTTTTTGAACATTGTAACGTAACTATTGTAAGTCGTATGTCCGGCCAATCATCCAGTGTGACATCATCGACAGGTGCAGGACCCCGAGCCACCCAGAAGAAAACATGGCGTCTAATATGGCATTCCCCCAAACATGCTAGACACCTTCATACTTTAGACCAAATGTTTGCCTTTGTATGGCACAAAGTCACAACTGTATATCATTTTGATCATTTTGATGAAAATATCCAGAGATTAAAGGTAAAAACTACACATTGTCTCTTTAAATTGTATATTTCTAACAGTTTTTGCTTTTTGGTAACCCACGTTAACCAAAACAAACTCCTAAAAGGTGGGATTCAGATCCAAATTGATTCATTTTGATCTACATGAAGTTTTTCTTCTCCACATCTTCTTTACACACTTTACTTAAAGGTGCAGTAAGAATATAGTGTGAATTTTACAGTGATAAAATCCCAATAGAGTCTAATGTTTCAGTCATTTTAGAACGAAGGTTATACTGAAACATGTTTCATATCCAGCTGGCTGCTGTGGGGTGAGCCAACACTGCAGCGCCAACAATTGTAATTTGAATACAGCCTGCAAAAAAGCTCCAGAGTTGTTTAAAGTGGTTGCAGTAATCAAATTTTCCCACAGGATGTCATTTTTATATTCATTTCTACACAATGCACCTTTAAAATGGACATCAAGGGAGAATGATTCTAATCGGGGAATTCTTGGCTCCACGTCGGCTCCAGAGCTTCAGCAGTTACAGAATGAAGAAGAGAGAGATGGTTTTTATGCAATTTACTATTTTTAAGACTTTAAGGTGACTCGGATGTGTAGCAGAAAGGCAGATTTCTGGTTTTAAGGACAGCGGGTGTTTTCTTTACCTCCTGTTTAGCTACTGGGGGGAGTCCGAGGGCGTTAACCAGCTACGTGTTTGAAAACATATATTTTTAAGTCTTTTTTTAAATGTCTAAAATAATTCTTACATAACATTACTTTGTTATTGAGATTTGTTTCACACTGTTGCATTTACGTAATTAGAGGTAGATCAAGCGATACATCCACTTTGTCTGTATTCAAAGTTGTACGTTCTTGTAGTTTCTGCTGCAAACTGTACTTCTCTCTAAACGATATGGTGTGTGTGTGCGCGCTATGGCTTGTGTCCTTTAAAGATGCAGTTATGTTCTAGAAGTGCATGTTAACCAAACTGTGAGTTGGTGTACTGACGATGCATAACTCTTTGTGTATGAGACATCCTAGAGTCTTTGTGGTTTTAGAGGTCGTAGTTTGATCTCCGCAGGGGGATGGGTCAGCGTTTGGCTGCTATCCTCATTGCTCAGACATCCTATATAAGTCATTTGAATGTTTTGCATTTTAAGTGCCCATTTTAACAGACTTGTTTTAATCATGATTTTGTGTGTGTATGTGTGTGTGTGTGTGTGTGTGTGTGTGTGTGTGTGTGTGTGTGTGTGTGTGTGTGTGTGTGTGTGTGTGTGTGTGTGTGTGTGTGTGTGTGTGTGTGATTTCTTTTAAGCAGTGTGACGTAAGCTAAATGCAAACTATTGAGACACTGTTTAAACTATAAAGGGCTTCTTAATCAGTCGGTCTTTATTGTGATGACCTTGTTGCATGTTTATGTGTTTCTTTGTGGAAAAGAAATATAAACGTAAAAATAAATTTGCCCTTGGGGCTCTGAGATATTTTGTTTCAAGTCTGCTTCATTTAATTCTCAGTTGTTGGTCTGTCCATTTGATTTGCTAATTGGTTTTATTACAAATATTTGCTTTTACCATTATTATTTTCCTCTAACAACGGTAAATTATAGTTGTTTGTTGTTATTGTGCAATCTGACCATGGACATAATTTTCACTATAGAAGCGAGGGGGGCGGGGGGGGGGGTGTCTTTACAGTATGCTGTAATGGGAAACAGGCTTCAACACAAACGGTTGTTTTCCGCTTGGTCCTAGAGCTCAAATAGTGTCAATTTAATACAGCGTAATATTGTTTTTGGATGGTAAAAATTACAGGGGTCAAAACTTGACTTTGGAAAAAGTGGGGCGGGGGGGACATGTCCAGCCCCCCACCCACCCCCACCCCCACCCCCACCCCCAAATTACATCCATGGATCTGACCCTTGATCAAAGCTGGCCCTGGGGCTTACTCAGCAGCAGTCTGCTGCCACAGATTCCCTCCTGGCTGGAGCCCAGACCCAGACGCAGGTAGCTTTAAACCCCCAGCCCCCCCACCCCCAGCCCCCCCACCCCCCGCCCCCCAGCCCCCCACCCCCCCGGCCTTCCTTTTCTTACCGCTTCCTCCTCCTGCCTGATGGGAGATTCTGCTGCATCACTGCAGGTCACGCTGCTCTCATTAGCATTATAATACTTGACTCTTGCATTGTGCAGGCTGAAGCTATGCTTGTCTGACTACATGATTCATTTGAACATCGTGGTAACTGTGACCCTGTTCTGGGATCAGCACCAATGTGATACTATCTGTGGTACTGTGAATAAACTCATCTTATTTCCTGATATAAAGTAAACATTGCATTTGGACATCTTGTACACACATTAAGAAAAAGGCAACTTATTTTTATTTGAGTTTGATGATTTCAGATTTTAATAAATATTAGTTACATTACACCTGGTAAAAGAAAATATCAAAATCAGTTTTCTTCTTCATACCAGGAACTTAGATTTCTAGAGAACGAAGTTCACAAACCAATAATGTCGCCCTGAAATATCATTACTGGGTGGCAAATAAATAAAGCAAAAATGTAAAAGCAGCAAATCCACAAAAAGGTACAAAATCACTGAATAAAATGTTACTGTGGTTTCTAAATAGCATAAATTAGCATGTTAGGCACAGGCATGTACACTTTTAGAGAAAAAAAGTTTGGGCACTTGGACAATTTTCACAATACCAAATTATTATAGATTCCTAAAAATATGGCTTGTTCAGTGTCATCAACTATGGCCTTTTATATCATTGTTTATTCTGTTCTGCTTTAACTATTTTAATACTCAAACTATTGTAATAAACATTTCTTTACTTTAATGACCATGTTCTAATCAACTTAAACCCAGTTATTACAACCCTTTTTTCCTGGCGGTGCTGTGCAGGATAGCTTTAGATTGATGGCGGCGAGAGTTCCTCCTCCAGAATGGCTGAATCACACAAGACTTTGAAGGAAGAGTGGCTTGTTGTTTTGACGGTCCCGTTTCTTAAATATGACTTGAATAAACTGCTCTTCAACTCTCTCACATCACAAACATATGTTCAGTTCTGTTAACCGTCTCCTGCACCAAACACCAAAACAAATCCCTCATAACAACTGACATGGAAATAATACTAATTCTGAATTTATTTATTTATTTATTTTGAGTAATAATTCCCCCTGTTTAAGATTTTTTTTTCCCCAAGTTTACAAAAAAAATGGCATCTCAAGCGAATTCTGAGACGTGTGAGTCAGGTAAACGTCATGACTGTCAGCATGGTTACATCAAGCGTTAGGTTGTTTTAAAATGGATTTCAGATGGACTGGCCATAGCGCCACACAAAAGCACATTGTTTTGTGTAAAGGGAACAAAGCAACTTAATACTAAAGTGGCATACTGTACAAGCAGCAATACACTGAGGCATCATTACTGTGGTACCATGACCTGTAACCATACTCTGTGCTACGTACGGTCGTGGTGATAAACTGCCTCAACAAACATTCAAAGCACAAGTATCAAAGCAGCTCGCATTCAGGAACAGTAGATTACATTACAACAAGCTTTCTTTTCTTTTCTTTGTTTTTTTTTTTTGCATAAAATTGAATGACTGAAATTCTGTACATTTTCTTTAAATATAAAAGCTTATTTTCACATTTAACAAGTGTAAGCAAGTCATGCAATGGATTGATTGTTATCTACAGAAACAAACAAGAAGTCAGATCATGCTTTAAAGTTCTCCACCCTCTTATCACCTTCTCCTGACGTTGTCGTTGGTGGCACTCGGAGAATACAAAAGATCAAAAGCAGCGGAGTCTCTTTATAGCAGAACTAAATGTAGAAAAGACGCTGAAGGAGGTTGCACCATGTGGACACTTTTTCCTCTGTTACAATCAAGAGAGTGTGCAGCTCCTCCTCCCTTAACGTCTACACACCGCCATCAGGCGGTGATAGATCTCTGTGCAGACTAGGAATTCAGAATCACACAGGAGGTGTCCTCTTTTTCCCGATGTTGGAAGGCGGCGTGAGCCTGCTCCAGATCCTCAATCACCGCCAGCAGCCGAGCAGCAACACTCTGACCTGGCTTCATCATCTGAACGTTGCACTCTGCGCCATCTGCATACACACAAAAGAATTTACCCACATTTGTGTAAATATAGTCTAATAGAAACATTCAACTCTCATTTGATCTTAATAAATGCAAAACACTTAGCAAAGAGTAAGACAATAGCAAAAACAAAAGCACTGGTTCAGTCTCACCTGGGTGAATGCCAGCATGGATCCTGTTTTCTTTATTGCTCGATGTCTGATCAGCTTCAGGCATCTCCACATATTTTTCCCTGCAGTATCAGACAGAATCTTATCAGATTGCCACAGCCCCCTCTCTGGAGGCTGTTCTGCCTTTTTCATGTAGTGACAGATATATTTATGACTCCATGTGGAGCTAAAAGGAAGCAACAAGCAGACCAGTGACTCTTGTGTTGCAATATAGACCTCTAGTGTTCAATAAGGAAGCTGCAGACGAACACTGACCTGAGTTTGTCTTTGCCCTGGAGGAGCTGCTTGTAAATCATCTGACTCTCCACGTCAGGATCCAGCGGGTCACTCCAGTCACCCAGAGTCACAGCTGAGTGGGTTCTGCTGCAGCCTGTAACTGACACCCGGTCTTTTATTGAGCAGCGGTGCTCCAAACACAAGCAGGGAAAGATGCCACCATGTAAATGATTAATTCATGAAAGGAATATAATCACATGAATGCAGTTAAGCAGCCAAAACAAACTTTAGATAGATGTCCTGAGTTTACTTAAACATCTTTTACATTTAGAGAATGTGAAGAGAAAATCACGCCACCTTCTCAGCCATTATAGAAGCATCAAAAGTTTTATTAGTAGGACTACCGGCACGGTCCGCCTGCAGGCAGCAGGTCCATTTGCCACCACGATGAACGCCCGGATGAAAGGAGGGCAGCATGTGCACATTGTAGATGCTGACTTTCCTTATCGCAGACAGCCACTGGTTCAGCTCATTCACATTCTGGTGAAATGAATGTGAGTTAAATGAGAAACACTGTAGTTATTTTGCATTTTTAGAACGCACACGTGATTTGTAGTTGTGTTTATGGCTGTCTGGAGTAGATACAAACACACCTTGCACTGGATGTACATGGTGTGCATCCGTCCATCGTCGTCATCCTGAGTGATGACCTGCATTACGTTCTGCTGCTGGAAGGCGTTTTCATCCACCCTCTCCACGGCACACACACACTGAACGGGGATTGAAGAGCGCACCTGCAACAATTTCACTAACAATTAACACAAGCATGCCGGTAATGGTGTATCATCCTTTGGCCTGCGACTAATTACATTTTGTTTTACGTTAAATTAAGAAGACAAAGAATTTAATGAAGTCATTTGTCATATAAGGACAAAAACAATCTGCACGCGTCTAGCTGCGGGAAAGGAAGTGATGCTGAGGTCTCAGTGGCAGGGATGGCGACTTTTAAGTGTAAATCAGCCACTTCCAGTGGGAAATGGAGTGCTCCAAACATGGTGGAAAGGGGCCAGGACATTGTCTGCAATCTGATTTGCAATGTTAGTATGAATATCCACAGCCTTTAATTAACCCTCGCCTTTATTCCTGTCGCACAAAGCAGGACCTCGCTCAAAGAGGGGGCTTTTTAGTGGACACGACCAGGCTGCATCTTTCTCTCTCCAACAGTCTGTAGCCAGTAAATGAGAGGAAATCCTTTTCACAGGGTTATGCACCACATGATAATCCTACTACTGATGACCTCACACGGAGATCAATACAAATACATCAAGACAAGAAAGAGATGTACCAAAGGTGTCCTCATTTCGTCATTGCTTGAGCTAGATGTCCAGTGAAATAGTGAAATATTCACTTTCACACATCACTGATTTAGCAGATGAATAATAAATATATGTTTTTATATTAATCCAGAAGGCACAAACAAAGTGGATTTTTATACACTCGAGGATTCTGTTGGAGATTATTATAAGTACAAATTATTGAATGCTACCTCATGAAAAGGAGAGAAACAAAATAAAAGGCACTTATCATACATACTGTGTGTGAGTGCAATATAAAAGCTCTGGTACCAACCTGCAAGTCAGAAGTCTTGGCATAGGACAATGACTCACTAGTCAACCAGAAGTAGCGTTTCTTAAAGGCGAAGCGAGAGAGCAGCTGTGGTCCCTCTGCTTTGTATTTGTGGAGGTATCCCTCCTTGACTGTCACTGACGGCATGAATACGGCCCTCTGGGGCACCGAAGACACTGAAAGGAGCAGAAGAAAACAGATCTACAAGGTGGTGCCCAATAATGTCACAACATATCTTCATTCTTAACACCAATGGCACCTACGTTTCCTTCTACCAGCACAGAGCAAGCTTCAAATCTCCTAATTCTGCAAAACCACATAAATAGCTCTAGATGTCAAACTGGTGGCAGTGATTTGAAGAATGAGACCGACATATCATATGTCATAGAAGGGGCAGATGTTTTCACAGCAGGCTCACTGACACACAATCCTTCAAAAGCAGCTGAGTCATCTATTCTGTAGCTTTAAAACTAGTTATAGAATATTTCAATGCAGAAAAAGCAGCACTGTTTCATATTCTCCAGCATGTCCTCTAAAGTTTGCTTTCGATTACAAGTTTGGACACCGGCCTTACCAATGTCATGATCTATGTCGATCAGCTTGTCTAGGAAGTCCTTGACAGAGGCCACGCTGCGAAGAATGATGGGATGAAGAGGAGCCATCCACTGCTCTTTCCCATGACCCAGCTGAAGGCCTAAGTTTCCAACACTTTGTAACGCCTGGAGACAAAAACACACATCATCCAGTCTACACTAACATCTTTCATCACATCAGAACTCCACTCACTGACAGCAGGTCTCAAAGTCAAAGATCAAAACAGTCCCCTGAGGCCAAGCATGCTGCGAGGTCCTTTGTCCGGCCCAGACCTGGCCTACGGAGAGAGGGGAGTCCCTGTCTATGCCCCTCTCTGATGCTCAGCTTTGAACCGCTGTCTGGTCGCTGCATTCACAGTGGTAAAAATAGCCTGTTCTTTCTCTCAGTAGAAGGCCCATGGCAACAGTACATTAACACCATGGAAAGTAACCACAGTTCTGCCTGGACCACATCAGATGCGGAAGCGCGACGATGCGCCGCAAAGTGCTGTGAAAAAAAGAGTGCTTCTATTCGGCGCCCTTGTTTACCTATGGTCTCAATCACATCAGCTGCAAAGCACCGCAAAACGTGAATATCGCAAGGAAGCACGAAGGCTCGCGTCACGCAGCAATCTTTTTGTGTGTGTGTGTGTGTGTGCTCTATTTTTTTCACGAGCTGCTACAATTGTGGCAGGAAGTCAAACTAAAACAAAAGAGGCAGCACCACAGACAGCAACCACAGTACATCAGCACCAAGGACAGCAACAAAAGAAAGAACTGCGATTGCATAACCGCTATTTTTAAAAATACTAAACATGATGATTTGAGGATAACTTTCACTCAAAATGTTTTATAGTATTTGGTATGACCCGACCAGGATATGAACCCCAATGTCCCAATGCCAGGGCGGACACTCATACCAAAAGGCAGATGAGCCACTAGGCCACTGAGCCGCTGCACTTTATTATATGATGATGATGATGATGATGATGATGATGATGATGAGGATGAGGATAGTGGTGGTGGTTGTTGTTGTTGTTGTTACTATTGTTTGTTTGTTTGTGTGATTGTTTATCCCAATTGGCTCCTAGCGGCCAGAACCCAGTGTCAGTCATCCCCATCAGAGAAGGGCTGATCTAGCATGATGGCTTTAACTATTTTACAGGTTATTGCTCAGCCCTCTGACTGTCACACTCACACAGACGTGTGTGTAGCTGCGTTAGCTGCATCTGACTGTTGATGCTCCGTGTGTGTTTTTATTTATGCAGTGAGCCATGAAAACTCATCTCACTCCACCCGGAGTGTGTTCTTTAAAACTTGTATTAAATCCACTGTGTTGACGCATTTTAACGAGCTTCCTCCGTGCCGTATTTCTCTTGTCTAAACAAATTATGCTTTCTGGGTAACTTGCATAATTTCATGTTTTAACTAGACTTGTTAATTTTTCTCTTTGCTGATTACCTTTTGCAGCAAAAACACACTTGAAAGTTGTCTAATTCTTGTGAATTTGAACTGTTGTTTCGTTTGGCTCAGAAGGCACACATGTTAAAAAATGGGAAGTTTTTGTGTTAACATGTACAGCTCATCATATTTTAGTTTGGTCCAGTGGTTGGGCAGTGCTTGAAAAAAATGACAAGTTGGAAGTTTGGGGCTATTAGGGTGGCACTGTGCAACTTCATCTCCAACTACATGGACAAAAGGGCTGCACGCATGCTTGCCGCAGTTACCATATTTTCCGGAGTATAAGTCGCTCCGGAGTAAAAATCCCACCAGCCATTAAATGTATAATGAAGAAGAAAATATATATATAAGTCGCACTGGAGTATAAGTCGCATTTTGGGGGGAAATTTTATTATTTTTCTAACTAAATCTGAGACCAAGCATTTCACATTGCAAGACAAGTACCGCTAACAATAACAGAATAAACAATCAGGGCGCAGCAGCACGCCACGGTCTCCAGCAGAGGGTGGCGGTATTTCAAACCCTCCCAGCGGGCGGGGAGAGCGCCCGCAGCACCCCGCCACAGGCTGCAGCAGGTGATGGCGGTGTTTGAAACCCTCCCAGCGGTGCAGAGGAGCGGAAACCTGGACCGGGGCCAGCCTGCAGCAGCGCGCAACGGTCTCCAGCAGGTGATGGCAGGGGCAGGGGTGCTCATTCCTGGTCAGAAGCCGGCCCGCAGCAGCGCGGTATACATAATTTGGTATATAAGTCGCAGGACCAGCCAGACTATGAAAAAAAGTGCGACTTATAGTTCGGAAAATATGGTAATACTGTAGTAGCAAACTACTGGAGTTTCATGTTTCATCTTTACCATAATACTCCCCTCACACAGCTCACAGCCTCACAAACATAGCGCCCACTGTTTCACATAAGTGTGGTGTCTGGGTATGAATACATTATTAAAAGCAGTTTCTGTGTGTACTGTTAGTGACTCATACCTTGGCCAGTAGTAAGAGTGTTCTGCTCGTACGAGTGTCGGCATGCTGGTCTCTCAGGTGGAACAGTTTAGGTGTGAGGATAGCAGGAGCGAAAAAACGTAGGAAGAAGAATCCACCGATAGCCAAATATTTTACATCCTGTCAATAACAGATATGACAAATAACAATACTTTCTTCAAGGATAATGATGGAAACTCCTATCAGAAGGCCTACAAGTACACTGATTTGCTTTGAAAATGCATTTCAAGCCTCTTTTTGATGCTTTGCTTGAGACTGACCTCGTTCTCGGGCTCAGAGAATTGCTCCTCTACTCTCTTGTGCAGCTGTTTGAAGGCCACTCTCATAACCGGAGGACACTGATCGACTGAAGCCACGATTGATTCGATGATGCTAGTTAAATAGGTCTGCAGCATCTCTACGCTGCTGTCCCGAATCTCTGCCTCAGACACTGCACCCTTAAATGAAATTCGTCTTCAGAGACAAAGACACATTTGGGAAACTCATCAGTGGAACAAAGCAAAAGCAATACATTTTGTATTTTGGCTGAATTTTGTACAAACCAGCATACTAAACACAAACACTCATCTACCACATAAGAGGCAGATTCAGTTCTCCAGATTACATAGAAGGGGGAGACTTATTTAGTGTTGCAGAGAAAATGTCCAGAGGGGAAGGAGGAATAAAAATCTGATTTAAATTGGTCTATCTTCTACAGACGCCAGATATGTTAGATCCTGAATTTCTCTCTATGTCAGGGATAGATACATGTCTCAGGGGGCTCATAGCAGTTGCCAAGCAACACCCCTCACCCTTTTCACTCTTTTTTTACTTTATTTTCTCACTGGCATATTTCTTTCAGACTGAAGGGAGAAGGCAGTCTCTAATGGCAACTTTGCAATTTGACCTTTTAAACACATTTGTGGTGAACTGATCACACAAATCTATAACCCTAAATCCCCTCTTCCTTTTGCAGCACCTGTGAAGCATTTCTGCAGGCAAAATGTGATTTTACTATGATTTAGCAGCAACAGAATAATCTCATGGATCTGTTTTACCTTGTGCGGTTTAAGTCGATCTTACACGGGTCCAGTTCAATGTACTTCCTCTCATCAAAGATGCGATTGATGATGGGTTTCAACACTTCATGCAGATAGAGCATGCCAACAGCCTGATAGCAGAATAGGACCGTTTATCTCGTTTGCATCTCAGGTGCAGGGTTTGGGTTAAAACTACATGATTCAGATAAAATTTTTAAAATTTGAGAGTAAATAACAATTAAGAAGATGCATCAGATGATCTTGCAAACTGGGGTTGATTCAGCGAGTAATGGGATGCAAATTATTGCAGAGAGGCAAAAACATCAATCACCTACTCCTCTTGGAATAAAGAAACAACAAATATTTCAACTCACCTTCATGAACTGCTCCATGGCTTTGGAGGAAAGAGAGTTGGAGCGAAATAAAGTGTTGGGATCCGCTATGAGAGCAGCAAAGAAAAGGAAAAAGTCACGTTGGGAGCTTTGAATGCAAAGTTAAGTGTGAATGCAATGAATATTAAAAATTCCATGGAAGCATTCTCTAAATATAACATTTAAAAACTTTCACTATAAAGGGATTAAAGAGGAATTAACAGGTTTACAAAGTCCATTAGATTTCATAGTTTTATTTTTATAGTAAATAAGTTAAAAACACAACTAGTAATTGATTAGGGGATGCAGTACTGCATTAATAGTTCACAGTCATTGTAATTAACACTCACAAAACCTTCATCAAGCACTTAATAGGTAATAAAACCTTTGTGTCAGTAAAGAAGTCTCTCTCCTCTCTCTCTGTTATGCTTTACTGTATATTTCTTGAGCAGTTTGACGCATATTGTGAGCTAAGACATGATACACCAAAAAGCGTCCCAGCTGAATTTGCTCCAACATCAACATAAAATCCTTCCAAGCAGGTGGAAGTAAAACATCCATGGTGACAGGACTGACTTGTCAGATGAAATATTTCCTCCTGCCAGGAACGGCAGGACTGCTTTCATGGCTACACGGTGAATATACAGTACATTTTCTTTTTCTTTTTTCTTTTTTTTTTTTTGCCCTCGGTACCTAACTTTAACGTCTGGCTGCTCGCAGCATCTATTCCTGATCAAGCAGTTACCATTTGGATCATGTGGAGTTGCTATGGAAACTTGGGCACTATGCTTATTATCTCAAACTACACCAACAGAGCCCAAAGACCAGAGCACAACTCTGTTTGAATTTTCTCAGGGTTGTGGTGCGAATGCAAAAGCATGACTAATCCAGACTTCAGAGAAGCCATGAAAGGCGTGTTGGTCTGAGTAAACAATTGGAATCAGGGTGGTAAATATAAAGCTGGTGGGCTTTTATCACCCACACACAGACCTCAGCTGTGATGTTCAGAACCAATTCAGAGTCAAACCAGAGCAACCCTCATGGGATAATAACCCAAAATCCAACTTAAACTGATTAATAAAGATAAAATTAGAAGGTTTCCACACAGTATTTTTTAAGTAATAACTCATAACACAGTAATTATGTTTAAGTAATAACACAAACACGACTAAATGAGACATACAAAGTGTTACCAGCTGGGAGATAAGCTGCAGAACTGTTGAAACAATAAAATTGTGTCAGGCAGAAACAAATATTATCTGGACTGAACGGTTACTTGTATGGTTGACCTCCCGGGTGTTCAGGTAATCAAGGAATGGCACCACAAGGCCTTGTCCCAGGTAGATCTTCACCAGAGTCATTGCAACATCCTGTCTGCTCTCAACGATGGTCACCTCCTCCAGCATGCTCAGGGCACTGCTGTCCTCCACCTGTCCAGAAGAAGACAGCTCGGGTCACCAAGGTGAGACTCTGCATCTTTGGAAAGCAGATGGAGGAAATGTAAAAATGCTGTAATGAAGGAGTCTGTCTCTGGACATGATGATGGTGAACAAATGGTTATCCGTGATGAGGACGAGCTGCGATGCTGACCTCTGCGGGGGAGATTACCGACTCAACCAGCAGGTCAATAAGTGGCTGGTAGTACATGGATGGTAAGATCTGATCCTCCACCAAACGCACTTTCAGACGCAGTGCCCCCAGCTTCCCACTGGAAACAAATCAAAAGGCAAAAGCAGGAAGTGGAAGTTAAACTCAGACAGTGTAAAGAAAATATTTGAAACAGCATTTACAGTAGCTCTGAGGCCTGAATCAACATAAAATAGGCATTTTTAGCAGAAATCAACTCACAGAGTTTACATTTTCAAAAAACTTTGAATAATTTGGTTAGAGTGATTTCCAAAATAATGTTATTGAAAGAGTGTTTTTGTTTCATTTACTATTCAGTGCAGCAGCTCCTCTAAAAAACCTCTGAATCGTGAATCGTTTCCTAACAGTCCTATAGGATTCTCCTTCCTCTCACACTGTCTTTTTGCATTACAACCAGCCCTTTGTTCTAAAATCCTCCCAAGAAACAAATGCTGTCAGAGACCTGGAGCTACACCTGTGATTCTTCATTTAAATGCATGAACGCAACTGCATCTTTTCAGTGATTGCTGCAGTTTTTAAAGGTTTTCAAATGCAAAATCCACATCAGGTGTGCAGTAAAAAAGGTTGCCACACTGCACAAACAAGTACACCCTTAATCCTCACCCAGCATCAACCTCATTGTTTCCCAAAGGTAGCAAACGAAACCAGCCCTCTAACCGAGGGGTCTTGTGCAAACAAGCAAAAGGGATTTCCACCTGTGGAGAGAAAGGATAAACAAGAGTACAATATCAGCCTAGAAAAAAAGATTGTTATTCTATGTGAAAAAATACAGCAGATTTGAGAATAATCGTAAAGTAACATGTATGAAATCCTGACCTTTCCCAGAAAGTCATTTTTTCCCACCATGTCCCAGTCCCAGACTTCCACGGTAACCATCGCCTCTTCGCTGAGCTCCTCTGCATCCAACTCCAGGTCCAAGGTCTCTTCCCAGTGAGGGAATCGAGTCTTCTTAATAATCTGCGGCCAAAATGTTAGAAACACACAACTAGTTAACTTTACTTTATTTTAACTCTTTTAAATCAACCCCCCCCCCCCCCCCCTCCACCCCACCCCACCCCCACCCGTTACAAAAGAACCTCTACTTGGAAAAATATTAAATACACTTTTTTCAATACATTTGAAGTCATAGGTGGAAATCCCAGGGGGACATTAATTTTTCCCCCCTAAAAAATTGAGCATTTAAACATATATATTTTAACGGAGCTATAGTATTATAATATTGTCCAATGAAAGCAGAGCACAACACCAAAAAAATTTAAACTGCAAGCTGCTCCGAACGGATGATACTGTCTTTGCCATAGACATGAATACGTAGATGCCCCATTGGTCGCTGGAGAGCATAACAGAGTCACCTCCATCTTGGATGGGTCTCCTCATTCTGCAACGTTAATGCAGCGTGATCAACTGCGCCCGTTTCTGTGCAGCCTACAGTTACAGCAACTGGCATACAATTGAAAACAGATCACGTGGGATTACTAGTGACCTTTCTAGCCTACCTGATAGGATTTTACATTTACATGTATTTTTATTTATTTTGTTTAATTATATTTTAATTATCATGCCATACCTTGTGTTGGATTTTGTGAAAAAGCTTGATAAAATGTGTTTTTCAGCTGGGTAAACACTTTTCTCTGTAGAAATGAATGCACTAGGAGCGAATGGAGACCCCTCTAAGATGGCAGCCGTCCACTATGGCAGCTCCAATAGGCAGCGCCAGTCCACGAGAACAGGTCTGTCACGGTACTACGGCTTAAATTGGTAAAAAAAATATTGCAACAGAGCATTTCCTAGAAATCCGTTTAGATAAATTTGTACATGTCTGCAGTTATCTGGAGTTATTTTGACAATTTGTGAGCGACGGTGGCACAGGAGTTAAGTACTCACCCTGCAATCAGAAGGTTGCAGGTTCGAGCCCCCGCTCAGTCTGTCGCTGTCGTTGTGTCCTTGGGCAAGACACTTAACCCACCTTGCCTGCTGGCGGTGATCAGAGGGACTGGAGGCGCCAGTGCTCGACAGCCTTGCCTCTGTCAGTGCGCCCCAGGGCAGCTGTGGCTACATCGTAGCTCATCCCCACCAGTGTGTGAATGTGTGTGTGAATGGGTGAATGACCGATTGTGTTGTAAAGTGCCTTGGGGGGTTCCAGGACTCTAGAAGGCGTTATATCAAATACAGGCCATTTACCACTATACAATTTGTTACGTGTAGTTAAACATATAGCATGTTGTGAATCAGCTGCAAGTATCCGTCCACTAGGTGACGTCCTTTACGCGTGCGTTTATAGTTCATTATGCACTTCCTTGCACTGCAATAATATATTTATATAGCCAAGTTTTTAAGAAATCCGATGATGTCCTTACACGTCTTGATCAAGGCTGTGAAAGAGGTAGAATTCCATCCATCCATCTATTGTCTGAACCCGCTTTGTCCACGTAGAGTCGCGGAGGGCGGGGGCGGCTGGTGCCTATCTCCAGCGGTCAATGGGCAATCAGGCGGGGTACACCTTGGACAGAGAGCCAGTCCATCGCAGGACGTAGAATTCACGGCCATAAAATACCTTTCATTCATCTTTAAAAATAGCAAACTGATCAAAAGTTCGTATTTTTAAATATTGAACTTTTAATGTATCGGACTGACGTCATTTCAGCTGTCATCAAGCGTTCGAATATTTGCTGGGTTTAGCACCATAGTGGGTAATAGAAATATTTTTGGTTACAAATACATGTCAAAGAGATAGCTCAACTAGTCAGGCATCCGCCTTACATGCCGAGGACCCGGGCTTGAATCCAGGCTGGGACATTATTCCCACTCAGCGACTCTGTGACAGGCCATTTTAACGTTTAATCAATAATCACACCTTTTTGCAGCCTAATTGCTACTACAGATAGTAAGAATATAAGTGATCTATAATCTAAACACCATTCTTACTAGTCATACTTCAAATTAAAAAATATCAACGGCTATTTTGTTACAAATATAAATCTTTTAAGGACATAATAACAACTGCATAAGTAGGAATTACGTTTGAGAAATCAGGAACCCTAAAAAACCTAACAGGTGGCCGTTTTAACATTTAGTAGGCAGATTGGATATGTTCTCTATTAAATCTATTTATAGGGGAAAAGCCCTGGTGCTCCTGTTTCAGCAACAAAAAGTTAGTTAGAGGGGAGGGGAGCAGAAAATGGCAGGAGTCATACTCTGTATTGTTTGCTGATATTCTGACGTCTTGCCTCTGATTGGCTGGTTTCTCAGTTAACTTGCTCATGCTGGAGGCCCATTCTGCAAGTTGCAAAACAGCAAGGGGTAGCCCTTTTTTTCATGTCTCTGAAATGTTACTGTTTATTGCCCCCACCCCAAAAAAATTTAAATGGGATTTCTGCCTCTGTTTAAAGTGGTCCCTATGAATGCCTTGTAATTCGTACGGGGGGTGGGGGACCGGTGCACCATTTCCAGGAGCTAGAAGTGACCCACATCACAGCTGAGCTTCAGACAACATATTATTTCCTGATATTTGGACATCTCTCCTCTGATTGGTTAACATAAACGTGACTCTACCATTGACTCCATTTCCTTTGCAACGTTGATGTTTTATCTCAACACAAGCCTGAAGGAGTTCTGCCATTTGGTGGAGTTGCTAATGCTAACGGTTAGCTTCTACTAGCCAAGCTGTTCTCTGTTATTTCCTGGACAATAAACCAGGTCTCCGCTTCCGGTCGGTAACAAGATGGCACCTGTGCTTGGCTTAGCCGCAGTCACCGGCCACTTTTTCAAACTTTTCTCCACTAACCTCCTCTTTTCCACCTTGCTCCTGTCTGCGATCCTCTTCAGTAGTGTCCCTGCTACCATCTCCTATGATCGCCAGACTCTTTTGTCCTTCCGTTCGTTCATGATCGCCCAAGATGCACCGAGGACGTACCTCCCTGCTTGTTTACCTGAGTGGCGTACTGGCCCAGAGCCAGATTCCCACCAGGACGCTTCCAGCGACGTTTATCCGGTCCCGGGAAAACGTCGGAGGAAAAGAGGTAAACAAGCAGGAATCCAGGTGAGAATAAGACTTCTCTTAAAGTGTGGTTTATCTAGTAAACATCGGCGTGATCTTCTAGCTTCTTGTCTTTTGTTTGGTGACCTGAGCGCCACTTCCGCATTCCCGCCAGGCCGCGTTGCGATGCGGTTCATCCGTCCAAGTTTTTTAAGGTCGGTTTATCCTCATTGCTCAGTGGATTCTCCTCCTGTTCCCTCCATAAGTGGTTTTTATAAACATTGTGGATCTAACCCTGCTAATTTACGTCCACTAACTCCAGCTGTTTCTGTAGTTTCTGATTCTTCCACCTCATTCAGCATGGCTCTATTAAATACCCACTCTGTTAATAAGACCTTCCTGCTCAATGATCTAATGCTGTCTAAAAACCTGGATTTTATGTTTCTGACTGAAGTTTGGCAGCAAACATCTGATTATTCTGGTCTGATTGAACTCTGCCCGAGTGGTTATTCTTTTCTTAGCCAGCCCCGGGGTTCTGGTCGTGGTGGAGACCTAGCTGTTGTTTTCAGAGACCATCTTCCATGTAGCTCTACAACCTCTGGTCACTTTGCTTCCTTTGAACTGCAGCTGATTAAAGTCGGGCGTAAGGACCCGTTCTACTGTGCTGTCGTCTATCACCCACCTGGTCCAAACAGTTCTTTCCTTCAGGAGTTTAGTGAATTTCTATCCTCCACTGTGAAGCTGTCCAGACTGGTGATTGTTGGTGACTTTAACATCCACGTTGATGATCCCTCCGATCACTTTGCCATAAATTTCTCCAGCCTTAAGGACACCTTCGGCTTTACCCAGCATGTTTCTGGCCCCACACACACCAGGGGGCACATTCTAGACCTTGTTTTTACCCTGAGTCTAAATGCTGACAGTGTTTGTCCTGAGGATGTTTATATTTCAGATCACCATTGCATTTTCTTTAACTTGTCACTTTCTGCGTCCCATTTGTGGAAGAAAACCCATCTCCACGTCCATCTGCTGCACCTAAAGGATCTTCTGACATCCTTTAACTCTGCAGTCAGAGATGCAAGGGTTTCCTATTTCTCCAACCTGGTGTCCCAGAGCAAAGGGAACCCCAAGGTGCTGTTTAACACCATCAGTAGCATCGTCTCTCCTGTCTCTCCTACAGCCTCCATCCACTCTGTTACAGACTGTGAGAACTTTCTGTCTTTCTTTGTGGACAAAGTCAGTAAGGTTAGATCTAGCATCTCTCCTTCAGCCTTATCGCTGCCTCTCCCAACTCCAACCAGGCCCATCATCCTAGATAGCTTTGCTCCTGTTTCTTTGCCTGAGTTAACCAAACTAGTTAACTCTATGAAGACCTCTGCATGCCCCCTCGACATCTTACCCTCATCTTTGTTTAAAAGTGCTTTTCAGTCCATCGGTCCCAGGGTGCTCTCTATAATTAATGCTTCTCTGGTTTCTGGTCAGGTCCCTGCTTATTTTAAGAACGCTGTAATCCACCCGCTTCTTAAAAAACCGAGTCTCGACCCCTCTCTCCATAGCAGCTTCAGACCCATCTCTAAACTTCCGTTCATCTCAGATCTTGGAAAAGGTTGTGGCTAAACAACTCACAGCTGCTCTTGATGAACATAGCATCTATGATAGCTTCCAGTCAGGTTTTCGTAGAACTCATTCTACTGAAACAGCTCTTCTTAGGGTCTCTAATGACCTTCTGACTCACAGTGATGCAGGGGACTGTTCTGTTCTGGTCCTGCTGGACTTGACTGCAGCCTTTGACACTGTTGACCATCACCTGCTACTGGAGAGGCTGAGAGACTGGGTAGGCCTATCAGGAACTGCTCTGGAGTGGTTCTCCTCTCATCTCTCTGAGCGCTCCTTTTCTGTGGCCATCTCCAAATTTAGGTCCTCCACCACCTCTCTTACACATGGTGGCCCAAAAGGTTCTGTGCTGGGGCCTCTGCTCTTCCTCCTCTATCTGCTTCCTCTTCAGCACATCCTGAGCTCCTTCAGAGGAATCTCCTACCATCTTTATGCAGATGACATCCAACTGTACATCTCCTTTAAGCCCCATGAGATGTCTAAGCTGCAGCTGTTACAAACCTGCTTAGACTCTATCAAAACCTGGATGGCTGGGAGCTTTCTTCAGCTCAATGAAGATAAGACTGAGATCCTCATCTGTGCCCCAGACAAGCTGGTTCCCAAGGTCAGAGACTCTCTTGGTCAGCTTGCTTCCCACACCAAACCTTCTTTCAGGAATCTTGGCGTGACCTTTGACCCAGCTCTCACCCTGGATTCTCATGTCAGTTTTCTTGTTCGCTCTTCCTTCTTCCATCTCAGGAACATTGCTAAGCTGAATCCCATTCTGTCCCGCTCTGAACATGAGACGGTTCTCCACACCTTCATCTCCTCACGCTTAGACTACTTTAACTCTCTTTTCACGTGTCTGAGCAGAGCCTCCCTGAACCGTCTACAGGTGGTTCAGAATGCCTGTGCTCGGCTTCTGACCAAGTCCTCCAAACACACCCACATCACCCCGCTTCTCCTCCAGCTTCACTGGCTGCCAGTCAACTTCAGGGTTCATTTCAAGATCCTTGTTCTGGTCTATAGGGCCTTACATGGACAAGCACCATCTTACATTGGTGATCTTCTTAGTCCCTACATCCCCAGCAGGACCCTGAGGTCCAGTGATCAAAGCCTACTGGTTGTGCAACACACCAGGCTAAAGACCAAAGGTGACAGATCATTTGCTGCTGTTGCCCCCAGACTCTGAAACTCTCTCCCCCTGAGCCTGAGATCAGTGGACTCAGTGGTCTCCTTCAAAAAGCAGCTGAAGACTCACTTGTTCAAGCTGGCTTTTGTATGACCTTCTTCAACCACTCTCTCTTTATTCTGCTCTCCCCACCTATTCCACCTTCCTCAGGATCCACTGATTTCCTAGCCTAGTGAACTAGACCAAATTCTTGCTTTGTGTGACGACCCTCGTCCCCTCGGTCCATCCTCTCTTTTCAACCTGAGCCTCTTGTCCCCACGGCCGAGGATTCAGCACCAGGAACAGCGCCTGAACCTGCTTGTTTACGCTCTCCAGCGCCCCAGCGCCAATTCAGGACCTCGGAGAGAGGCACGCTGGAGAAGACAGCAGCTGATCTTCATCAGCTATCAAGCGGCCGACAGGCTTAAAAGAGGAAAGCAGTAGACAGTCAGGGAGAGCCAGGATTAGCCTGTGTTTCTCCCGAGCTCATAGACACTTAATGCTAAGGTTAAATCTTTGCTGTATGGGTTTAGGGTGTTTTCTATAAGGAATAGGCTGCGTTTCCTCATTTGTAGGATTTAGCTGACAGAGGGTCAGTTTTCTACTTTCGGTGTTTTTATCCCCATTGAGCCGGGGATTTGTCTGTTAGGTGGTTGTTGTTTAAGTTTGGCAAAAAGCCTTTTCATAAGCAGTTAGTCTGCTTATGTTTTCAGTTTCCACCTTATTCTTCACCATTATTACTAAGCCTTATTTTGCCATTCAGACACGGACACCTTTTGTCAATAAACCCTTTTTGTTTTTTTACTCTCACCACCTCGTTATTTGTCCTCACACACACTCCTACACCTATTTTCCTGTGTTAGTCCCCTCATCCTCCTGGACCTTCAGGAGGGGACGTAACACTTTGCAAAGTAGTAAATAATACATTTATTTAGTCTGGCTTGCCAGGCTACTGATTTCCCTATTTCCTATTCACTCTCTCTCTTTCTTATTATGTTTTCTTTTAAATCCCAATTGCCTATTTTTGCTCATTTTAAATATATTTTTAAACATTTTCTAAATGCCTTTTTATATTTTTACATTTTTGTTTTTGTTTTTGTGAAGCGTCTCATGATTTTTATCTTGAGAGGCGCTATAGAAATAATATTTTCTTCTTCTTCTTCTTCTACCAACAACAAACTTCCCCGTTGTGAGTCAAGATGGGTGAGTTCAGGCTTTTCAAACCCTAGAGTTTCACCATCTATTTTCTATCAAAGCTAATGCAGGAGATAGGTGTAGGAGACCATGTTCATGTTCAGCCTGAATGAAAAACTCATGATTATAATCAGAAATATTTTTTTGTGTTCCACACCTTTAATATACGTCCATTTCTGAATTTCAACCCAGCAAAACATTACATCTTTAAAGAAAAGTTTGTATGAATTTACTTTTGAGCTGATAATGGGATTGGAAAATGTTTGAATCAGGTGATGTGAACAGGTGAACAGAAACATAAAAAACAGTAGTATACAGGAATGACTGAACCTCTGAGGATCAAAGGTAGACAGAGGACCTCCATATTTAGAAACTAAAGAAGTTTAAATCTGTACATGCCAAGTTCTAAATCTCCATCTTTAGAGCCTCGTGTTTTTACAATCTGATTTGTTTTGTAGCCCATTTTCTTGCTTCTTTGGTCCACAGTGTCTCTGTAGACTCATTATTTGGTCGTCACCCTGCCTGTCTCCCTGTGGTTTCTTTTCCCAGGGCCCCTGTGGTTTATTCTGTTGAGGGCTTTTTTGTGCTGCCACAACAGCCTTTGTTTTCATTCAAATTTTTAAATTCACTTCGTGTTTTCTTGCCTCTGCGCTCTGCTTTTGTCACTTGCAACCACAAATCATGACAATCTGGAGAAAATGCTCAAAGATCAAGGACCCTGATCTAAACGAAGTTTCTCAAGCATTAAAAAAACGCTTTCCAATTTTTAGGAAAATTATTGTCAAGCATATACAGAATTACGTTCACAAACCACACATTAAACTTTACTGTGCAACAAGTATATGCCTTACTTTAACCTCCCAAAGTAGCCTTAACAACTTCTCTGCACCACCACGTTGAAAATGTGTAATGTAGTCAACTGAGGTGTCCAACTGTAGAAAATTGGATGCCGTGAACCAAAAACCAAAAGTTTTATCCAAATGTTTATAAAAAGCAAATCCAAAAGCCAGAGCTCTGTGAAGGCGTGAGCTTGCATCAGTACCCTCAGCAAAAGTAATTTCACTTCTGTGAAGGCACCGTTAACCCAGAAAACAACAAAAGATGACTTATTTTCCAGGAATGTCAGTTCATTTTTCAACAAGACAAAGCTTAATATTTGGCTCATGCTGCATGGTTGTAAAAGAGGAATTCTGACCTCTTCGAAATACAAATGTAAACAATTTTAAAACAAGATGACGATTCTGTACTTTCTCCCAAGTTAAGACGGTTTTAGCAGAATTAGATCCAAACTAATGATTTGTTGCCTGAAATGCACAAAGGGCAGGTGGTAGGAAATAAAACTATCAAAACAAGAAGCATGTTCTTCATGCCAGCTGGAATTGTTTCTTTTTGTTTTTTGCATTCACATTATTATCACAGCGTTTTTTAAATGCACTGTGTGAAACATGTTATATAAACACAATTAGACCGTTAAACAATCACCAGTTACAACAGAACACACACTCCTGGCTGCAGTAAAAGTTTGAAGAGCTCACCGAGGTCTCCGCACTGTGGTTGTTGAAAAGAACTCTTGCAAATGGATCAGATGTTCCACTAATGTCTCTCGGAGCCAGGTCTCTGTGGGTAACACCATAAAAAGATAAGAGAGCTTGTAAATTAAAAACAATCGTTGTCTTGCGGCTCTGGCTTCTAAAGTAAAGTGAAAAACAGAAAGTTATTTTTCTCTAACTTCCTTCACAGCCGTTGGGGTTTGTTTGAAAAACCAAGTGTCGCGCCCTGATTGACAAGTTAATTAGTGCCCTGGCTGAGACCGAAAGATCGCAGCCTGGGACACGCAGATGGGCAAGTGAGTGGTGCGACCGTGGCAGTGTGACTCAGATGGGAGTGTGGAGGTCTGGGGGGTGATGGTGAGAAGACTTCAGCTCTAAACTAGAGACGCTACAACAAGAAGCTCAGCCACAGAATTCTCTTTTTCCTGCAGGGAGTAGTTTTCGTTTACCTGGCTTCAATGACTTGACAACGCAGCCTGCGCCTCTTTCTGTCTCTCAGAAGCTCCAGACTCAGGTGGATCTCACCTTGGACTTCTTCATCAGGGTCAACCCTCGTCAGGTTCAGCCAGCTGTCAATCCCTGACCCGGCACCAAAACAGATTCGTTAAACCCTTTGTGTCATAGAAGGTCACACGTGCACAGATAATTTAATGACTTCATGTGTAAACAAGACATAAAAATATAGTTATTTTTAAAGGGAAATGCTAGAATTGTGTGCAGTGAGGTTCGACTTAAAGACATACTTATGTGCAAAACTAAGTCAAGAATAATCTTCTTGTTGTTTGATTAGAAATGATGTTGGATCATTAATGCGATCCCTTTAATCAGTTTTGCAGCATCTGGCTGATTAAATAAATCAGTCACACTATTAAACTTCTGCTATTTTCACTGTTGTTACTTTCCCTTCTCTCCCGCAACTTCAAAACGGTGTTCCTTGTATGTAAATCGTGTCACTCCTGAACTTGTCCTGAAACAGAAACAAGTTCTGTGACTTGTTGTTTTCTGAGAGAACAAAGTCTTTTCTGAGGCCTGATAAGATTTAGCTGCTGTCAAACCTGCCAGCCCAATAAATAGATTGCATTTTTTCTTCCTTATCACACTCAAGGATCCCAGTTACGCCTTCGGACATGGAAAAAAAATTCTGTTTATCACCCAGACATGCTGTAGAAATAAACCACCATGTAATCTGATAAGACAAGAGTCAAAATTACCCTTTAATCTCATCTTTAATTTCATGTTGTTTTTGAACAACATGCTTCAAGCAAGCCTTGCTTCATTTTAAAGTTGTCTCAGTTTACTTCCAGATTCTTCATATTTCATTTTTGATTTTGATGCATGAATCTTCCTTTGCATGCACTATGTTTTGCATTTCCTGTTAGTAAAGAGTTTTTCTTGCTTTGGCAGCATGTTTGGCATGGTTTTGTTTCTTTAAACTTTAAGATTTATTTCATCTCTTTTTTTTTATTTTGTTATTCATGCATGTTAGTACTTCTCCTTTAATGGAGTAATGAAAAACTGAGGGTAAATTTTACAATATTATTTTAGGTAGCGTTCGACCGATATTGGTTTTTCAAGTGCCAATGCCGATATGTACTGCTGATTTTCATGTCCAGATGGTTTCCTCCTTATTTTCATGCTAAAATATCACCAGTAACATCAGTTGATGCACAAATTTTCTGAAGCTGAATCAGTTTTTGAACTTTGATTTTATCTAACTGTTAAATTGTAACTTGTGCACTGCTCAGTGTTAAAGTCAGACACCTAAATAAAGTTCATTTATAGTATTTATTATGCAGATGTTATAAATTTAAATTAAATTCTGCAACAGCACCAGGCTGCCGGAGGACGAGCCCGACTTTAACCCTTTGGGCTGCAGAGTTTTTTCAAGAAGCTATTGAATTTTGACATGACTATTTCAAAACGTTGTAGCTTGGAAATGGCTAGAGAAAAAGGTAAACTGTAAATGAGAAACATCTTCAGTAGGACCCAAAGTTTGTGTTGGGAGCAAATTCACTCATCTAATTTGCATATTATGATGTCACCAGGCTGCCGTATTGGAATGCATCATTTTTACAGAAGTTCCTTCTTCTTTTTACATGTTACTTTGAAATTTTCATCATATTTAGAAATGATTAATTTATATATGCATATATAAAGGTTGATTTTTATTTATTTTTTATCTTTTATATTGTATTTTTGATATTTACCGTAATTTCCGGACTAGAGCGCACCTCAATATAAGCCGCACCAACAAAAAAATAGGTTTTCTACACGCACACGCCGCACTCAAATACAAGCCGCGGCGCAGCAGCTACATGCAGGTCTCTGGCGCATGTATGGCCATAACATAAGATAATTAGACAGAAAGACGCTACACAGAGGTTTTTTGTTGTTGTTTTAATTCAACAAAATGAATTTTAAACACGGGTGAACGTGCCTGCAAGTTTAGAATAGAAAACAGCACTGATAGCATTCATATTTCTGGATGGCTATAAAATAAAAACAGAGCTGACACGTTATTACCGATAATTTGCATGCATGTTTAGAAGAAAAGAACAGCACTGACACAGCATTAATAAGCCCTGGATGATTAGAAAATAAAAACTGCACACAAAACATGCCTGGTTAGTAAGTAAAACACACTTGCCTACCAGAAGAAGTCATTCGCTCTCATCTTCCTCTTGCGCACTAAAGCCGTTAAAGTCCTCTTGTTCAGTGTCGGAGTTGAACAGCCTCAGAAGAGCTTTGTCACATACCTTTTCTGTGTCGCTGTCCGTGTTGCTGTCATCATCCCCGGGTGAAGTTGGCTTGAATGAGTTCTTCCCGCTGCCGTCTCCACGGTTCCCCTCCTTAACTGCCAGATCGATGGCCTTCAACTTAAATGCGGCAACATGTGAACTCATACGTGTAGTTACCATGATGAGTTGGTATGGATTTGAAAAAATTTCTTCGTGGTGCCGGCTGCTTGCATGTGCTAAATTAAAATGAGCACTTTCTTCGATTTCCATTTTTGACCACCACCTGTTTCACTTTCTGCTAAAGCGCCCCCTGGCAGGTGAAGGACAATCTTATGTAAAGCCGCACCTCATTATAAGCCGCGTGGTTCAAAGCGTGGGAAAAAAGTAGCGGCTTATAGTCCGGAAAATACGGTATATTAGCCTCACTCAAGAGAAATGCTTTTTAGCCATATTTGTCAGCTTCCTTTGGGCTTGTACAGCTTCAGGGATGTCCTTCCCTTGAATGTAATGATCATTTGATCCAAGGGAAAGAAAATTTTCATGATTATTTTGCACTCTTTGGCTTCCATATATAACGCATCTGCCACTTTTTTAGGGCTTTGATACATTGCTGCTAAATCTGTCGCATTAGCTGTGTTTTTACCATCATTTCTACATTCTCCATGTCCAAAACACGGTGAAACAAACTTTAAACCCAACGTTTGGAGTAGCGTCAGCTTTCTGTTGCTGCGCGTTGCAGCAGCATCCATTTTTCCAGCTGGATGAGTGAGTTTCTTCATCAGAGAGTCAATATTCTGCTTCATAATCTGAGTCTGTCATGAACAAAGGGATCAGTCTAAGCCGGCAACTGTACGTTTTTTCCCTCTATTCACCCTCTTCGTGCTGCGCTCGTCTCCTCCTCTCGTCCTCTCCCCAACCGGGAACCTCTCGGCGGGAGGTGGTTTTCAAACTCTAAAAGCTCAGAAATTTTCAATATAAACGCACCCATACGTGTTGTTCAGCCTGAAATTACACATCTCCACTGTCTTCTGGTGTAAAGTAGTAACTTCAAGAGGGATCGTATTTCTAGCTGCGGCTCATTAAAGTCAGCAATGACACTTGCCGCAATATTGCGACTTTGGCACTTAAAGGGTTAAATCGGCTTTACTAAGGACAAATATCGGCTGATGCCAATAAAAATATCGGCCTGATATATCGACTGGCCGATATATCCATCTACATCTAATTTTGAGCCTTCTGTGATTTTATAAAATGCTTTTATTAGTAAATATTATTGAGTCAAGAGATACAATCAGTTGAAATGTTTATTTGTTTTTGCTCTGAAGCAATAAAACACGTACAGGAGGTCAGAATGACGTTGTGCAAAGACAGAAGACATTCTGATCCTGAAATGATAATTTATTTCATTTCTGTTTGGATGTTAATTGTTACATAAAGCTGTTTTCTGCATTCTACCTGAGTTTTTTGTGTTGCAGGTCACACCTTGTTCATCCGTTTGCAAGCAGAAGTTTAGGTTTATTTTGTTGCCCATCTGTGTTTGTGAAGACACAAAACTGCAGCTGTCTAAACATTTCTGGGCATTACCTGTGGTCCATGAACAATATGTATATTATTAATTTATTTTAAATTGTATTTCAGTTTTTAAGAAACATCAAACATCTTGGAGAAAAGTCAAGGCCAGGCTGTGAGAAACAACCTGCGAGGGAGTAAGTGACTCACTGCCACCATGCAGCCATGAATCACTGGAGAGAAGCCCAGGTGGTTTTCATGAGCGACATATCTGCATGCAGCAAACATACCATGACCAACTCCTTTAGTAATTCAATAAAAAACTGCTGCACTATCAAAGCATTCCATATTTTATATGTCGTGTGTTTAGCCAGGATGTTGCAGAAGGTGCTACAGATGACGCTGAGTGAACACTGTGAATTTCAAAATGAAGCCCTCAGTGATGAAGAACCAGGGATTTTACAGGTTTAAGGCTGTTTGAAATGCATCGGATGTCCTGCTGTTTTATGAGGCACGATGAATAATCACTGGGCTCACTCAGACGAGCGTTGGGAGCGCAGTAACATTTACCAGTGACTTTGTGGAAAACGGGTTTAAAATGCTGGGACATTCAATTAAATGTGCTAGAGGACAGCGATAAACATTCCTAGACTAAAAACAGTCCAGAAAGTTTGACGTCAGCAAGAAAATTTCTGTGAGTTTAACCTCTGACCTCAAGTCTATATATAATAAATTTGACATTAACTAATACTGATTTGTCAATAGTTTGTACCTTTGGCTTGAGATCCAATGATTTCCTTGCCCAGTGTAATCTTTCCAATGACATCATCGTGGCTGCAGAAAGAATAAAACAAGAGATAAAACAATAGAAAATTCGACCAAAATTACTGAAATGACTCAACGACAAAAGTGGTCACAAGATGTCAAAGGAGAAGAATCATTAATCACTTCATATGTCTCATGATGTTTGTTTACTCAGAGCTTAGAGAGGTTTAAAACCAAACATGTCCTGAGCTAAGGCAAACACTGATGGCTAGTGATTAACCATCATGTCCTGATAGAAAAGAGAGATGGTTTAGTTACTTTGAAATTTAAAAAGATGCATTGGACCGCCTGCTATGGACTGGCATTACCCAATAGTATCTTCATCCATGACAAGAAACGACAGTGTGTGGAACCCCATCGGGAGGTGCAGCGTGTACTCTTCTCCCCAGAAAGGATTAAGATTCTTCCACACTGTAGCTGTCCTGAAAGAGAGTGTTAACATGTTTGATCAGAGGAATTCAAACTTCCTCATGCTGGAAAAAAAGTTGCAGGCCTAATGTTTATTTGTTTAGTGTAATTAAGGGAGCGTGGTCATGCCTTCATGTGTATGCCAGGACTGCCTCAAAGACAAATAATCTGATTCTCTAAAGTTGGCAGCTAATTTGAACAATAAATTTAAGTCAGCTGCTTTTAGTCTAAAGAAGAAGAAGAAGAAGAAGAAGAAAGATTTTGTTTGAGTACGGAAAAGAGATTTAGATCCGTATTGAAAGAGAAAATATAACAAAAACGCATCTAAGTGGTTGAACTCCACCTTCATGGTGAGAACCCTTAGAACCACAGTGCTGCAAGCAGAGATCCACACATCACTAAATCTAATATTGTTATATATATATAATTTTTTTTAAACCAAGATCACATTGTCACATTAAACAGGATGTTAGTTAACTCTCATTGTAGACAGATGGTTTGAGTCTGTTTGGTTCCATCCTGGACCAGGACAGCTCAACTCTGAATTACAAAAATCTAATTTTAAGGACAGCATCAATAAACTATTAATTCAATATGTCAAAGAAGAAGAAAGCAAATGTCTTAAAACAAAAGCCAAAGTGTTGTAAAAATGACCGGTTCATACGAGGAGTCACACTCAGAGCTGAGAAGAAATTATGGTGACGTAACTGTGAAATGGGAGGTCTAAACTAGACAAGTAAGGAGAATGTTTGCATTCCTGTGCTGTATACAGGCTAATGGCATCCATTCTCATGTAATAAGTCTGGTTATTTTTACTGTAATCGTGTTTCTGTCGTGTATTTTCACAGGGCTTTAAACACTGCTGTAACCAGACATAAATCAGGAACACAAAGTTAAGAGCACCAACAAACCAAAACACTGTTATAATGGGTACAGTAACAGTTTTGTCGGGCTCCCATTATTTCCCACCACAGACCACCATCGTCCAGGAACATCACACTCAAGAGTCAGTCGGCCAGTAACACCACCAGTGCAAGATAATTGGTGTGAGTGCCTGCAGTGAATTATTGTGTCATCTCCCATCACACCAGATGGAACAAATGCCTCTGATTATCCCCCCCCCCCCACACACACACACACATCCTTATTGCATATATTCAGATCTTGTGAGTTAATTTGAACTTTCGCAAACAAACCCAAAGACACCTCTGAACAGGTGTTCTCAACTCCCAGCATCCTCCTCTCTTACAGGTGGCCCCTGCAATAATTAATGCATCTTCTCCATGGTAACCTAAGGATGTTTAAAGGCCAGACCAGTATCGGGTTCCCTGTGCTGGAGGGGCCACACCGTTGGGATCTAAACACACCCTCCACACCACTTAAACATGTAGTAAGAATATATATATATATATATATATATATATATATATATATATATATATATATATATATATATATATATATATATATATAAAGAAGGATATTTGTTTTCAGAACTCACCTGGCCACAACTTCATTGTCAACTTTTACGATGCAGTAAGGATCACTCGTTCCAGAGCTTTAAAAGACAGGCAGAGCAAGGTTTTCCATGTCGTTTCATGGGTAATACATTTTCTTTCATTTCTACTGATTTAATTTATTCTCAGATCAATATAATGAGAATTACCCAGTCTCATTTCATGTCATTCTTTCTGGTAATTCAAAGCAAACACCAAAATTGAATTTGGAATTCCAACTGTTTCTAACTTGAGAGACTTATCAATTAATCAGTCAGATAAGACCTGACAACAGGGGCTCGTGCCATTCAGGAATTACTTACACGTCTTTGGCTGGGAGGTTCCTTCCTTCGACAATTCGAAAATAAAGAGATGTGTTTTTGGCCATCTTCAATCGAGTAATTTATGTATCCAGTTTCTCATTTGTTGCCCATACGCGCTCTTATAAATAGTCCTCCTCCCGTCCGCCAGTGAGTTTTCTTCTTTTCATGACACCTTCAGCTCGTGACACGGCGCTCTGCCCACCAGTGTAGCGCGCGACTCGGGCGCGCGTCAGTCTGGTTCCGTGGAGCGGGTTAAACCAAAAACAGTAGGGTTAAAAAAAACATCGCCTCTTTCAAAACGGACGTTTAAATTCAATATGAATGTATAAATCTGCTGAAATTATGATCGAATTAACATGTCTGAATAGGCTGTATTCACACAAAGTATTATTTATATCTGGTGGCAAACATTAATTTGCTAATCAAATCACTGGTTTTCGTATTATTCCTATTTATAGTTGAATCTTTGGCATATCCGTCATACAATCCATCCATTTGGTTTCTCTCTGAAGAAGTACTGGCACTTATTTGCTGTTGCTTTGGGTAAAGTGCGCCATCTACCGAAGATATCGACTTACTTTTTCGTGCGAAATTACAGGCAGGCATTTAAACGGCCATCAACCCGGGGTCCTACTTAGCATGTTTTAACAACTGAAGCAAACAGCTACAGTGATCGAGTCTGTAATGTTGTTTGGAGCTAATATATTTAGAATTTATAGTTTAGTTTGTGTACAGATAATGTTAAAAACAAATTGGGTTTCGATTATTTAATTCAGTAACTTTGTTTCGAAAAACCTGAAGCATGTAGGTTGTAAAATTAACCTAGCTGAGCTTGCTAGCTTGCTGTGTGTTGCTCGAGCTCTTTCACAGTTTACACATTTCTAGTTATGGAGAGTTATCCTATAGACATCGATAGTGATTCAACAAAACTACAAGAAAGACATTACTACCTGCTATCTGAACTGCAAACCTTAGTCAAAGAATTACCGAGGTTGGTACGGTCATCTCCTATAGCAGCAGTAGCTGCTAGGACCATTTCCAACTGCATTTCCACTACCTTCTGTTCTTGCTTTAACATCTTCCTGATTTTCTACATGTTCAGCTCGTTTCAACAACGCCTGTCCTATAACACGCTGGGCGACCTGGCTTTAGCCCTGATCGATGGAACAGTGTATGAGATTGTTAAGGGCCTCCTGGATATTCAGCATCTGACAGAGAAAAATCTCTACAATCAAAGGCAGAAGCTACACTGTGAACACCAAGGTCTGCGATACGGATCAGGGATTAATGGAACCTGTCCCCCTATTTATATAATTGTATCAAATTTTAAGACATTACTTTAATTTGGCCCTTATTTTAAATGAGGTTAAAGACATGTATTTAATGACTGTTTTGCTTTGATTGCAGCACTTAAACAAGACTTGCTACGAAAGCACAAAGATGCTTTACAGTCATGCAAATCTCACAACCTTGCACTTCTCAAGTCGAACCAGCAAGCAGAGCTTGAGGTAGAACATGCAAACTGTTCTGGTCTCTCAGATTATGGTCCTCCTATTTTTGTTTTTAAGTTACTTGCCACAATGTTAAATGTTCATTAGACTTTGGAAGTTCGAGTGCGAGAGGAGCAAAGGATGATGGATAAGAAAATCGTAGCAGAAATTGATCAAAAAGTGATAGACCAGCAGAACACCCTGGAGAAAGCAGGAGTTCCTGGATTCTTTGTTACCACTAATCCTCAGGTGAATATACACCACTCTTGTGTTGCTAAAATGGCTGTTATAACATTGCAAAACATTAATTTGATTGGAAACAGATATTCAGTTAATGACACTGTCTCTGCACTACTCCCTAACTCCTGTTAATTTATGCTTTTCAGGAGCTGACTATGCAGATGAACCTCCTCGAACTGATTCTCAAGCTTCAACAGAAGGAATCACAATCCCAGCTATGAGAGAGACGACAGTTATTACTTATGTCCAGAAAGCACACCCTGAATATGTGTTGATTTGTAACTGTCACTAGCCTCTTTGACTTCTGGATGTTTTGAGTTAGCGGACAGGAGTTTGAAGCTGCCAGGCAACATTTAAATTAGGACAGCATTTCTAAATGTTCAAGGAAACAATTAACTGTTGTTAATGTTGTGACTTTGAAGCAGTGAAACGGCATATAACTTTCTATTACTTACACTTGGAGAAGTCCTAATTTATTTGCACAAAGAAATTATTTAAAGACGAAACATTTTCTTTCTGCTTTTGAACTCCGCATTTGTAGTTTTGTTGTAAAGGAAACATTTTTTTATTATTTCTATACATATTTGTCATAAATTAATTTGATGAAGCAGTTTGGGGTTTTATGTTCCTTTATTGGTCGTTACCTAAATGTTTCAGTTTGATTTTCACAAGAAGATTGCAATTATAAAGCAAACATAACCTTCCTGTACTGGATCAGAAAATTTCAAGTTTCACTTTCACATAAAACTAACAAACGTAATTATCCACATAAACAAGAGGTGTGCCGGTTTGGGACTGATTTTACGTAAAACATCCAGTTCTTATTTTTTCTGCTGTTTCTGTTCAGTATCAACTTTTATTTTCAACTATCATTTCAGTTGTTTGGATACCGTGGATGTAAGTGAAGTGCTGCTACAGTACATTTATCTTTATGCTCCTCAAATGCCAGTTCTATTAACATTTATCATCTGACATTTAAAAAGCAAGCAACAACGGACATTTTCATGAATGGCTGCTACTATCCTTGAGCTTGTTATATCTCACTGGTTTATTAGCAAACAGAATAACAACTGATAATAGGATATATCTGGTTGTGAAACACTGATTTCTTTAGACTGAAATTTATGAAGCACGAAAACATTTAAGAACTGAAAAGTCATGGAAGATACTCAAGTGTTTGTTTTCACTATTTTTCCTGTAACAGAAGCTTATTTGTACTGTATTCAAAATTTGTGTTGAGGGATTGACATTTTTTTAAACTAGCTTTTTATTAATCTGCTGAATTAAGCAGATCAAGGTTATTTATTCTCTTCTTGATAAGTACCCTAACAGAGTCTGGCACCAGCAGGTCTGCGTACACATCTATTCTACAAATAACTGAATTTTATCATCTTTTAGGCTCTGGTGGCGTTAGATACGCTCTATATTAAGCTCAATAAACACACAGGAAGATGATCTGGGATGTGTTGTTTTAGATCACAGAAATCCACACTGATAAACTCAAATGATAAAAAAAAATAATGGCTGTTGGCTTCTTTGAACAAAGGTGCCAGCCCACATAAATTTAGTCCAGTTAATCTATATATAAATTATGCCTTTTTGGTCTTTAAGTCTCTGATTATTACAAATAGATTAACACATAATGATTAGTCCCTGAACTTGTCAAAATTTGTATGATTGTATGGATTCGTGCCCACGTGGTGACATTTGAGAAAATAAAATAAATTGTGGCCACACATTTTTCCCCTCTCTCAAAGTCACCAGACAGCTCCGTACTTTGTGTTTTAACACAAAAGGTAACTATATGGGGAAAAGGCTTATCTCATGCTCACCTGCAGGGGAATCATTCCAGGGCGGGGATTGGAGAAGCCTCTGGCAGTAAAATAGGGTGCATGTCCCTTTAAGACGCAGACCAGGCAGCGCTGTTGTTTTTTTTTTTTTTTATCCCTTTTCGTTGCACCTTCAGCCCCATCACCGGAGGAAGATAAACCCGGGGAACTTCTAACAGGATCTACAGCAAAGATGACAGCCTCCGAGCAATTGCGGTATTTATTTATTTATCATTTAATTTGTTTATAATAGAAAGGGATGAAATAATCGCGCCTAACTGAACTCATGAGTGCGATTCAGAGAGGTGGTGCGCTGCTGAGCTTTTTCCATTTTGTTATAAATTATTCATTCATGTGACATTTAAAACAACGCTTATTGCATTCGTCACAATATTCCTTTATAATCTTATATAACCATGGGTCTATTTGCTTGAATTCAAAGCCTGAAGTGAACGAGTCCTGTACTTCAGGACAGCGATCCCTTATTTGTAGCCGTAGAATAAAGGTTACGTAATAATTAAGGAGGCATCCTGTTGTTTGTCGCGGCCAGAAATCGGATGCTGCTGTTATATTTGTTCTGGTAGATATTGTGCGTTATTCGATTAAGAAAGGTGAAATCTGAAATGGAAATTGGTAACAATATATTTCACACAAGATCGAGCGATGGCCCTGTGTGACGTGGTCTGCTGAAATGGAAAGAGGAGTGTCATATACGACAGAGAACAGTTAGCAATGGAATAAAGATATGAGTCAGACAAAACATCAACGCATAAGTTATTAATATGAAAAATAATAATAAAAAGCATCATGTGGTGTAAAACCCCTTCAGGTTGTGCTGCTCACATTGGTATTTAGCATGTGATTGTCATGTTTAGGAGCAGGAAGTTAGGACCCAAGATGCAGACCCAGGATGACATGAGGCAGGAATGTTAAATAAAGAAGAATCCTTTATTTTTGATGACAAAATAAAAATCCAAAAAGGGCAGGAGGCAAAAAACCCAATAACAAAATGAAGCAGGGGAAAAATCCAAAAGCTCACTTCATGAGCAGAGAACCAGAGCAAGAGGGAGAGACAAAAACAACGCTGACATAAAACAACAATGAACCGACAAGACACAGAGACAAGACAGGGCTTAAATACACTGGGGCATAATGGGGGGCAGATGAGCTGCAGGTGTGTGGAGTGTGGGGGGAGGACCAGGTGAAAGCAATGACTAATCAGGGAAGAAACAACATGACCTGAGAGTGAACCTAAAAACAGAAAAGCAACCATATAACTCAAATTCTAAAGGGAAGGAGAACTACAAAAACCGGTGGGACAAAACATAATAAATGCCCCCTTCAGACAGGCCATGAAAAACGGAAATGTTCCGGAATCTGTCCGTAAGACCTTTCTGTCTGAATACAAACATCCGGATAACGTGTTCCGGAATTTATCCGGAGGAAGCCCCTAGTAACAGGTCCGGACTTGTTACGGACAAGGTGGCTGCTTCAGACTGGTGAGGTAAAGTTCCGGACAAGGGAGAGGGGACCGGGGGATGCTGTGCGCACCTATATAACTCGCTCCTGTAGCATGCGGCGAACCATGGCAGCTCGCCTCCTACGGTACCGCCTAGACGCGCGACGGAGCGCTTCACACCGCTTCAGTGATTCCTTTAACCATTGAGCTTCATCATCCAGGTCTCTTATGCGTCTTCGTGTGCGCAGAATTATGCTTAAGCGCCTCGTGATTTTTATCTTGAGAGGCACTATAGAAATGATATTTTCTTCTTCTTCTTCTTAACATAAGTCCGATTCTCCCCCACCCCATCCCCCCGCCGCCGTCAGACATCTGGAACTTTTCCCTGCTGTGTGAACGCAGCCGAAAGGACAAGTTCCAGTACAAAAGTGGTGTGTCTGAAAACACAGTTCCGGTTAAAAAACGGATTGAATTGTCCGCAAATGTTCCAGAATATCTGTCTGAAAAGGGCTAAAGAGACTAATAAAAATGAAAAGCTGAAACTATTAACACTGCAGAGGGATGACTGGCTGCAGAGGGGTGACTGGAGAAGACTAAAGGAACACAGGAGACACATAAATGAGATGCAGACAAAGGACACATGAGGGCGCTATGAAACACAAAAGGAGAACCTGGATTGGGAACTGGAGGGGCTGGGGAACAAAGGGACACAGAACATGACAGTAATGTAGCATACAAGGATTTGTGCTCCCTATAAATGGCATGATGTAAAACAACGAGGAAAACTTTTAGTAAAATCTCTTTCTCATGTTTGTACGTTATTTTGTTACTTGAAATTATACATACCGTATATATGTGTGTGTGTGTGTGTGTGTGTGTGTGTGTGTGTGTGTGTGTGTGTGTGTGTGTGTGTGTGTGTGTGTGTGTGTGTGTGTGTGTGTGTGTGTGTGTGTGTGTGTGTGTCAGTGGCACAGAGGGTCGGAATTCACATCCATCTTACCTTGTTGATTCATCAGCAGCTTTGTATGACATGCTGAGCCAAACAGATCTTTCAACTGCAGGGCTTTTTCCTGTGCACGTGAGAACCTTTATAAACAACAAGTTTTATCTTGCAGGTCATCTTTATAGACGGGTAATGGATCCAGAGTGACAGCCTCAACACCGACCCATCTAACACTGTAGCTATGGCAACCTGTCAGAGAGGCTGTGCGCCGGCCGTGCGCCTTTGTCAGAGACTGAACCGTCTCAAGACACTAAACGGTGACATGATGGCGACGTCCCTGAAGCGCTGCCTCTCCACCTTGGACCTGACTCTGTTGGGTGTTGGCGGCATGGTGGGCTCTGGGCTGTACGTCCTGACAGGAACCGTGGCCAAAGACACAGCTGGGCCAGCTGTCATTGTATCTTTCATTTTTGCAGGCATCGCTTCTTTACTGGCTGCCTTTTGTTATGCAGAATTTGGCGCACGCATACCCAAAACCGGATCTGCCTACATGTTTACCTATGTGTCTGTGGGAGAACTCTGGGCTTTCCTCATTGGCTGGAATGTGATTCTGGAGAACATGATCGGCGGTGCTGCTGTGGCACGAGCCTGGAGTGGCTATCTAGACTCTATTTTTAATCACGCTATTCAAAACTTCACAGAAACACACATCATGCAGTGGAATGTGCCCTTCCTGGCCCATTATCCTGACCTACTTGCAGCAGGAATTCTCGTAGTTGCGTCCATCTTCATTTCCTTTGGAGTCCAAGTGTCCTCTTATTTAAACCACATCTTCTCTACCGTTAGTATGGGCGTCATTGCTTTCATCTTGGTGTTTGGCTTCATGCTGGCTGACCCTGTCAACTGGAGCCAGGAGCAAGGAGGGTTTGCACCTTATGGGCTGTCTGGAATCCTGGCAGGCTCAGCCACGTGCTTCTACGCGTTTGTGGGCTTTGACGTCATTGCTTCCTCAAGTGAGGAGGCTAAGAATCCTCAGAAGGCGGTTCCTGTTGCCACCGCTATCTCCCTTGGACTTGCAGCAACAGCCTACATCCTGGTCTCTACCGTGCTCACATTGATGGTACCTTGGCGTACGCTGGACCCCAACTCAGCTCTGGCAGATGCGTTTTTCCGTAGAGGTTACAGTTGGGCTGGGATTGTTGTGGCTGTAGGCTCCATTTGTGGTAAGTGTTATGATTTTTAACATATTAACCACTGTCTTGACATTTCAGTGCTATATTTTTTAACTTATATTCACTTTATCCTTACTTTCAGCGATGAACACCGTCCTTCTCTGTAATCTCTTCTCCCTTCCTCGGATTGTGTACGCCATGGCAGAGGATGGATTGTTCTTCTCCATTTTTGCAAGAGTCAATCCCCTTACCAAAGTTCCTGTCAATGCTATTCTGGTTTTCGGGATCCTAATGGCTACCATGGCTTTGGTCTTTGACCTGGAAGCCTTAGTTCAGTTCTTGTCCATCGGCACTCTCCTGGCATACACCTTTGTGGCAGCGAGTGTGATTGTGCTTCGCTTCCAGCCTGAGAAGACCAACTCCAAGAGCAGCCCTTCCCCATCCCCCATCCCCAGCTCTGAGCTCTCACCTCCCACCTTGGAGTCTCAGACGATAGCTGAGGACAGTGAGGAACCCAAACAGTATGAGTCCTTCTCTGACAAGCTCCAGCTGGTGGAGAGGCAGAAGACGAGAGAGCGGCGTGGGGTGGGGCAGCTAAAGGCCTGCTGGGAGCCATACCTGGACCGGCTGCTGGGGAACTGTGAGCCGGGGGAAGTGGTGGCTTTCAGTGTGATGACATTGATAGTGAGCTCGGTGTCTCTCTGTGCTGTGCTGGAATTTGGAAACAAACAGCTTCAGCTCCCGGTCTGGAGTTTCACAATGCTCCTTGTGATCTTCAGCATTGCTTTCATTTTCAGCCTGGCACTTATATGGATTCATGAGCCACAAAAAAATACCAAAACATTCCAGGTGAGATTTACCACTGATCATTTTCACCCAGTCATCATTATGACACATGTATAAAGTATAATGACACAGATTTCCTTGTTTTGTAGGTACCCTTTGTTCCACTCACTCCAGGTGCCAGCATCCTCTTCAATGTCTTTCTGATGATGAAGCTCAGCTTCCTAACCTGGATTCGGTTCACAGTTTGGATCGCCATTGGTAAGTTCAAAATTTAAGCAGAGTAGTGGCCAAAATGTTTTCCTCAGACATATTTCTACAAAACAGTTTTTTGGGACAGTCGGCTGGTTTAAAAAGGAGTTTCCTGCGAGTACAGACTGGAGCACTTATCCTCGGTAAACAAATATTGAACTGCAACCAATAGTTGACTTATAATGTGAAGTGAGTCTAATCTCAGAAAGCATAATCATTAATAAAAAACATTTTGTCTGTGTCCAGTGGGCTTTATGTACGTGAATGTTGCTGGAGCATATCGCATTGAAGCTTTTTGCTCATCACAAACTCAAAAATAGGAAGGAAGAAGATACAGAGGGTTGACAGCTCATAAAATCTTTTAAGTCTACAATTGCATTAATATTATTTCACTAACATTCTTTGTGCTCAAAAGCAGCCAGATGTTTTTCTCTTTTTGTCAGCAGTCATCTGCGGATATAGTCCAGGTCAACATAGAAAAGATGATCATCAGCATTAGCGTAAGTCTCATCTAGAGCAGGAAACCATTCAAACACCAGTGTCAGTCTGATGCATTAAACTTGACTGGAGCTCTGGTATGACTGGGCTTTTCTCCCCCTAAATAAAGCCCCATCGGGTGGGTGGGTTGGACTGTCGGTGGGTTGTTTATTTATTGAACATGTAAATCAACAAACAAATTAAAGTATACAAAAAGAAACCCATACATATGTATCTACATCTATATCTATATCTATATATATGTAGAACATGTTCAATAGGAAGGGAAAGAAGCTCTGGTAGGTTATCTCCCCCCCCAAGGAAGACAAAAACAAAAAAAATCCTTTCATTATACTGTTTCATAGCCAATTTCTTATAACATTTTTTTCCCTCAGTCACACAAACATAATTTACACTTTTTATGTATCACCCCCCCCCCCCACACACACACACACACACACACACACACATACACACCCTTCCAATATTCACAGCTCCCAGTTCACCAACAATAGACAATTACAATCAAATGCAACACCCTTACAACTTTTCTTCCTCCTCCATATAATTAATTGGTATAATTTTTTTATACTTATCTTTAAACTTATGCAATGACGGACTTTGCGTTAGATCCCCTCTTAGCTTATTCCAAACGTATCCCATAACAGAAATACAAAATGACTTTAATGTTGTTCTAAAATATGTATGCATAAAGTTAAGTTTGTATCTGAAATTATATACGTTAACTGGTTTATTAAATAGCATTAATAATTTATTTGGTAATAATTTCCTATGCACTTTATACATAAACATTGCTGTATATAGTTGAATTACATCTTTAAATTTGAGTATTTTTGAATATATAAATAACGGATTAATGTGTTCTCTAAATCTAAACTATAGTTGGTTGATTAGTTGGTTTTGTATATTTATTGGATTGCCTACACATGCCTGCATTTGTAACTAAATTCCAGCTAAATTAATGGCATTATTATCAGTACTGCCTTGTAAATCTACTGGCCTCTAATTAGCTAACATGACTTCCTTATACACATGACATTAAATTGAACGTGTTTCTGTAATGTGTTTTCTAAGGTCTGACAAATTAAAATTTAAACTTTGTTATATAAGCAGTAGTATTTGTTTACTCGTTTATATTCCAAAGAAATTAAAAATGCACAAAAACATATTAATGACTCATTACCAAATCTGTGCAGGGTATTCGTTTAGATGATCTCTACAGTAAAGTGTTTTATTCTGTTTTGATGTCAGGTCTTGTTGTATATTTTGGCTACGGGATCTGGCATAGTAAGGAGGGATTACGGGAGCTGCAGCCCAAAGACATGGCCGCCCACTACGTGGTTCTGCCCAGCGGCAGCCTGGTGGAAACGGTGCAGAATGTTCAGCCCGACGGTCAGGTGGTCACCTCAGCAGCACACTACATGGGCTCCCCCACTGCCCCAACAGCTGAGGAGTTCACTGAAAAGAGATAATGTGTGACGGCTGTGAGTCATCATTACAACTGCCTGATTTAATCTGCTGTCTCCCCCCCCACACACACACACTGTACTATTACTCGTGTCCTTTCTGTATCTCACTCCCTTTAAATCTGTACTTGTTGCTCTGCAGAAGTATCTACACCGTACGATGGGTAGCACACTGTCTAATTGTTAAGCACACTTGTATATCTTGTAATAATAAATGTACAGCAGAGGTCTTTATTACTGCCCTGGAAGCTCTTTGCGTCAAAGTTGTGTTCTATCCTTCACAGCCAGCGCTTTTCTTGCTACCTGCCACTTTGTCCAAATTTGGTGCTTTTATTGTTGCAGTGGAGGATTATCTTCCCCTACATATCTCAGTTTTCTAGTTCTAGAACTGGAACATTAAAAAATATTTTTTTAAGTACAAGATAACCTATGTCTTTAAAGATTTAGAGCCTTGGGAAATAGATTTCTACATGCTTTTTGTTTACCACAATGCCCCTTGACCCAGTTTCTACTAAGAATACTTACTACTTCATACTTTATTTTGTAGGTTTAGGGGGGGGTTCCTGTTTTTTTTTATTATTATTATTATTACTTGGTAAAAGAATGAACATATCTGGGTTTATATTGCCTTTTCTCAGATTCTTTTCATTGCCACAACGGAAACTCCTGTCCGAAATCATCATCTAGCTCATCTTCTTAGGGCTTCTGTTTCTGAAAGAGGTTTCATGCTGTGATTTAAAATCATTTATTTTATTTTTCAAATATTACTGTTTGTGTTTTCTTTCCATGCATTTTATTATCTTTGCTCACCTTTTTTTTTTCCTGTCATTTATTTTTCTTTTAACCCTCTCAGGCTCAAAATAAGTTTTGGTAACAGGACGAACAACTAAGTCCTTGAGGGGTACTACTGAGTTAAAAAATGCTCATGAAATACATATGTGGAGTAACCAGGTAGGTAGTTTTTAATGTTGCAAATCTGCAACGCCTGCCTCCAGAGGGTTAAGCTATGTCAGTAACTTGTGTTCACTCTTTAAGTGGTTAAACACTTCTCAACTAATCTCCCAAATCTCATCCTGTGACCCTGCTCCTTTTTGTGAATATAATCTTGGGCATGCTAGCAGTCTGTCTTTTTCCCACGCATCTTTAATCTGCTGTATCCCCCCCCCCCCCCCCCCCCTTTCCCTGTTGGTTTAGGATTATTTATCAAAAAACATCAAAATCTGAGCTCATTAAGCTGATTTATCTGAGACAATCTGAGAAATATAGAAGAATGTATAGGCAAGGGGACGTTTTGATGCACAAGTATTGTCAGTCGGGCGTTGATTATGCTAAAGCTGGAGTTTGCTTCATCTCTCAGAGACCTCTGTAATCCCTGCAGATCTGCAGCAGTTTCTGTCATCAATCTGCCGCCTGACCTAGATTAGAAAAGCCAAGCATGTGAACGTTCCCGTAACAGGAATAAAACTTTCCCGTGTGTCAATACATGAACATAAACTAGGCTTTGTTTATCTAATGCTAAAGCATTTTAACTGTCAGCTCTATTGTTTTTTAGTGCATGTTACATAGAAAACCAAAGGCCTTAAACATGTTAACAAAAAGAGAATCAGTGTGCACAACTCAGAGGTGAAAAAGGCGATAGATGGGAGCACGGTTCTGAAGAATCTAAAAAAAATCCTGGATAATCACAACTTTTGTGGTGTCTCTTGGTTATTTCGTTTAGGCAGAATCGACGTATTTCAGCTACACGCCGTCTTCAGCTTGTTACAGATACAAGCACAATTCAACACTCATGTAGAGGTCAGAAAACATTTGTGCCAATCAGCACAAAAAGAACACCTGTGTACATCTGTCTAATCAGCGACAAACACATAAGCACAGAAAACAGTCCCATGAATACAAATATAAATATAAATGCTAAACCAAGAGTCATCATGCAATTCAAACAGCTCAGCATTCAAACCCTCTGGGTTTAGAGTGTGGGTCCAAAATGCTTCTCTGTGCAGCAGAAGAGTGTCTTTGTCACGTCTTCTTCTAGGACTGGTCACCATTGAAACAGACAAGGAACAAAAGTCATGGCCAGCTGTAATGGAGTGTCTTATCTTGTAGCTTTATCAAGATGAGTCATAGGCACACTCGAATAAATATGTTATATTAGTAGTACAGCAAGTGTTCTGTCTAACATGGAAAGTTTCCTGTAAGAGCCAATTAGTTGCTAATTCATTTAGGATATATTAGTGAATAAGTAAAAAAAATGCATATGTGTGATGCTTTAAAAATATAATTTCATAAAATATACAGAAACACTTCAGTTAAATCATAGAATGTAGAAATGTTAGATTCAGAAACATTTTCTTTGTATCCCATAATTCCTTGTATAGAAGGTTTATTTATTTATTTCTATTTATTCATTTATTTATTTTTGTGTTAGATGGGAGTTGGAGTGTTAGCAGGCAACACAGTTTTTTTTACTTAAAATGTGGTGGCAGTCTGGTTCTTTATCTTCTTTAAGTCACCGTTGGAAGTTGGTCGAGTTGCACCTTGATTTGATTTTTAATTAAACCCTCCTTTTATAAAGAAGATCATCTGGTATTATTTGCATGATCACAAATCTATGTTGCTCGACCAACTTCCAACGGTGACTTAAAGAAGAAAAAGAACCGGATTGCCACCTCATTTCCTTTTGGCCATGAAATGTGTTCCTTGGCCTTTTAAGGCATATAAATGGTGACTGGTCCTAGAAGAGGACGTGACAGAGACACACTTTAGCATTTTGGATCCACACTTATTGAGGAGCTGGTGTTGAGCTGCTTTCTCTGATGATCTTAAGACCCTTTGTAGATTTGTATTTATATTTGTACACATTTGAAGTGTTTTGTGTATTTAGTATTTGAGCGTCATTGATTAGACTCAATACTGCCTTTAATGTGATAAAAATATAAATGCTGGCTACCCTCCAAAGTTAGGATATTCATTCTGATTGGTTTAGCTTTTCTTTTTTTTGTATAACTGATAAAACTCTAATCAACAAGCTCATGAATTATCAAACCAAAAGAAAAATCCAAACCCAAAGTGTACAGAAGGAGGCGTTTTGGCATTGCTTCTGAAAGGGTTTAAGAGAATGTTCCACAACTTTGCACAGTTTGCAAACTGCTGTGCAGTAATTTGTTTCATGGTTATGCTTTAAGTGTCTGGGCTAGTGGCATACATTTATACTGTGGTGCTTTTTTAAGCTGAGCATTTTCACAACTCTTTCTGTCTTTCTTTGTGTCAGGAAGCACAGATGTCAGTGATCGGACCTTTTCTTACTTCTAAACTGCGTTGCACTCTGTGTTTGTACATCGAAATCTCATATCCCACGTTATCATGTATGTTTGTGTAAAATGCAAAAGACAAAAAATAAATAAATGTTTTGAAGCAACAAAAAGCAAATTATGCGTAGATATTTCAGATAATCGTATCGTAAAAGATTGTGGATTGAAACATTTAGGTGTGCTTTGTGAATTCGGTAGTAGTTTGTTTAAATATGAACAAAGAACAAGAAACATGAAGCAAAGTGTTTTAATTTAATGAAGCGTTGGTAAACACAGTAAATTAAGACAAAAAAGGATTTATGCACAACAGAAAACTTCTTCAAATTTAATGTTCTTTATCTTGTTCTATTTTTTCTGGACATTTTAAGCCTTCCTTTTTGTAGATTCTTGAAATATTTGTGGTATCTTACCTGCCATGCAAATAACTTTCAACCAAAACTACTGATTGTCTCAAGCATATGACTGAAACTATTGATATCAATCAATGAATCCAATGAGCACAAACGCACTTAAAAAGTAATTTCCATTAACAACATTTACATTTTTTGTTGCAGGCGAATGCAGAAGCCTTGACAACAATGTTAAAGGTGTTGAACACTCGTTTAATCCATACATTTGCCTTGGTCTCTAGTAGGAATGAATGCCTTGCAACAAGTACTCTAGATCAGCACGAACGGGTCTGCTGCAGCAGAGAATGGCAGCAGATGGCAGGATTTGGAGTGTTATTTCCTGATATTTGGACATCTTGCCTCGGATTTGATAACAGCATCCAATCTTTTGTGAAGAGCCTCGTGATTTTTATCTTGAGAGGCGCTATAGAAATGATATTTTCGTCTTCTTCTTCTTCTTCTTCTTCTTCTTCTTCTTCTTCTACCACCAACTCTGTTTGCTCTGGGACATGAATGTGTTATCTCCACAAATAACACAAGCCTGGAGGAGCTTCTGCCATGTGGTGGAGCTGCTAATGCTAATAGTTAGCTTCTGCTAGCCAAGATTTTCAATGCTGTTTCCTGGACGCAAAAACAACAGCCTTCCCCATCACGAGTGAAGATGGCAAAGTGACACCTTGACGTGGTCAGGATTTTCAAATCCTAGACATTTACCGTCTATTTTCTGAAGCTAATGCAGGAACTAGGTGTAGGAGACTATTTTTCTGTTCAGCCTGCATGAAAAACTTTGAATGACTGACTATAATTAGAAATAATCATTAAAAACATTTTTTCAGTGTTCCACACCTTTAATTAACTGGTCTGTTCAATAGCAGGTTCATTTATTTCAGTGAATTTTAAAATTATTTATTGTAAGAAAACCAATTCTTAACTCTTTATGTAGACAAAACTATCACTTAGTTATTTATATTGTGCCTTTGATTATTTAAAGAGAACTTAAGATTTCAATTTCACGTCTTAAGTTACAAATCAGTCATTTACGGTGACTAAACCACCAGTTGTCTGCCTGGTGAATGAGAAGACACATCAGGTGCTCACTTTAAGGTGATTAGAACCTTAATATTGTGTTTTGGATTCTCAAACTCTGCTCATTGTTTTTGATATTATTTCTGCAGTTCCGGCCTTACAAAGTCACATGCAAAAGTAAAAGAAATCTACAGTACAGCAGCTCAATTTCCATGGAAACTAGCACTCTGCAGCTTAGAGCGAGACAGCTTACAAACACACAGACACCTGTCTCACTTTATCTTTGTGGGTCTCAGGGTTGGAAAAAGCTGCTTATTTACTTGGAACTATGTGAGTCATCTTCTGTGAAAGCCTTCCATTCAGCCACACAGGCTTGTTTGAGAAGCATATCATATAGCCTGAAAGCTAATATGCTGCAGCCATTAGTGTCCTTTTTTATTGGCATTTAAACAAGACTTCCTTTTGCAAACACAGTAAGTTTACTCTGGACAAATTCAGAATGGGAGGTCAAATGGGAGCAGTCTAACGTTCCTGGTGAGAAGAAAACTGCTGGGTTATGTCTAACTGTTGCTATTTTTTCCACATTTTACATTTTATATACTTTTCTGTGGTCTGATCATTTTTGTGGATGTTGCACGAGAGCAGAAGCGTTTCAGAGCTGCTTACAGCTCACTAATAGCTGGTGTAGGTGGAGTGTTTACTGCAGCCATTCCAGGAACAAAAAGAGGTAGAAACACAATCAGACTGAAAACCTTGTCCCTCTTTTTCGGTCATACACCAGCTGTCCTTCCAGTGGAATACAGAACACATATTTGAACTGAATCTGTTGTGGCCAAATTCATTGAGGATTTAAAAGTCATCAGTTTTATTTGTTCCTGTTTTTGTTAAACAGTAAACATTTAAGTCTGACTTCTACCTAAATCTTTAAGTAATTTATTTATTTTATTTTGTCAGTTTGTGATAACTTTGTAAACTTTTGGACCCTCCCATTATGTAAATATATGAGGAGCAAGCTAGGTGGAAAGAAGGGTTTTTTGGTTTGCCAGATGTCAGCCGGAGGTGACGGGAGGGTTTTTAATGATTTTTTTGACCACTTTACATGGACTTGATTAGTTGATGTAAGTTGGATTTCGTTTAAATTCGAAACAAGACATTGCTGGATTATGTTTTTTTTAGTTAAAACTTTGTAAGAAATAAATGAAATATAATTTTAAGAACTGAAGTCTGGAGTGCATGCAAACCCCAAACCCACCTGTTGCCACCCATGGCCTTTTGTTGGAATTATTTCGTTTTGGGTTGTAAAAGGCCGCAACAGAATCATTTGCATATCTTCACTGACCCCCGCATTTCCTGCACATCACAAGATGAAGTTTGGGAACAGAGAGAACAAGCTCAGAGACCTTTATGCTGACGTGTTCTAAACAGGAAATGCAGCACTGACGAGGATTAATAAAGCAACCAACGCTGTTTCTAATAAAGGCAAGTAAAACATGTCAGCTCAGTTTTTTCAACAATAAGGTTTTTATTTAGTCAGTTGCATCCACGTTGATCTGGTTTTTTACATGAAACTCCAAGGAATAAAACTGGCTTCATGTCTGCAGAGGTGCAGGTTCCTATTCAGACACATACATTACAAATGAGTTATAATAATCCCAACGGTGCATGATCTACTTCACATGAAACTCCTTTGTGTACATCCATACCCTGCAGGCATTTTGCTGAGCTCTTGTTTTCAATTTCTCAAGACTTTTGTGCAGAGTAGCATTTTCCTGTTCCATCACTTTTATACGAATTCTGTTTGCTTGAAGCTGTTGCTCCATATCCAAAATCAAGTTTCCTGTACCTAGAATGTAAATAAAGTCATGTGCTATTATTATACTGGAAATAAATCTAATCAAATATAATCAGATAATGTTATTCAGTAGCAACCTACTCTGAGGTTGGGCCTGGGACCAGTTGTTGAGCTCTGGGAAAGCCACCAGCAGTCTCTCCCTCTCCTTTAAAGAGTCCACACGCCTTGTCAGGTCAGCCACTTGCTTTTTCAACTCATCCGCATTTACTTCTAATGTCTGCTTCTCCTTCTGGAGCTCCTCACACAAATTCTGATGGAAGAACAAGAACAAAACAGACTATTATAACTAAGGCCATTTACAGTACAATTGTATTGCATTTTAGGCCACATATATACCTGCTGCTGCATGAGCTGAGCCTGCTGTTCCTCCACCTCTGACATCTGATTGTGTAAGGTGATCCGTTCCTCCTCTTTCTCTCCTAGCTCCCTCTGCAGCTCTTCGCACTCTTCATCGAGAGCATCAACTCTTTCCAGCAACGACTTTTGCTTTGCCAGCATTGACTGGATACACAATTATATTGAAAACAGTGTGAAGGATCCCCTTTATAGCTATGCTGGCCTTTACAGTGACACTGACCTCCTGCTGACGACAGGCGCTCCTGTACTTGGCCTTCTCCTTGTCAAGAAGAAATGTAGCATCAGAAACTTGAGTTTCTAGCTGTTGGATCTGTTCCTGCAGTCTGCAGCAGGCCTCTTTCTCTGTTTGCAGGTTCTTCACTTTCTCATGGAGTGCTTTCTTTTCAGTTTCTACCAGCAAATGAATCGTCATTATGCAGCATCATACTGTAGATGTGTTGAATGACAGAATCTGCATCTCATTACCAAGCACTTGTAAGCTGTCATGTTGCAGTGCTATTTTCTCCTTTAGTCTGTTATTAGTCTCCTCCAGGGACATATTTTCTGTCACAAAAATGTGAAAAATATTTATAGTAAAAACTATGATGTCAATACATTCTTGTTATAAAACCGATTGTGTTAACTACCTCTCTTCAGCTGTTGTTGCTCCTTTTGTAGCCTTTGCTCTGTTTCTTTTGAGGATCTCTGTGCTTTCCGTAGAGAAAACTCCAGCTGGACAGAGTTTATTTGGTGTTTTTCCAGCTCTTGCTTGAATTGTTTCTGTGCACTTTCCAGCTCAGATTTGAAACTGTCACGTTCCATTTCAGCTACGGCAATTCTTTCTTCAAGAGGCTGCACAGTACCCTGGACATCCTTAAGATGTTTGGTCAGCCGGCTCGTGTCCCGGAGCTGCTCTTCGGCCCACTGGGCTACATCGCCTGATGTCATGTCACCCACAATGTCCTCCATAGCTGCTGCGAGAGGCTGCAGAGATGAGGGCAAACCCTCACTCTGTAACAGATCTATCAATGCATCTCCCGTGTTTCTCAAAAGGGACTGCACCTGATGGCAAGCGCTGCAGGGAATAAGGGACGAACTTGTTGTCTGGCAGCTCACATGATGCTGCTCAGCTTTAGGATAGCATGGAGTGTTGTTAGTTTGTGGGACAAAATCAAATGAGCTTGCTGAAGACAAGGCAGATGCACAAAAGCTACTAAGTTCAGTCTTCGAGCTAGTTATAGCAGGGTTGGACAGCACCATATTTGTGTTGTTGGAGTCAAATGGCTTTGTATCTTTAAAGGGCTCCTGTGAAAAAGAAAGCATAAAAGTATCCAGATCTTTCATTTAAAATGCAATTTTTAGAGTATTTTGTATTTTCTAACATTAATACTACCTTTTTGTTGGCTGATAGGAGTAAATTCCCACAGTAGTTCTTGACCACGAGTCCAACTGACAAGTATGTTGTCTGCTGGGTTTGCTCTCCTCTCTGTCTGCCTCTCGGCACCTCATTGTAAACACTAACACTTTGTAGAAGTAGCAATAATCTTTTTAGAAAAGGAGAAAGGCAAATGTTAATAGAATTACTTTGGTAACAATGCATAACATATAAAACACATTTTATTACCTGTCAATCACTAATTCCAGTAAAACAATGTGGGAGTGCTGATTGAAGGCATCCTCTCCGTCTACATAGTCGTACTCCTCCAGCAGAGCCAACATGTCCACATTACAGGAGAGTTTGTCAGGGAACTTCCAAGAGGTAAAGCTGACCGGTCCTGTTCTGGAAAAGACGTCCACGATGGCTGCTTGGATGTCCGCCAGATCTTTTTGGAGGCTTTTGATGCAGTCTTGACTACCTAACAGCTCACTCATGATCCCCAGATTTAGTTTAATTCTGTCTTCGATGCGATGAAAAGGTCGAGCTCATTTGCATCACGTATCCGTGGAAACGGCAAATGAAACTCTAAGTTCCACAATGCCTTGCAGCTTGTTTCCGGAAGTGATACACCTCCATTATCTGACGAGGGCGCGACGCAGCAAGTGTTGAACCATCTGAAAATTCAAGGTTTGGACTGCATTGCTGTGATTTTAATGTGGATGTTTGTATGAAATTCCATTGAAATTGCAAATTCACTTCCTGGGGGTTGTATGTTTCAGGTATCAATCGGTTTTCACAGGCAGACCTAACCATGCCGCCTGGGCCTGTTCAGATAGTTCAGCCGGAGCCCAACAACAAGGTAATGCTACAAGTTAGCACAAGCTAACTGCCAAGCTAGCAAGACTTACAGTTTCGTTAAACTATTGAACCAAAAATATAGAGTTTCGATATTTTTGCTATGTAGCATCTGGACTTTTTTAATGTGTTGAATAATACAATTACACTTTTAACTATTCTACATATACGACCATATCCAGAGTACCCTAAAGCCGCATAACTCGAGACCCAAGGACTCGGACGTTAACTTTTCTCTCCAGAATGATCCACTCCACATTGAATTATGTCGAAGCAAATAACATTTATTCATCGTATTATATTTTAATGTTGTTTAAAAGCAACATATTGGAGATAGAGATCGCTTACTTCAAAGACAAACATTAGGATCCATACCTGATAACATAAAATCAAAAAGGCCTGAAAAGGAAAAACTGCTTTTAAATAAGTTTTATGACCGATTTTTTAGGCATTTCCCATTCTAAACGGATATTTTTTTTCAACACTAATAAACATGTTTTCCTTTTTCCTACATGTTTATTTCATTCTTTGTTTTGATTGACATTTGCTGGTGTTAGATGTATTTATTTTTATTTAATTATTAATGTCTTTATTTTTTATTTTTAGCTTTTTTGGGTGGGTTATTGTTTTACACAGATGTTTCTATTTAACCAATAGTTCAGCTTTTTTCCCTGATTGGTTGCTAGATAGTCATTAAATTTTAAGCACTCAAGTCAGTGACAGACTGTGACAAGTCAATGATCTCTTTTTTTGGCAGATTGTTAATGTGTAATTCTTCATAATCTAAAATCACTCGTAGTTATGATCCTAAATATAAATTGCATTGTGTCTTTATCTTTTGATATGTCAACTATCTTGTCAGCCAAACGATGCACCTGCAGAAGAAACCCCGGCCACTAAGCCCATTGTTGGCATCATATACCCTCCTCCTGAGGTCCGGAATATAGTGGACAAGACAGCCAGCTTTGTTGCCAGGTTAGTTACAGTATACGTGTCACCGATCTGCAGTGAGAATTTCCCCAAGTATTTGTTTCCATTACACTCTTGTCTTTTGCTTGTTTTTCTTTTTCAGGAATGGGCCTGAGTTCGAAGCAAGAATCCGTCAGAATGAGATCAACAATCCAAAGTTTAATTTCCTCAACCCCAACGATCCATACCATGCCTATTACCGTCATAAGGTTACTGAATTTAAAGAGGGCAAAGCACAAGAACCATCTGCAGCTGTGCCTAAGGTTATGCAGCAGCAGGCTTTGCAGCAGTCCCAGCAGCTCCCACAGAAAGTAAGACGTTTATCCTCTGTTTTTACAGTTTATATATATATTATATTATATATATATATATATATATATATATAATTTTATTTATTTATTTATTTTTTTCTCCCAAAAATGACTTATGCTGTGTTTGTTAGGTGCAGTCACAGGTGATTCAGGAGACTGTGATCCCCAAAGAACCACCTCCTGAGTTCGAGTTCATTGCAGATCCTCCATCAATCTCTGCATTTGATCTGGATGTTGTCAAGCTCACTGCCCAGTTTGTTGCTCGCAATGGCCGACAGTTTCTCACCCAGCTCATGCAGAAAGAGCAGAGGAACTACCAGTTTGACTTTCTACGGCCACAGCACAGCCTTTTTAACTACTTTACCAAACTGGTTGAGCAGTACACAAAGGTGAGTTAGCAGATTATATCTTTCAGTTTATTGGTGTTATTTTTATGTTTAGGACACTTGGCTGTATCTTAATATTTTTCTTATATGTATCTAGATATTGATCCCTCCCAAAGGCTTACTGACTAAGCTTAAGAAGGAGGCTGAGAACCCAAAAGAAGTGATGGACCAGGTAATTTCTTTCAGCAGTATTTGCCAAAAGAAGCAATTTTGTATTCCCCCCCCCCCTCTGATTATTTGTTTTTGTGTACAAACATCAGGTGAGATACCGTGTTGAGTGGGCAAAGTACCAGGAGCGTGAGAGGAAAAAGGAAGAGGAGGAACGGGAGAAAGAACGAGTAGCATATGCCCAGATTGACTGGCATGACTTTGTAGTGGTAGAGACTGTGGATTTCCAGCCTAATGAACAAGGTAACACCTCCGTAGGCACAAACATCAAAGCCCCTAAAAGCAACTAGAATCGTTTAACTTTGTCTATTTGTTCCCACAGGTCACTTCCCCCCACCTACTAATCCTGAAGAGCTTGGTGCTCGCATCTTGATCCAAGAGCGTTACGAGAAGTATGGAGAAAGTGAGGAGGTGGAGATGGAGGTTGAGAGCGAGGACGAAGATGATGAACGTCAGGGTCGGGCTGACGGTCAACCCTCACAACCTGATCAAGACACTCAAGTGCAGGACATGGATGAGGTTAGAACTGATTAACCACATTGTACTTCAGTAATCCATACAGCTAATTCATAAGTTGGAGAACAAAAGTTAAGGAAACAACGAAGAACAATTATTTTTATTGCTGTTCCTTCAGGGTTCTGATGATGAAGATGAAGGTAGGAAAGCTCCGCTCCCACCTGAAAAACCTATGCCTCCTCCCTTACCTCCAACTCCAGACCAAGTTATTATTCGCAAGGATTATGACCCCAAAGGTAACCTCCTTTTTTAGCTGAAAAAAAAAGTATTATGACAAGATGCTACTTTATATACAATAAACTCATAATGTTTCCCTCTCTCACAGCTTCCAAGCCTCCACCCTCAATTGCAGTTCCTGATGAATACCTGATTTCACCAATTACTGGTGAGAAGATTCCAGCCAGCAAGATGCAGGAGCACATGCATATTGGTCTGCTTGACCCGCGCTGGCTGGAACAAAGAGATCGGAGCATCAGAGAGAGGCAGACAGAAGATGAGGTCTATGCTCCAGGTCTTGACATTGAAAGCAGCTTGAAACAGCTCGCTGAGAGGCGTACTGATATCTTTGGTGTGGAAGAGACGGCCATCGGTAAGAAGATAGGTGAAGAGGAAATTCAGAAGCCAGAGGAGAAGGTGAGAAATGTTTGCAGCTCAGTCTTTTATCTAAAAAAACAAACAAAAAACTACATTAAAGTTGGCTTTTGCACACTTAATACATTTTTGTGCTCCTCTACTTTCATCAGGTTACTTGGGACGGCCACTCCGGAAGCATGGCTCGTACACAGCAGGCTGCACAGGCTAACATCACTTTGCAGGAGCAAATTGAAGCTATTCACAAAGCCAAAGGGCTGGTGGGAGAAGATGACACTAAGGAGAAAATTGGTCCTAGCAAGCCAAGTGAAATTCACCAACCACCTCCTATACCTTCCTCTGTTGCAAGTTTGCCTAAACCAGCTCCTCCTGTTGCTGCTGTGCCACGCCCGCCAGTTTCTGTAAGTCACTAACATCCATATTCAGTTATTAAATGATGGTAGTGCATGTATACTGTATTTTCCAGAGTATAAGTCGCTCTGAAGTAGGGTTGTCACGGTGTGAAAATTTAACCTCACGGTTATTGTGACCAAAATTATCACGGTTTTTGGTTATTATCGCAGTATTTTTTTTAACGTGTTACATTTTCAAAATAAACCCTGTACATCAGGAAAATATTGTCCTCAGTTTGTGTCAAACTTTTGCCTAAAATTAGTTATTTTGTAATTATGTTGTTTATTTGTTTACATATTTCCCCTTTAGTCTTTAAAATACCAATATTTGCCCATAACTTCTTATTTTATGTCTGTTTGATGTCATCATTTTAAAAATATTAGATCAGATGATACTCAGTACTCAAGTAGCCTTCTAATCAGATACTTTTTTTTTTTACCCTTACTTGAGTAATAAACCCTATATCAGGAAAATATTGTCCTCGGTTTGTGTCCTTCCAGTGAGCTTTGCAGATGTGGGAAAATGTCATCAGGCAGTAATCATTGTTAAATTCATAATTATTCTCTCAGAGAGACCAACTCTTATCTGCCCCTGGGAGCCCCGTAATGCACAGCGTCATTTCAACATGGCGGTGTCCGCGACACGGTTTATATGCAGGTAGCGGCGCTGCGGCTGCTTTATATAGCGACTCGTTGCATTCTCCCTCAACCCAAATCCTCAGATCACGCATTTTAGCTAAAACGCTAACGTTAGCTTGCCTTGCGTTGACTGTAGAGTTGTGGGTGATGGTCACGCAGATGTGTCATGAGATTTGAAGCGTTGCTGCCTTTCACAGACACTTTTCCTGCACGTGCTGCAAGCAGGATAGCCGTCTTCTATCAACTGTCCCTCGGCGTTCTTCAAATATCCAAAAAAATGCCCGTACTTCCCACTTTGTCTTCTTTGAGGGATAATAAATGTCCTGAGCGCTGCCGTCTCCTCCTCTGGCCATTATTTCAGCTTTAGCTTCAAGAAAGTTTTGGTCATAAACAACAACTTCAGCAGATGATACGGTGGCTGGTAAGGGTCACCGCGCCTACACCGCAGCCACGGTAATCCACCGAGATAATATATTTTTTTAAAAACAAGACGGTTATTATTATTGTCAACTTTTTTACCGGGGTTTACCGCTACACCGGTTACCGTGACAACCCTACTCCGAAGTATAAGTCGCACCAGCCATAAAATGTATAATGAAGAAGAAAAAAAACATAAGTCGCATTTTGGGGGGGAAATTTTATTATTTTTCTTACAAAATCTGAGACCAAGCATTTCACACTGCAAGACAAGTACCAGTAACAATAACAGAATAAACAACCAGGGCGCAGCAGCGCTCCACGGTGTTCAGCAGAGGATGGCGGTGTTTCAAACACTCCCAGCAGGCGGGGAGAGCTCATTCCTGGTCCGGAAACGACCCGCAGCAGCGCGGTATACATAATTTGGTATATAAGTCGCTGGACCAGCCAGACTATGAAAAAAAAGTGTGACTTATAGTCCGGAAAATATGGTACATCTTATAATTATGTGGTTGTGATACAGATGGCGCCTCCAGTGCGAACCACTCTCTTGTCTGCTGTGCCTGTACTCCCGCGGCCCCCCATGGCTCCTGTGGTGCGTCTCACTCCTGGACAAGTTATAACTCAGATGCCCCCCATGATTCCTGCTCCTCGCGTCAACGTGGTGCCAATGCCTCCGACTGCACCCCACATCATGGCCCCTAGACCACCTCCCATGGTTGTTCCCACAGGTAAGGGGACAGCTTCCAAACACTGATAATCCTTCCAAATGATTATTCTTCAAGAAACAAAACCTATCTTTGTTTCTATTTAAACTGTTTCTTCTTGCAGCCTTTGTTCCTGCTCCTCCATTACCACAACCACCAAGCTCTGCTCCAGCACCACCTGCCCACCCGCCTCCACCTCATGATGATGAACCAGCAAACAAGAAGATGAAGTCTGAGGACAACCTTATTCCAGAGGAAGAATTTCTTCGTAGAAACAAGGTTTGTTGCTGCATCAGAGCATTTAATGACCAATGTTACATGATCTGCGTGTGGATCTAATTAAATGTGTGGAAATTATAATGATTTTTTGCTGGAGATGTCAATAAGTGAAAATGTCAGTGATGTTTTTGAATATGTATGTTTGTGTTTTAGAAAAACTCGACCAACTTTACCGGTAATGTTTTGGATATGTTGGTTACGTCTAAGCCCGTTTTACAAATTGACCCTTCTTGTTTCTCCTGCCGTCTCCAGGGCCCTGTGGCCGTCAAAGTACAAGTCCCCAACATGCAGGATAAGACCGAATGGAAGCTAAACGGCCAAGTGCTGAATTTCACTGTCCCACTTTCAGACCAGGTAAATGTAGGCTTTTTTCTCTCTCATTTTAGTGAGTGTATACGAGTGTCTCTCTTGCAGGGTGTCCGCGGGGTTTTAAAAAGTATTAAAAAGTGATAAATAAAAATAGTCAAATTTAAGGCCATTAAAAGTGTTAAATTTGGTCTCAGAGGTATTATTTTTTCCAAATTAGGTTTTTTTTTTTCAGACTATCAGATGCCGTATTCTGAACATCGACATAGAAATATATTCCGAATGAAATGTTTTGAACGATTATAAAAACAAAACAAGCTGATTATTTGCTCCTCCCACTTGCGCTGCCCTGAGTTGCAAATGAAGCGCTCCTCCACAGTGTTGCCAACCTGGCGACTTTGACGCTATTTCTAACAGCGTTTCAGACCCTCTTCTTGACTTTTTAAATCTTAAAAGTACCTAGCGAACACCTCAGAAACATCTCTGGTAACCCTTAGCTACTTTCTGGATAACTGTCGTCGACGTTTCCTGCAGGTTAGCTAAACACTCCGCCTGCGCTCCGGACCGTTCTTCAGGACATTATAGGAAAGGGAATGATGTAGTGATGTGTCAGTTGCTAAAGAAACGGCTCTCGGAGTTGGCTCTGTTGGAGTAACCAGAGTGAGTGACACACACTGCACCTGCGGACTCCTGAGCCGCTAAAAACAGCTAAATGTGCGCGTGAGGCGTGCTAAACACACGTGCAGCTTGCCCCTGATTGCTGTGAGACTTGGGACAATTATTACATTAACTGATGAACCTGTAAATAAATAGTTTATAAATAAGGTAGAAATAAGTTCCTCACGCTGATAAATAATAACTAATCTCTCTGAGGACACGGTGCTAGTGCACGCTCCTACAGCACCTTGACACGACTCAATAAATGTTATGCAACATTTAGTGAACATCAATTTGCATGTATTTGTTATAAATGCCACTGTATAATTCTTGCTGTCAGTATTTGCAAGATATTGGTATTTGGGTCTGCACTGGTTAGACTTAAATGAGTTAAACCAAGGTCTACAGCCCTTGGGTCATAAACTATGAGCTATAAGTATATTGGTATTTTTATACTGGGAATCAGGAGTTCTTTTAGTGATCATCTTGTTTTTTGTTTATTTTTGCCCTGATTGTGCCCTGAGCAGTTTTATGACTGAATTAAAAAAATCTACATAAATTGAAAAATCGTCTTAAATAATCGAGATCTCAATTTCAGTCACAATAATCGTGACTATTGTTTTTGCCATAATCGAGCAGCCCTACTTTAGCATATCCGGTCACATAATGATGATGTCATATTCAGTGGTCGTTGTGCATCATTTCAGGCCTCGTGGTCAACTGTCTGAACCGCTGAACATAAGTGCCTGGCTTATTTTCTAAGTAAAATAAATATGTGCAATACGTTGTCAACATCAGTGAGTCTCTAAGTCTATTCTTTTTGTATGTTATATATGTTAAAATATGTGTAAATAGGTCGCTGATTAACACTTGCAATTTAGTGTTGTGATGGTTTTAAAAAAATTCTGAAGGTAGTAAAAAAAAGTATTAAAAAGTAGTAAATTTTACTTAAGGATTGCTGTATATACCCTGTCTTGCTTTTTGAATTAAATGAAATCTCTTAACAGGTCTCTGTTATCAAAGTCAAAATCCACGAAGCTACAGGCATGCCAGCAGGAAAACAGAAGTTACAGTTTGAGGTAAGCTTGTTTTTTTTTTAACTGTTGGAATCTGTTGAATAGTTTAATTAATCCCACTTACAGATTCATAAATATATATTTATACTTGTACAGGGGATTTTCATCAAGGATTCCAACTCTCTGGCCTACTACAACATGACCAATGGTTCGATCATTCATTTGGCTCTGAAGGAGAGAGGTGGAAGAAAGAAGTGAGCAAAACCAACTCGACAAAAGAAACGCTGATGTTTTGTCACTTGCTCTTTTCTTGTCCTGTTAGTTTAATAATCATCTCCGGAATTACTTCGCCTTTTTCCAACATTTATTCGAGCTTGTCTTGTTGGTCAGTCAGTTTTGTTCAAGAAATATACAAAGGTTGCATTTGTTGGTAACTTGTTGGAAAATGTGTCCTTTATTCATTCATTTTAAATAAAGAAATTAACAAATATAAATGTTTTTTCTGGTGTAATCGCTTGCTAAAATATGGCTGAGTTCGTGCAACAATTATCAGTCCACCACAGCTGTTAGATTTGTAGAGCCTTTGGAGATGTCAACGTGGACCGTGAATAAGTGGGACAGTAAGATGTTGTAGGGCTGTCATGGTTGACACGTCTCTACAACATTGCGTGGTCATCGGGGCAGTTCCTAGGGAGTGGCAGACCGGGGTGGTGGTCCCCATCTTTAAGAAGGGTGACCTGAGGGTGTGTTCCAACTATAGGGGGATCACACTCCTCAGCCTCCCTGGAAAGGTCTACGCCAAGGTACTGGAGAGGAGGGTCCGATCGATAGTTGAATCTCAGATAGAGGAGGAGCAATGTGGTTTTCGTCCTGGCCGTGGAACTGTGGACCAGCTCTATACCCTTGCAAGGGTGATGGAGGGGGCATGGGAGTTTGCCCAACCAATCCACATGTGCTTTGTGGATTTGGAGAAGGCTTATGACCGTGTCCCCAGGGGCACCCTGTGGGGGACGCTCCAAGAGTATGGGGTGGGTGGCTTTCTGTTAAGGGCCATTCAGTCCCTTTACCAGAGGAGCGTGAGTTTGGTCCGCATAGCCGGTAGTAAGTCGGACCTGTTCCCAGTGAGGGTTGGACTCCGCCAGGGCTGCCCTTTGTCACCGGTTCTGTTCATCACTTTTATGGACAGAATTTCTAGACGCAGCCGTGGTGTGGAGTGTGTCGAGTTTGGTGGCAGGAGAATCTCGTCTCTGCTTTTTGCGGATGATGTGGTCCTCCTAGCTTCATCCAGCTCTGACCTTCAGCTCTTGCTGGGTAGGTTCGCGGCCGAATGTGAAGCGGCTGGGATGAGGATCAGCACCTCCAAATCTGAGACCATGGTTCTCGACCGGAAAAGGGTGGCTTGCCACCTCCGGGTCGGGGGAGAGGTCCTACCTCAAGTGGAGGAGTTTAAGTATCTCGGGGTCTTGTTCACGAGTGAGGGTAGGAGGGATCGGGAGATTGACAGGCGGATTGGTTCGGCGTCTGCAGTGATGCGGACGCTGAGCCGATCTGTCGTGGGGAGGAGGGAGCTGAGCCAGAAAGCCAGGCTCTCGATTTGCCGGTCGATCTACGTCCCAATCCTCACCTATGGTCATGAGCTTTGGGTAATGACCGAAAGAACGAGATCGCGGATACAAGCGGCCGAAATGAGTTTCCTCCGTAGGGTGGCCGGGCTCAGCCTTAGAGATAGGGTGAGGAGCTCGGACATTCGGGAGGGACTCGGAGTAGAACCGCTGCTCCTCCGGATCGAAAGGAGCCAGTTGAGGTGGTTTGGGCATCTGGTCAGGATGCCTCCTGGACGCCTCCCCGGGGAGGTGTTTCGGGCATGTCCTGCCGGCAGAAGGCCCCCGGGTCGACCCAGGACACGTTGGAGAAGTTACATCTCCAATCTGGTCCGGGAACGCCTTGGGGTCCTGCCGGAGGAGCTGGTGGACAAGGCCGGGGAGAGGACGGCCTGGAGCTCCCTAGTTGGGATGCTGCCCCCGCGACCCGGACCCGGATAAGCGGAGGAAGACGACGACGACGACGTAAGAAAGTCTATGGGGTCAACAAAATATCCACAAAAACACCTAAACCAGTTTATTCTAAGAAACAACTCACAATTTTAGATATAAAAGGAAAACACACACACGGGAATAACTGAATAAATAAGACATTATTAAAAATAAATTACTGTACAGGACTGGTTTCACCCATCACATGGGAGAGGTGTCCTAATTTCAAGAAGAGCCAAAACTCAAGGTAAAGGTCCTTGTGGGCCATGAAACTTTTTACGTAAAACTCATTTAATTGAATGGTAAAAAAAAAAAATACACCTAAAATAGGTATATTATTTAATAATAATATACCTAATAATAATGCATTGAACTTGTATAGCACGTAGTAGGACACTCAAAGAAGCTTTCACACACAGCTAGTGATGGTAAGCTACTTTGTAGCCACAGCTGCCCTGGGGCGGTCTGACAGAGGCGAGGCTGCCATTTGGCGCCGTCGACCCCTCACTAACATAGGCAATTTGGGTGAAGTGTCTTGCCCAAGGGCACAACAGCAGAATAGCCCAGGCAGGAGCTGGAATCGAATCCATGATAATGGGGCAACTCGCACAACCACCTGAGCTACTGCTGCCCCCCTTGTGATGGGCAAGTTACTTTGAAAAAGTAATCAAATAGTTATTACCTATTCAAAAAAGTAACTGAGTTAAAATATCATTAAAGTAACTAACATTACTTAAAATATCCAGACATTTTGGACATCTTCAACACAACCTTGCTGTTGGATTATATAGTAAAGCATCATCGGTGCATCAGTAACGAAAAGAGTGATATATATATACCGGTATATGTTCAAATGGATAAATATTTAGGCAACCGCTAGGGGTAACCATAACATTAACTTGGTGAAACACCACGGCAGACAGACAGAGGGTAAACTGGGCAGTCCAGCTTGCGCGGTTGACGTTTTTTGGAATTCTAGGGTGACCAAGGAAGGTCCCGCCTTTCTCGCCTCTGATTGGCTAGATGGGCTCTACTACGATTGGCTGAAAATTCGCGAGGGCGGTAGACAACAGCGGCCTTCGCTTGCCTGAAAGCTAAGTAAGCAAAGCAACTGATAATAATAATAATAATAATAATACATTTTATTTAAAAGCGCCTTTCAGGACACCCAAGGTCACTTTACACAAAACACGTAATAAAATACAATAAAACAATAATAAAACCCAAAGAAGAAAAAACAAAGAGAGAAACAGTTCAATAAAATCAGAGGTTGTAGGCAGATTTAAATATATGTGTTTTGAGTTTTGTTTTGAAAAGGGTAAAACTGTCGACGTTCCTGATGTCTGGGGGAAGTGAGTTCCAGAGTCGAGGAGCAGAGCGGCTGAAAGCTCTGCTCCCCATGGTAGCGAGACGGGCAGAAGGAACCGCAAGATGGATGGAAGAAGAAGATCTGAGTGAACGGGACGGGGTGTGAATACTTATAAGGTCTGAGATATATGGAGGAGAGAGGTTGTGGATTGCTTTGAAGGTATGAAGGAGAATTTTGAAGATGGACCTGAATTTAACTGGGAGCCAGTGAAGCTGCTGGAGAACCGGCGTGATGTGGTGAAAGGAAGGGGTTCTGGTGATAATACGGGCTGCTGAATTCTGGACCAGTTGCAGTTTATGAAGGAGTTTGTTGGGGAGACCATAAAGAAGTGAATTGCAATAGTCGATACGGGAGGTGACGAGGCTGTGGACGAGAATGGCGGCAGTGTGAGGGGTCAGTGAGGGATGGAGACGGTTTATGGAACGTAGATGGAAGTATGCTGACCGAATTAAGTTATTAATGTGAGCCTGAAAAGAAAGCGAGCTGTCGAGAATGACACCCAGACTCTTGACGTGAGGTGAGGGGGAGACTATGGCGCTGTCAATAGTTAAAGAAAAGCTGTCAGATGTTGAGAAGGTGGAGTTAGTGCCAACTAGAAGAATTTCAGTTTTATTGCCGTTGAGTTTGAGGAAATTAGAGGTGAACCATGATTTGATTTCAGAGAGGCAGAGTGTAAGGGAGGATGGTGGGAGAGTTGAGTTGGGCTTACTGGAAATGTAGAGCTGGGTGTCATCTGCAAATCAGTGAAACTGGATATTGAATTTGCGGAAGATTTTGCCGATAGGGAGGAGATATACTATGAAGAGGAGGGGCCCCAGGACAGAGCCCTGGGGCACACCTGACTTGACTGGGGATGGTTCTGAGGAAAAGGATTTTAACTGGATGAACTGAGTGCGGCCAGTAAGGTAAGATTGAAACCAGCGGAGGGGGGTGTGAGTGATGCCTATGGAAGAGAGTCTATTAAGGAGGATGGGATGAGAAATGGTGTCAAAGGCCGCACTCAGATCGAGGAGAATAAGAATAGAGATTAAACCAGAATCAGCAGCAATGAGTAGGTCGTTAGTGATCTTGATGAGAGCTGTTTCTGTGCTGTGGTGGGGACGGAAGCCAGACTGAAACTGTTCATAAAGGTTATTGCGGGTGAGATGTGAATGGAGCTGAGATGCAACAGTTTTCTCAAGGACTTTGGAAATGAAAGGAAGATGGGAAATGGGACAGAGGTTATTGAAATCATTGGGATCTAAACCAGGTTTTTTTTAGAATAGGGCTGACTGAAGCGGATTTCCATAGGGATGGGACTGATATGTATATCCGAGCAGGGGTAAATACGTCTTTGTGAGAAAGCTAACATTAGCTTTTCAAAAGCCACATTCAAAATAATAGGCATGCCCTCAAATGTTCATATAATCTGTTGTTTGCTGATGACATAGCTGCCAGTTCAATATACTTATTCACACACACACGTGTTCAGTACTTGTTCAATAAAATCTGTGATGTAATCAGTGTGGTGTATTTTCATGATCATGCCTTTTGATAACAATTTGGAAGTACTGTCATAGGCTGAGGCTGTTAAGCAAGCAGGATGAAAGTGAGGACACATATTTCATGTGTTTAAATCTGTATCTTTAATTGAAATTAATTCAAAGCTGATTATGATTTTGACCTATTTTTCAGCAGTTTTCATTATTCTAGAAGAGAAACAGACCTGCTGCTCACAGCTGAGTAAAATAGTGCAGTTTTATTATATTTCATACCCAGATAAGGCACACACGTTTATCCTATGCACTCTGCTGTAATAAGATAACCTACATGCTTTAGAGCCATAGACATAAAGTAAGTCCCACAGTGTGATAAATGCAACAAGATTTATAACTTATTACGTTTTTCAGCTTTAAATCAATGAAACAAAAAACTTTTGCAAAACAGGACAGCATGGTGCTAAGTTCTTATTTTCTAAATAATAATTTTAAAAAAATCCCTAAAACAGCTGTTCTGTTGGTGGCAAGAGTCTGCACGAGGTCTGCACTTAGCAAGGGAAGACGGTTTGCTGCTAAATAAAATAGCCAATCGTAGTAGAGCCCATCTAGCCAATCAGAGGCGAGAACGGCGGGACCTTCCTTGGTCACCCTAGAATTCCAAAAGACGCGCACGGTGGGGATGACAAGTCAGCGCTCTAAACCACTATTAGCTTACTTCGTTTTAAGTTAGCTAACTTGCTGCATCAGCAACGTGCTGTGGTAGGGCAACTTTAATAATAGTTTTGGACGGTGTTGTTGGTACGAAGAGTTTAGGCTAACTTATCGTTAGCAACCCACCATTAGCTAGCAAATGATCTCTTTCGTTCAAGTTGCCCGCGAAAGCTAACCTGTTTTTGATGTGGCCAGAAAAGAGAGGCGTTAAAATATTTGCGGGCAGAACAGATACTTGGGGTACATTTTTTAATTCACACCTGGAAATAAATGGCGTCGATGCAGCTTGACTGACTACCTGGTCTGCTGACGTTAGCTATCCTGGCTAGCCAGATAGCTCTCCTGCTACCGTCATGGCCAAAATAGAAAACGGACGCCAATTATCGGACACAAGAAGCATCAGGACCATCGGCAGCAGTAACATCGACGATGAAAGCTCTTTTGGATCCGATTCGGAGATTAACGGCTTCACCAGCGACAGGCAGACCGATAAATATGGTTTTATTGGAGGGGTACAGCGGTACACGGAGGAGTCGTAAGTTTTGTTTGTGTTCTGACTGTGATTCATTCTTTGTGAATGCTGTTTTGCAGACTGCTTACTAGAACAGGTAATAATCCATCTAAGTGAAGTTAGACAGCAGGGTAATGCTGTATCAATGAATCTATTAAAATATGGCCTGTCACGATTCAGGATGGTGATGTTTAGTGAACTCCTCTGCACTAGTTTTCCAGCCAGCTGCGTGGCACCGCGTCTGTTTTCATTTTAAAGTCACACATCCTCCCATCATGGCTTGATGAGTTCGAAGACAAAAGAAGTGCAGATAAATGCATTCGTGAAACTCAACATTACTGACTTTTAAAATGAATCTAGAGCCTTTTCAGTCAGGCTATAGCAGTTTCCCTTATATAGCACTTTTTTCTCCCCCTTTTTCCTGCAGGCCTGAGTCCCACATGACAGTCCTAAAAAATAGAGGAAGACATGAGTGAAAGTCGTGCCAGTCACTAGTTGAAGTTTTGGCAGACTTTAGGCCACAGCTCTGTACTACTGGGCCCCTTTTGGCTCAGTTTTTAGATACCCAGGGTTGCCCAGGGTTTAACATGCATTTGCCCAGCAATCAAAGTAATGTGTGATTGTTTGATGTTCAAAATCCAAAGCAGGACTATAATATTCTGCATTCATGAACCACATCTAGCCTGCAGTTTTAGCAGACAGAAATACAAACAAAGGCTTCTCTTTGATGACATTTAAACTGCAATTACAGGCTTGTACCGATGAGATAATTACATACCTCAGTAGAGTATCAGACATCAAGTATATCATAGGTTTTACTTGCCTGCTTCCTCTTGTTCTTTTTGAAGAAAAATGTGATTTTTTTCTTTGCATGAAAATACTTTTACTGATTCTTTGCATGCAATTGTAATTATAATTATTAATTTGAGATTTCTAGAAGTATTTTTGTCTTATTGCACAAAAGAGCATTGCCATAGAGAAACATGTCAAAACATGCACATCCAAGTATTTGTTGCTCAGTTTTAATTAGCAAAAAAGTGCCTTAACTTACAATACACTGACTTATATTTTATGTGCATTTTTCCACTGTGACTAGAGCTCTGGATGTACCTCCAGAGGTGCTCAGGCAGAGAGAGGTGAAGTGGCTGGACATGCTGAGCCATTGGGACAAGTGGATGATCAAGAGATTTAATAAGGTAAGCACCAAATGTGACCAATGCAAACTTCTAGAGAGAGTGCTTCCATGTCTAACGTAGTTTGTTTGTTGATATGTCAAAACATTTCTTCAAAGACATGATTGTGCAAGGAGAAGAGACTCTGTGAACACTGTTTGTAGATCCACTTGTTCAGCAAGTTTCTCTGTGACACGTTCTGAGCGATTTCGCTCACAGCTGTAATTTACCTCATTTCCATGATTCAGCAGCAAGCCAGGACAAACCCTGTTTATCACCCACGTACCATGTGACAAATGAGCAGTTTCAGATTCAGGGTGGGGCAGGACTGACTTTTCTGAGACAACTGCGCAATAAAGGTGTTGCAAGTAGAAAGGTTCACCTATGTAAAAGACAGCCTAGCATTAAATAGAAGAAAATGTAAAAGGTCAGGGTTTCTGGATGTTTACTTGATTACAACATTTCTTATTATTAACAGAAGTAACTTCATTTGAGACAAGTGTGGACATTTAATATCAGGAAATGATATTAATGCAGCTAATCTGCTGCATGAACTGGTTTATGATTGTAACATATTGGAGTTGTTTTACTGAAAGGTTATAACATGAGATATGCTGAAGGTTTAGTACTAGTTTGGCTTATGAAAGTGCCCATTTTCATCTTCTGGAGTCAAAACCAATTACAGATCTGTCCCTGTGTGTATATTTTGTGCGATAGGGCTGTATCATTTAGGACTCCTTGTCCTAAATGGTTTTCTTTCAGTCTACTTTGGTGTTTATGTAACTGAACCTTAACCGTGACTCCTGCAGGGTAAAATTCTTGACTTTTGTAAAAAGACACATCCTATAACATTCATGAGGTGGAGCGAAACCAAACATATCTGCATGACATGTTTGCAATCAGTCTGAACTGCTAGTAACACAAAATGATGTTTGTTTGTTTACTTATTTATTTATGAAGTTGTGGCCACATAAACTCAGTTTGATCATTATTTTCTGCTGGTCTTTTTAGTTTTTGCAGTCCACCATCCCCCTTTAGTTACTGTGTTTGAAAAAGCAGCGTCTGATTGCTTCTTTGGCTCAGGTGAGACTGCGGTGCCAGAAGGGGATCCCTCCTGCTCTCAGAGGCCGTGCATGGCTCTACCTCTCAGGGGGGAAGGTGAAGAAGGAGCAGAACCATGAAAAGTTTCAGGTCAGGCAGCTTCCTCTTTCACTTCCTTCTTCCAACTCTCTTGTATCCATTTGTTAGGCTCATTTCATCTTTAAATGTACTTTGAAATAGTTACTGAAACTTTGCACCAATGTTTTTCCTTTAATGAAAAAAATAATACTTGTGCTGAGTAAATTTAGAGCAGTTTCACTTCTGATCAAGCAGTTCACAGGTATTTACTTTTTAGCTTGATTAGCTCAATTAGCATGCAGTAAATGGATCAATTAGCATGCAGTAAATGGATCTCCTCATTTGTCCTCCGTGTCTTCCCGGTAGGAGTTGGACAGCCAGCCGGGGGACCCCAAATGGATTGATGTGATTGAGAAAGACCTCCATCGACAGTTTCCTTTCCATGAAATGTTTGTGTCACGAGGAGGACATGGGTGAGTAGTCCGTTTTGTGATCCAACATAAAACACAGAGCTTTACATGCATTTCGTTTGGTTTTGATGTTTTTCTTTTTTTTGTTGGCCTCATACAGACAACAGGACTTGTTTCGTGTTCTTAAGGCCTACACGCTCTATAAACCAGAGGAGGGGTACTGCCAGGCTCAGGCTCCAATTGCAGCCGTTTTGCTCATGCACATGCCTGCTGAGGTACCTTTACTGTTTCCTCTTCGCCACAAACCCAAATGTCTGTCGCCTTGTCACATTGGTGAATTCACTTTTAAACATTAGTTCAGATGTTTTGCGGAAAGAAAGAAATGTAGTTCTTATTATTTTTGGGCTTACTTTTCATTTCTGACCTTGAATACATTTTGTTGATTATGAACAGCGCAGAAACAAACTGTGGTGTTACATGCAGAGGAACCTCTGTTGTTGTTTAAATTCTTGATAAAAGTCCAAATGCAGAATTGATGTGCTTTTAAAACTGATAACGCCACATTTTACCAGCTTGTTGTGAAGCTTTAATATAATCTATGATGAACTTTGCACCTTTTTTCTTCACAAGGGTGACTTTTCTTTTTTCTTGAGGTTTACAGTTAATTATTGATGCATTGTTTTCTTTAGGCCCCACCTCTGAATTTTAAATGGAAATCTGGGCGGTTCCAATAGCGTAGTTTTTGTTACGATTTTATATTCTTCATTCTTTGCGGTACAGGAAATCACTGTCTTGTTGCACAACAGCTAACTAGTCGGGCTTCAGGTGATCTTAAATTTGGCTGTAAAATAATTCTTTATTCCAGGGATTCCGCTAGGGGGTGCGCAAGGTGAAAAGTGTAATGGCTGCGGAGCTCAGAGAAGTCTGTCATATGTCTCCATTAGCGTAGAAACTCATTTGTGGGTGGGCCAAAGAAAAAGTAAGTGGGCACAATAAATGTAATTGAAAACAAGTATATTTTTGCGCGCGCGCGTGTCCTCCACATGTGCCCTAACTTCATAATAACAATGCGCCGAGCTTCAGCGCTCTGGCCTGCGCACGCTGATATGTTCCGTATTTGATCATTTTTAACGGTGTTGGAGGAATCTGAAGGTGGCGAGTCATTCTGGCAAATTGTAATTAACACCCTGTCTCATGCAGGTGTTCTGACACTGTAAACCTCACACACAGAACATTGTGGATGTAACAAAATAACAATCAGGCTATTGACAGCGCGCTGAAGATCTGAAGTTCAGAGTGCGTCTGTCAGAGGTCAGACGCGTTCCGGCTGAACACGGCTCACGGGTGCACAAGTGAGCACATCTGGGCTGGGCAGAAGTCATTTTACAACATTGGTTTAAATAGCGCGAGACGCGGTGACTTGAGCGGCTGTGCCGCGCGCGCGTGCGCGCGCACACACACACAGATTTAATAAGCGCACACGCTGCTTTAACTCCGGCGCGCCGTCAGACTGAAGGCAGAAATGAACGCTGCCTCCACCGTGATAAAAACTTTTAAGAGGTTATTTTTCATTCAAGGTCAAATTAAGATATTAGCTTCTGGGATGAGTCGGGTCCGCTACAGCCAGTGACTCCTCATGAACCTGACCACATCTCATGTTACTGCAGCATTTGTCATTCCAGTCCGCATGACAGCGGATCACAGATTCAGCCTCACCATAAAACAGCAATAAGTCGGTCTGAGGTAAAAGTGAACATCATGGCTATATCTTGTCCCCTATTGACATTTGATTACGCACAAGTAGGTGATCAGTTCAGGTTTACGCAGAGCAGAAGGAAGGAGAGCGCTCTGGCCGCACAGGTTAAACGTTCCTACTTTAAGAAAACCGTTAAATTGCATTGTTCATGTGCTACCTGGGCACTCTAAATATTTATTTAAAATGAAATCAAAGGAAATTGTAATGGTATCGAATGTTTATTAATTACTATTTAAAAAACGAAAGTGATGGTGAACTTTTTTAACCCTGTCTGTTTAGCTTGACATCTGATATATATATATATATATATATACATATATATATATATATATATATATATATATATATATATATATATATATGTATATATGTGTATATATATATGTATATATGTATATAGAGCCATGCCCCGATGTGGTGGGGGGGGGGTGGGGGGTGCGTCGACATGGTCGGGACATAGAAGGGGGTGCACGGCTAAATAAGTTTGGGAACCACTGCTTTATTCAAACCATTTAAAGGTGAAATATGCAGGAATGAAGTAAAAATGACATCTGGTCAAAGTTGGTTACTGCAATCACTCTCTGACTCCTGTTCTGCGAGTTTCATGGCTGTTGCCAGTTACAAATCAGCACCAGAAGATTCTAGATGGTTAGCAAAGACGAGTTATACACAATGAGTTGATGAGGAGATAAAAACATTGTCATATCTGGTGCTAGAGCTCTTGAGTGTTTTACAGAAGAGAGCACTTGCTACACTTATTACGGTAATATGCCTCAGACATTGAGGAAATGTTGTTTATCAACTTGCTGTTATTTCTCTGAATGACTCATTTAGGGAAGTAAAACACCACGTTTGACCCATTATTCTTCCCGCACATAATTTCGCTGTAATATTGAGTTGTTGCTAATTGAAAAAGTAGCTTGAGATATTTTTAGAGCCAAGTCTTTGCTTCTAATAGGGCTTTCACATCTGAGTCGGCCTGACCCAGCTCTGGTAGGTTAATTGTGTTCACATCTGGGTAATATGTACATTTTTTGTGCTCAGCTGACCCTTTTTTTTGGACCTGCTCCCCACAAGTCGGCTTCATGCGAAGCTGACAACACACCCACTACCAACTTATTGGCCAGCTGAAGTTCATGCCTACCTATAGAGAGAGCCTCTGATTGGCGGGTAGCATCATCCAGCAACGGTTTCCCACATGCACGATTCATTTTCAGTATGGATGCAGTGGAGTAACGCTCTTCTCTGACTGCTGTGAAGTGCACACAGCAGCCTCAGTGAGACAGTAGGAAGCTGTGTGCTTCATTCATATCAGTGTCCAAAAGCAACACTGTTCACGGCTGTTTCGTTCAATAATTTAAGGAGGACAGCACAAACTTATTTGCACATCTATTGCCATGTCACAAGCTCTGAGACATCTGTATTCTTGTTTCAACATACCTGGCCACATGGGGCGGGCCAACGCTACCTAGATCGGACTGGGCCAGGCCATATGCGAAAATGCCATAAATCACAGTTAGCATTGTTAGCTCAACATTAGCCTCTAACCTTCTAGGGTAAAACAAAAATATGTCGTGAATTCTTAGGGGTATAAGAAATAACTATTGGGTCACTCTTGTTACTGGCTTTGGTTATTTAAACATCTCTGGAGCTTTTTGCCGGCCATAGTCGAATTCCAATTGCTGGAGCTGCATTGTTAGCCCAGAGGTGACACGCAACCTCACACTCTGGTGGTTAACTCAATTTTTTATTTTGAAAGGAGAAAAATTGACAACACCCCCACTTGGCTGAGAATGAAATATGTTTCCACATAACCTTCCTCCCAACATGACTGAGACGTTACTGTTTTGGGATTATTTCACTGTAGAAATCGTATTTTATTCTCACATATTGCACCTTTACAGGGTATCTGCAGGTCCTTAAAAAGTCTTAAAACGTCTTAAATTTGCTTCTCCAAATTTAAGGCCTTAATAATCCTTAAAAATGACAAATAATCCTTAAATAGTTTCCAAAGGTCTTAAATTACCAAAGACCCATTAAACAAGATTCTTTTATTTCTATTAAATTTTCGTGAATTTCTACTTCAGCATTTTTTTGTGTATGATATTGGCGTAAGCGGAACCATACACATTTGGTTGGTTGTGAAAGGGGGCTATTTTTAGATGAGCATGCTAGTGGGAGCTTGCGCCATGGGGAAGTGCAAGTTTAATGGTAACTGGATGGCTAATCCCACGTTCACGACGTGGTTAGCACCGGTTCCGGGCAATAGCTGGAAATTATAGCTTAAATTAAAAAAAAAATTGCTTAAATTTGGTCAAAGTGGCCTTAAAAAAGGTCTTAAAAAGTCTTAAATTTGGCTCCCTTAAACCTGCAGATACCCTGCTTTAATTATTGCTTGTCGGGTGGCTGGGATCGGCCTTAGAGGTAGGGTAAAGAGCTCTGACATTTTTGAGAGACTCAGAGGGAAGCCAGCTGAGGTGGTTTTGGGCATTTGGTTAGACTGTCCACTGGATGCCTCTCAGAGCAGATGTTTCAGGTATGTCTTGCCAACAGGTGCCCCCTGGGTCAATCCAGGACACGTTGGAGGGATTATATCCCCACATTGGCCAGGGAACACTGGGGGATACTGCTGGTGGAGGTTGCTAGGAAAAGGACAGTGGGTTTGCTACCCCTGCTGTTCGGAATCACATTAGCAGGTGGAAAGGGACGGATGTTCATTTTTGTTGTTTCCACATGTACAAGGTATGCAGGAAGAACAAACCCAAACCATCGGCCCTCCACCACCGTGCTAACAGTCACTATCATGTGTTTGTGTTGATATTTTGTGGTTTGTTTTCACTAAACTTTGTCTTTTGTTACTTTTGTCTTGACTTACTAAAGGGCATTTTTCCACAACTTGATTGGTAAAATTTGTTAGATAACATTAAAGGGGCTTGCAGTCTGTCAGACTAAATGGGTCACCAGTTAAAGTGAGGGTCAATGCATGGGTGGAGACGTATTTCATCCACACTTCCTGTTAGGAAAACCCTTCTGAAAGAGGTGTCGCCTGGCAGACTAAGAGAGCGGCACTGAGGCAGTGGCAGACTGCACCCCCCTCAACCCCCCCATGTGTGCTGTCAGAGTTTATAAGTCTAAAAACGAGTTAGTTGTTAACGAGCGCGTGCGCACTCGCACATGCACGAAAGCACGCACGCACACAAGACTTGCCGCTCAGTAGAAAAGCAGACACAGATTCTGCAGCATTCTGGAGGAGTTTCTGTTAACCACGATCATTAGATGAAAAGTGGAGGAAGGCTTTTTTTCAAAAAGGCGAGCAGCTCAGAGCGCTAATGTCTCATATCGGCAGGTGAGTAGCCAGCCAGGTGGTGGTGCAGCTGCCTCACATGGAGACCAGTGCAGTGCAGCCACGTAGTAATTTGCTGACAAAGTCACGTTTTTCAGCTTGGCCATCAGCCACAGCTGGTTCTACATACATGTGGAGCAGATTTTTTAACCTTAAGATGAAGATATAATTATGGTTTTGGGCTGAAATATTAAATTTAAAGTAAGTTGCACTAAACACTAATGATTACACACGTGTACAGCACCATTAGACTCTCATCTATACAGGTTATCAGCAAAGAAAAGTTAATTTAGGCGTTACTTGCTCTTTAAGTCCAAAGCCTTTTTGTGTTTTTGTTAAATGTTCAGGTTTATATGAATTTACAAATGTAAATAAACTGTAGTTATAGTTTATAGTGTAGTCCTACACATACAAATGCTCTATCTGCTTAAACAGAATTTGTTGGGACCACAATTGGTTTTAACAACATCCTCATTTCTTTGGAAACTTTTTTTCCACCATACACACTGCTTCTGCATTTTGACTCTGGTCATGTTAAAGAATAACTCGGCGTAATGCTGAAACAGTGCACACACAACAGTTTAAAGCGTTTTCCTGACGTGACATTACACCACATGTCAGAATCTTTGTTTACTATATTTAAAATAAAATGGAGACTCTTTGTTGACAATTTAGGCACTGATGACTTTACAGTAGAATCCATTGGTATTTTATGGTCAAATTCAGCTTGTTTATTGGTTTCTTTAGGATGCTTTCTGGGGTCTGGTTCAAGTCTGTGAGAAGTATCTTCCTGGTTACTACAGTCCTGGCCTGGTGAGACTCACACACACCCACATCCATGCACACGGCATTTTCATGACTTATTTTCCTTGCAAAGGCCTGGTTCACACATCAAGATGATTATGCCCATTTTTTACCTGATTTTTTTTCCTCCCGACAATCTTAAGAATGCGCACGATAATTTTTTTCAGCTATGAGACCATCGCAGAAAGCACAACTGCTGGTGTGAACACGACCGTCGGAACATTGAGCATCATTTCAATCAATCACTCAATAAATCAATCAATTTTATTTGTAGAGCACCTTCCGCAACGTTATCAGAAGCCCAAGGTGCTTAACAGCATCATAAAAACATTCCCAGTACCTGGGCAAGATAAAAACATAAAATAACAAGCAAGCAATATTACAAATACAGAAAGGTAACGGATTGAGACTAATCAATTAAAAACAAATGGTGGACAAAATAAGATCAAACATCTTGATCAAAAAGAAAAAGTATTAAAACCATAATGTCGGGGCAATTCAATGAACCCTATCGCTGAAAAGCAATCAAAGAGAAATGAGTCTTTAGACGAGACTTAAAGACTTGAAGGGAGGGAGGGCGCCTGCCTAATGGTCAATGGCAATTCATTCCACAGAGTTGGAGCCAAAACAGAAAATGCACGATAACCCCTCGATCGATATTTCGACTGGGGGACCACCAGAATTTCCTGCTCAGCTGAGCGAAGAGACCGAGATGGAGCATACTTGTGCAAAAGTGCAGTAATGTAAGAGGGGGCACTGCCCTGGAGGGCTTTATAAACAAGAGTTAGGATCTTAACCCTTTGATGCATGAATTATGAAATCTTCAACCATGATTTTTTAAACAACTTTTTTCATTCATCTTTAGGTGTGAATGAAACAAATTTCAACAAATATTTTTGTAACATTTTGTTAATTTACAAATAATTTATTACATGTCCATCTCAGTGGACAGCATGCATTCTGAGCATGAAATATGTCTGCTTGACTTGCTGAAGTCCAAATGGAGGGGCTCACATACAATAAAGTCTTCAACAGCTGTGCTTAATAGCAAAAATAAATAAATAACAATTTTGAGTACCTGTCCACTGTAGTGAGCATTATGCATCAAAGGGTTAAATTTAGCTCAATATTGCAGCGGGAGCCAGTGCAGAGCAGTCAGCACTGGAGTAATGTGACCTCGGCATTGGAGTAATGTGATCTCGTTATCTAGTACCTGTCAGGAACCTAGCCACTGAGTTCGGTACAAATTGGAGCTATGCAACCGTGCACTGGCCCAGACCGGCATACAGAGCATTACAGTAGTCCAGACGAGACAGGACGAAAGCATGCAACACAGACTCCAGATGAGCTCTGGACAGCAGAGGCCTGATCCTGGATAGTTGTTTCAGATTAAAAAAACAGGACCTCACCACCGTATTTACGTGAGTGTCAAGATTAAGTGAGGAGTCAATTTTTATCCCCAAATTATATTTTCTTTTCATAGGGGGTCAATGGGCCAAGGTCAATATCAGCACCTGAGCCATTTCTTCTGCCAGGACTAAGTATTATGACTTCTGTTTTGCTCTCATTTAGGTGCAAAAAGTTAGAGGCCATCCAACATTTTATGTCCTTCAAACTGTCCAGTAAAGGAGAAACAGATCTATCCTCCCCACGTTGAAGGGGGAGATAGATCTGGCAGTCATCAGCAAAAAAATGAAATTTCGCATTATGCCGACGAAGGAGGACTCCAAGAGGAAGCAAATGGGAGAGGACCAAGGACAGAGCCCTGTGGCACACCCCAATGAAGTCTCACGCAGGGTGACGTCACCTCACCTGCATGAACACTAAATGTCCTGTCATGAAGGTAGGAGCGAAGCCATTGGAGGGCCTGCCCAGTTATCCCCACCCAATGCTGTAGTCGGTCCGAAAGGACTTTGTGGTCGACTGTATCAAAAGCTGCAGATAAGTCCAACAATAGTAGGACAACATCGTTATCCATGTCACAGGCTAAAAATGTGTCATTAAACACCATTAACAGAGCAGATTCATTTGGGTCAAATGTGATGCTGCAGGTGGAGGTGATCTGGTGGCTGTAAAGCATCACTCACTCTTAGTACACTCTCATTAGTGCTAATTCATGAATTAAATGTACTTTAAGGTAACTTGAAATACATAAGTTTTTCTTCAAAATACATATATATTTGTGGATTGTTATGGGTGCTTTTAGATGGCATTAAAGTGTATTTAAAGAACACTAAAAACAGCAGTAGCTCAGGAGGTAGAGTGGGTTGTCTAGTAATCGGAAGGTTGCAGGTTTGATCCCGGTTCTGACCAGAGAATGCTGTTGTTGTGTCCTTGGGCAAGACACTTGACCTGCCTTGCCTGCTGGTGGTGGTCGAAGGGACAGGTGGCCCCAGTGCTCGGCAGCCTCACCTCTGTCAGTGTGCCCCAGGGCAGCTGTGGCTACACAAGCTCATCATTACCAACGTGTGGATGGGTGAATGACTGATTGTGTTGTGAAGCGCCTTAGGGGGTGTTAGAACCCTTAGAAGGCGATATACAAATACATCCATCCATTTTCATCCGCTTATCCGGAGTCGGGTCGCGGGGGCAGTAGCCTAAGGTGAGAGGCCCAGACATCCCTCTCCCCAGCCACTTGGGCCAGCTCCTCCGGGGGAATCCCAAGGCGTTCCCTGGCCAGGTGAGAGACATAGTCCCTCCACCGTGTCCTGGGTCTACCTTTAGGTCTCCTCCTGGTTGGACGTGCCCGGAAAACCTCACCAGGGAGGCGTCCAGGAGGCATCCTGACCAGATGCCCGAGCCACCTCAACTGGCTCCTCTCGATGTGGAGGAGCAGCGGGTCTACTCCAAGCCCCTCCCGAAGGACTAAGCTTCTCACCCTATCTCTAAGGGAGAGCCCAGCCACTCTTCGGAGAAAACTTATTTCGGCCGCTTGTATCTGCGATATATACACATACAGACCATTTAAAAAGCATTAAATCAGATGAGCTGATTCCTGCAGAAACCCTGATGTGACAGAAGCATGACCATTGTCCACCAAGTTTGTTTACTCTGAAAGCACGTTTGATCTTGAAAGGTGTCGCTAGATCTCACATCTGACCAGGGGATGTTGGTGAGTGAAACTGGTTTACTGCGCACACAGTAAGGTGTTGTGTTTTGCAAGTCATCCTACCGTGTGAACCGGGCCTAACTAATCTTTGTGACAGTGGTTGAAGAGGAGGAAAGCTTTAGGGTTTTAGCTTCTTTAATACTCTTCTACTCGTGTCTGTTTCAGGAAGCCATTCAGTTGGATGGAGAGATTCTGTTTGCTCTGCTGCGACGCGTCTCCCCAGTAGCCTTCCGGCATTTGGAGAAACATAAGATCGACCCCATCCTCTACATGACTGAATGGTTTATGTGTGCCTTCTCCAGGACCCTGCCCTGGGCCTCTGTGCTGCGTGTCTGGGACATGTTCCTCTGCGATGGTAATGTTACCAGTGCTGCCTTAGCTCTTTGTCAGGTTTATTACAGAAAAGCAAAACATTTAAGTACTTTGAGACTAACTAATCCTTTCCCCTTCTTCAGGAGTTAAAATCATCTTTCGAGTGGGGCTGGTGTTGCTGAAGTACACACTGGGAACCCGTGAGAAGCTGAAGAACTGCCAGGGCCTTTATGAGACTATGGAGCTTCTCCGAGCCATAGATCCTCGCTACATGCAGGAGGGCTTCCTCGTCCGAGAGGTAAGAGAGCAACGAGCAGGTGGAGCCAGAATTCAGTTTTCAACATTCTGGAGAAATTTCTTCAGCTTTTGACCTCAACTTAAGGTCTTCAGCTGTTGTTGTTGTAGTGTTAATATTGTTAATAATAATGTATTGTTTATTTTCTTTAGTTTTTTTCTGTACTATAAATTAAATAATTATGTTGCTCTCCATCACATCCTATTATGTACTTCCTGATGGATTTATTGGTCATGCATTTTATGTAACTGGTTAAATCAGAATAATCCTGCAGTAATTGAAGGCTGTGTTTGTTCGTTGTGGCTGTGGATCTTTAGAGAAGAACAAGTGTTCATCGCTGTAGCCGAGAGACGAGCTGAGAGCCTGAGAGTGAATTAAAGTGTCTGACTGAGCAGAGGCGTGGCTGTAGTGTCCGCTCCTGTACAGTGATATGTGAGAGTCTCTGTGTCCTTCAACAATAGCCTCTCTTATGTCCTGTCTGTGTGTGGCTGAGTCTGCAACAGATCACCACTCTTTGGCATTTACGCACAAAGTTCACATTTTTTGCCCAAATGGGCTCGACACTGAAGAAACTTATTTCCCAGAAAGATCTGGCCTTGTTGCTCTTCTGCGCCTCTTGATTGTAGCTTGTGAGAGGCCAGCTGTGACCTGATGATGTGTCTTTTTCCAGCTTTTTGAAGTCCCAGTGACAGCCCGAGACATTGAGAGAGAGCATCACAGCCAGCTCAAACGCTGGAAGAAGAACCGTGGAGAGCTGAATTTCAGACCATCTCCAAGGATGCACGGAGCTCGCCCCATCATGATGGCTGAGCCACCAAGGCGTCAGGACCTGCAGCAGAACCCTACTATATTATTTGAGGCGTCTGACACAATGCAGCTGAAAAAAAATGAGGAGAGGAAGAGCAAGAATAAAAAGAACACGAAGAAACCAGTGCCCATAGAGGAGATCCCTAATCCGTACCCTCTTCATAATGACCCACCTCCTCCTCCTACAGATCCCCCCGTCCCGCCCCCAGACAGCACCATGATGCCGGAGAGCTTACCAAAAACTGAAATGGACTTCCTTCTCCAGCAGGAGGCGCCCTCTAATGATCTGCCTGCTGCCAAAGAATCCACTCATCAGAAATCCACACAAAGCCTTAGCAGCACAGAGCAGGATACCTACCTGTAGGTGTGTGTGTGTGTGTGTGTGTGTGTGTGTGTGTGAGTGCGTGCGTGCGTGCGTGCGTGCGTGTGTGTGTGTGTGCGCGCGCACGTGTGCTAGTCACCAGCACGCTACGTTCAGCAACCAGCCAGCATGGTTATTCTTCTTGTGTGGACTATTTTTGTACTAATCTTAGACGCACGTTTGCCTCTGACACATTTAGCTTGCTCTACAGAAAAAGTGCTAAAACATGGAGCTGATGTTGCCTCCACTTGATTTTCTAATTCAGACTAAAAGTCTTCTGTTAGCAGTTCCGTCCGGTTACTGAGAGCCTTTGGACTCCTATGGGTCACCTGGCTATCTTGTCTCTCAGACTGAACATTATTAAGTTAACAAGTAACACTGTGCAGCAAAGGTTGCAAACTCTTCATGCACCTCGACCCTGCTTCTTTTTCCACTAGAGGACAGCCTCTCACAGGTTTCCGCTCATCACAGCAACAATAAGGCTTCAGTAAGCAGCAGCATATCAGGTCCAACTCATTTAGACTTTTTTTGTGCCAAGCATGTCCCGCTTCTACTCAGATGGTCACTTTTTTAGTCTCTTTCTCTCTAGACGTTGTATGAACCCAGATCCTTCCAGCCACCAGCAGTTTGCTTGGACAGCAGACAGACCAGCACAGGACTTCCTCACTGTGCCTCACATTCCTGCCTTCTAAAAAGCTGCTCCGTTTTGGCCAAATGCTGTAATATGGATTTGTTCACACACGTCTAGGAAAATCTTGGACACTGAATGACTGCAAATCACCCAACAGTGCTGACCTGTTTGCCACTACTTCAGAGTTTTTGGGGGACTAGAATTCCCAAAGGAATTTTTTTTATTTTTATAGATTTTCTACAGTTGCCACATGCAGCCAGGCCTTTCCTTTTTGCACAGACAGTTAAGCCAGGTTAGGGGATTTTTCAGTCATTTAGGGAGTTTTTCTGGCTAATTCCCTTTATTAACATTGAGACATTCAAGAGTTGAGGCTTTTTCTAATTGAAATTTATTTCCCTGGAAAATTACAATCTGCTTTTTGTATCAGCATCACAATGGTAAAGGGAGATTGAACAAGCGTTAGCAGATTGTTGTGAAATATGTATAAAAGTGTCAAAAAATATATATATATTTGTTTAAAAAAATGCAATCATCATAGGTCAGGCAAAAAAAAACAGTGTGGGTTTGTAGGACAAACACACATGTATGCAACAATTACACTTCATTCATGCTATATTTTAATTTAACAGTCTGTAGATATCATATGTAAAAATAACCATTTGTTTTTTAATGAAATTTATTTGACATATGCTATATTTTATTGAACAGTTAAAGGACCTGCAGAGCAGACGTCTAAATCAGTATATTTCAGTTAAACCTTCATAACACTAGAACATTGGGTTGATCTGTTGTTTTTTTTTTGTATGTACTCTAAAAGCAGGTGGATATCATTTCATTATTTACACTAGTGCTATACAGGAAGTGATTGATAACCACACGTCTTAAGTTTCACAATTACAAAGAGAAACCAGCTTACATGCAGCCTGAAACGTTTCTGTGTAGCCTTTACTTGTCTTAATGTAGTGTGGTATGTGGTCCAGCAGATGGCAGAAGAGGGCTTTTCAGCTGTTTTACTCTTGAGTCCTCAGACATTTTCATTGCTGTACAATTTTTTATTATAATGCAACACGTATGACTTTAGGGTTAAGTCAACTACAACTTTCTTACATTTTCACAGCTGGGAGTTTGTTACTGCTCTGATTTTGAATAAAACTACAAATGTCTGTTGTTCCTGCATCTTTTGTTTAGACCTAAAATGTATCTAAAGAAAACAATTGTTTCCTGTAGTGATTGGAAACTAAGCTGCACAGCTACATTATATAAATAAATGGAAATAATGCACAATATAAATAGTTTGTTGTTTAAGTATGACAACAGCTTTATGATAGTGCCCTGAGTCACCTGGAGCAAACGTAATTATTAGTTTAACAATATAAGATTATTTTTAATAATATGGCGGATTGGTTTAATTTTTGTGGAAAGGTGAAAACAGCAGTTTTGCATGTGATTGTGGTTGCAGAACATCTTCTGACCCATTGGATGTAACAGCCAGAACTCCATACGGTGATCTCTGACGAAGGATGAAATGCATCCCTCCAAAGGAATGCTAGGCCTTTAATTTCAAGTATGAGAACGTTTTGATCAAGAGGTGCTCTTTTGCCTGGAGCAAAATAACAGGCACATTTCATTACTGATATGAGCTCAACTTGGACAGTTTTAATCATGGCAGCTCCTGTCTGTATTATGTCATCTGTCAGTAAAGTCAGGACTACGTGGTACAGAATCTTATCACATGGGAGTTTGTGCTCTGGTGTCTATGTGTCTGAGCAACTTGTAAATATATAATTGATTCTGAAGCCAAATTATGAGTTTATCCGCAACATTTTTGACTTCATAGTTTTTCTCATCTTAACCCCCCCCCCCCCCCCCCCAAAAAAAAAAAACGTAACTGCGGCTCCCTATCCTCGTTTAGACTAATAACAGGTTGCTATTCTTTCCTCATTTCACAGATTTAACTGCCAAACGCCTCTTCTCTTCCTTGAGGTGTGGGACATTTGAAGGGTTTACCCCAGGCTTCAAAGAGTTCATTGCAAACTGCTGCTTTGATGACCTCAGTAAGCCTGTGAACTCGTTCCTAATCGTCCAGTGAGGTGTGAGCCGCAGCTGTCGACCCCTGGTCAACAAGAGTTGAGCCTATAGGTTTGGCGCTGCCTTAAAACCTTCTATTTTCTCAGTTTCAGTGCAGGTGTGAGCAGACAGGATTAATTCCTTGTTGATTGCTGTTAATCATCCACATCCATGATGCAGTTCCATCAGGGAGCATCATGGGATCTGCTGATGTTTCCCCACATGAGGCACAGCAACAGTTAACAGTCGAGGTCCCAGAAAAATGCATGCACCGTCACGCTTTCCCCCTCTGCATCGGACACCTGGCCTTCTTTCAGTGCCACCGTGCCATTTACATCTCAAAGAGGGGTGACCAAGAAGGCTTTCTCTGTGCTCAGTTCCTCATTCCAGAGATGATCTGATTTATCTCTTCATCAACGGAAATATCTGCCTTCGTTTGGCCATCCCGCCTCTCTCATCCCTGGCTAACAGGCGGGAGACGAAGCAGTAAAAAGGGAGACTTTGTGATCCTCGTGTGATCACAGACCCAACGGACTCCTGTCACAGAGCTTGATTCATGTGATGCGGGTGACTCTCCCATCTCAGCTCCCAGGCTCTGTGCGTTTAGGCACGGGGGAGGTGGCGTTGTTGTGGGGAAGCACGACGAGGAGCAAAAAGTGTTCTGAGGTATCCGATTCCCACATTTGATGGAGCATGGCAGGCTGGATTAAAAGGCTGCAGTAACAAATATGGGGCAGACGCTGGGGTCTGTGCAGGTGAACTCTGTAAAGCAGTGGGAATAAAAAGTTATTTATGGCTCAGAGGGAAAACATCAGTCTTTTTACAAGGCACGTTAAAGGGGGGGGGGGGGGGGTCCCCGGTTTAGGACCAGGGTGGATAATTGAATTATTCATTTGTTATCTTTTCTTAATGGACTTCTTATGTTTACATACCTGAAGGAAAAACCTTTCCTTTTATGTTTTTTGCCGTTATACATCAGCAGGTTCTGTTACACTCCTGAAGCTTTAGGACAAGTCACCCATAACTGCTGTTTGTGCAATCAGAACAGAAAATTCTAGAAAACCAACAATCCGTTGTGGGATTTCTCTTGATGGAGGCATGCCAGCTTCCTCTACAGATGTGGCTTTGTGCATGTTTTTCCATCATTTGGCTCTTGTGTGCTGTTTTGGACCATCCAAAAGAGACTACTGTACAATAATGTTATGAAAGCTTGTTGAGGTTTTTTAACCTTTGGAGCTGCGCCTGCAGACTTGGACATACAAGGGTCTGCCTGCATGCACTTTTGGCATCGGTGAAGTTTCCATAGTAAAATTTAGCTTCCATGGAGGGTCTGCAAACGGCTCCACATAGAGCTGTCGAAAACCACCCCAAAAAAACCTCTCCTGGGTGCATTTAGGGCTTTAAACGTCATCACAGTTCTTATTAGAGAGACTCCCAGTGGACACACTGCTTTAAGGAATGTGTGTGAGGACGAGGGGGTGCGTGAGTTTTTAAAAAGTTAGACCGTGATGTTCAACAACATGCCATAGGTCAAACTTTGTGCAGCTTTAAATGCACATTAGTGGTGAATGTGGAAGCTGAATGATCATTTAGTCACTCTTGGTTTTGTGTTTGGCAAAAATAAATAGTTTCCGTTACACACAAATATCTTAAAGACCTCTCTGGTTTCTCCCTGTCTGGAAGGTTCTGGCAGCTCTCCGGTCCTCTCACGAATGAATTCTAAACGGTTCCCTTGCAAACATTCAAAAAGTCTGTCATCTCCCCTCAGCCTGTCTCTGTCATGTGAGATTCAGCCGTGCTGACGAGGGGTGAAAAAGAAAAAAAGAGTAAATAGTAACTGAATCGGCTAATCGCCTTCCTGCTGCGCCCATGGGGTATTTTTCTCCCAACCGTGGGCGTGTAGGGGTTATGTCAGGGTAAGTGCAGCAGCACACCTGTGTCCCTGTTGCCCTCCTGAAAACGTTCCAGGCGTTTTGTTTAATCTCTATCACTTGTCCACCCCCGATCCCCTCAGCACCCATCCTTTGACCTCCTGACCCCCCATATCCCCTGGTTTTGCTGTGCCAGAGGCAAAAACAATTATCATGGTAAAGTCCCATCAGATAAATGTAGAACCAGCAGGCGTGAATTCTGTTAAATCGTCCCTGTTGTTAATCTGAGCTCTCCATAGTTAAAGCTGTCATGTTGGAGCTGCGCTTTTCTGTGACGTCTGACTCAAATTTCCTCAGTAATGAGAGCTTCTTTATCCTCCTCTTCAGGTAGTGCTGATGTTCAATCATCAACCAAACCAGGTAGAGGATCAGCCCTTCAGGTTGCTCTCAGTTTGTTTACTAGTGGCCAGCGGGGGATGAGTTACAGACAGATGGTGGGCATCAGCTGGGCTGGCTGGGGGCAGATTAGCAGCCTACCGATGTCTGAGCGGAGCCCCCAGCCCGACCCGCTCCCACTGAGCCCCAGAGGACCGCCTGTCTGTAACTCTACTCGCTTTGGAAAGCCTCGTGTGTTGATGGAGGCCGACCACGAGCTTATCTCGTCTCATTCCTACACCAGTGGGCCCGGTGGGCTGATGAGAATATCTGACGTCTTGTTTTTGAAAAAGTAACTCTGTCGCCTGTGAATGGCAAAGATTTTGTAATTAGGGGCAACCTAACACCCATAAATAATTGTGTGCACATTGACTCCTACATCACACAGCATGTAGCGTGTGAGCCTTTCCTTTTAACTTGTTCCTCAGTGACTTCATGTGCTTCACAACAAAGGTCATGTCTTCATGCGTGGGTTTGCAGCTGCAGCGTGTGCTACCTCCACTAGGATGTGTTGGTAATCTGCTCCCCTGATGCACGCAAAATGTCTACAGTGCAGTTTTTGGGGATTATCCTATGCTCACTGGACAGGAACCACAGTTCACACAGTCCAGGTCAAAGGCCAGCCAGATGCAGAGCTGTAGGTGTAGATGTGGGGGGACTGGGCAGGCCGTGGGTTAGTGTTCAGGGACTGTTTATTTTATAAACAGGGAGCAGATTAGCATTGGAGCCAGGCTCCCTCGGCCATATGGGGAGGATGTCCTCTGAGTTTGGATGCTCCTAACACACCATTGTGTTAACCGGAGACACACAGTCCCTGGCATCATTTCTGGTCCCCGCTAATGATGAGTTGATATTGTTGCCAGCACACGTGTGTGTGTGAATGCTGAGATGTGTTGTCTGCTTCGCTTCCATTCTGGACATAATAGAGTATTGAATGATTGCCTTAGCAATAAGGCTGACGGGTCTTGAGTCATTAGCTGAGTTGGCACACGCTGGGCCTTCTCACCACTTATAAGAGCTAAAAACAGGAAGTGGACGGACCCCACACACACCACCACCACCACCCTGAGCGCCAGTCTAATGAATCCTGCTCCAAGATGTTTGTGTGTGGTTCATCTCCTGAAGACTTGCAGTCCCTTCCTGTCATTGTTTTGGAGTTTTGCGAGTCGCGGTAGCAGCAGAGTCTCTTTGATGAGCCAAACTGTCAACTCTCAGCTGGACTGATAGCTCTCTGTCTACGCTTCAGGATTTAAGCAAACACACTCCTGTTTCAGCACCCTGCTGTACTTTGAATAAACATATTTAAGAATGGATTAACCCAGCTGAAAATCAATCCTGATCTTGTTTCCATGGCAGGCTTAAGAAATAGATGCAGAGATTGTGATTTCGAGTGATCTGCTGCAAAGGGTTTAACCCTTCACAGGGCGAGGGACCATTTTTGATCTTTAGGCCGTGCTTGAAGTCTCGATTTTCAGCCTAAACTAGAAAAATAAGGGGTTTAAGTCACAGCTTGTGTGTTTCGTAGAGGAAATGAAGCCTGAGCATTGCAGAGCAGGAACCTTAAGCCCAGCAAGAGAGTCGATCCTGAACTGAGAACAGGACAACCCTGCAGCTGAAGGAACGCTGAGGTATAAAGACTGAAAAGCATGACAGGTTTGCTCTCTGTGGGTTTTTGTTTCATTTACAACAAGCTGTGTGGATAAAACAGCAGCACATTAATCAGCTCAGGGTGCTGGGCTCCAGGGCTGTATGGACTAGAACATGTATGGCTGCAGGGAGGATCATTGGTA